TTGTGTTGTCTGACTGTGCAATTATTTCGATTCCTGAGAAAGATTTAAATGCACCCGTTGCTAGTTTTATCAATCAGGGTCATTGGGATTGGGACAGATTAAAGGTATCCTTCCTTAGTCTACTTGTAATCTAATTTCTCACATTAGCCCCCCTGCTTTATCTAATGATTAGGATAGATTTTTTTGAAAATATGCTAGTAATGGGTCTTTTTTAATCAAATTTGCTTATGGTCTTATTTCTGATATGAATATAGATAACTCTAATCACAATAAGTCTTTTAAGTTGATCTGAGCTTGGGATGGTCCCCCTCGAATTACCACCTTTTTATGGAAGGTTAGTCATAATAAGCTTTTAACTAATAAGGAAAGGGTCTGTTGCAAAATGGCTACTTCTCCTCTTTCCCCTAGATGCATGGAGGCTCTTGAAACTGTAATTCAATTCATGTTCTTAGGGATTGTTGGGTGACCAAAAATATTTGGAATCAGATTCTTCCCCCTGACAGGTGGATGGAATTTTTCAGTCTTGATTTATCTAACTGACTAGAATTTGTGGAAAAACAAAAATAATTTTATTTTCCAGAATAGTCTTCTTAATGATCAAGAATTATTGTGCAAAATTTCATTGACATTGATTATTTCCTCTATTGTTGCAGGCCAAATCAGAAGCAGGTTGCCGGTAATAAGGGAAATGATTTTATGGTGAAGTGGCAGCCTTCTCTGGATGGTCACCTAAAGCTTAACATTGATGGATCGATTTCTTATTCCTTGGATGCTGCTAGTTCTGGTAGCCTAATTTGGGACTATGCTGGTGTATTCATTGGGGTTCTACAAAAATCTTGCAACTTGCCATCCTACTGTTGTTGAACTTTGGGGCATTTTTTAGGGCTTCAAGCTAGTCATCACAAGAAACATTCGAGTTATTTGGATAGAATGTGATTCCAAAATTGTCATATCCTTGTTAGTTAATTTTTAGAGTAGTTCTCATCCTTTCTATTTTGTAATTAGTAAAATTAGGGATTTGCTCAGAAATATTAAGTTTGTTAGGTTTAGTCATGTTTTTCGTGAGGCGAACCAAAGTGTTGATTGGTTAGCTAAGCTGAATCTTAATCTTGACTAATCTTTCTCTTTTTTTTATAAGACTCCTTCTTCTTTAGAGTCTTTTTTAAGACTGAATTTTTTAAGTTCTTTATGGTTTAGACCTACTGTCTAATTTTTTTTCTTTTCAGGCGTTCAGCCCCCCGTTTAATAATAAAAAATAATAATTATAAAATAATTAATATTAAAATAATTTACGTTTTGAAAATAATTAAAGTAAAATCACTCTCTTTTTTTTTCTAGTAAAGTATTACTTTTAAATATTTAACTATAAAAACGGGTGAAAAAAGACTGCTTGTGGATTTTCAAAATTATTGACGTGTCTAATAGATAATATACGAAATTCATAATGAATGTGACTGGTGTTGATTTTTTTATTTCTCACAGATAATCCCAATTCACCGCAAGAGGCGTTTTATAATCGAAAATTCCGTAAGATTCAACTCTCTACCAATTATTAGCTGTACGTTAGATTTAAAGTTCGGATAAAATTAATTTGAATAAAATAATTTTAAATTATTAAATAGAAGATATATATATATATATATATATATATATATATAAATTAAACTGAATTATATACTTTTATTAGATTTATTAGCAGAAGCAGGAATGGATTTTATAACTTTAAAATAAATAAGCCTTAAATAAAACATAGTAAGGTAAATGATTAGGGAAGAAAATCATCTAATAAGTATTGGTAAAAAAAATTATAATAATAAAATTTCATTTGAAAAATAAGTCAATTTGAATATAGATAATTATTTTAAAAAATTACAATTATAAATATCATATGTATTACTTTCTCACTTATATAATATATTTATTGTATTCTATAGTGATAATTTTAACATAATAAATCATTTTTATTTTTTTGTTACAAAAAAATTTTTAATTGAGTAAAATAATCGTTTATAATATTTTATAATAAAAATTTAAATTATTTGTTAATAATTTTAATTAATTTATATATTATATTTGCAATTTATAGGAAGATATATTCAAGTTAATTAAAATATAGGTAATGAATTTAGATACGAATATATAAATACTCTAAATACTACAAAAACATAAATTTAGGTACGGATTTTATCCCCAAAAGGTACTAATATAAAGATCGATAATATTTAGAGCTCACCCACTATCCTCCCTATTAACACCTCTAAAAATCAAAATAAACCAAACTGAATTATTCTCAATACTTGTTGTACCCATTAAGAGCATAAGCACATCATAATGATCTCAATTTTTCAATCAAAGAGAATATTAATGCATAAGTCTTCCATTGGTTGTCTGTGTAAGATGTAATGTTTTATTATGTCAAGGGTTTAAGTATACCCTTTTTGGACCTAAGAATGGGTTTTGCAAATGAAAGGTTGTGATCATTTTAGGCATTGTATCAAAGATCCAAAGTGCACAACAAAGAGTTTCTAAATGCAAGGATAGGAGTTATGATTCATCATTAAAAGAAGCAAATGGTGATCTTGTAGGCTAACACATTTCAGCATGAGTCATCAAACTTATTGGGCCACAATCCATTTTAGTTATTAAAGTGTGACCTAAAATTGGATCCACAATTTTGTTTTTACTTTGTCGAAGTAATTGAATTACATGCATATATACTTACATTCTTTTGAGCTTATTCTAAACATGTCTGAAAATTAAAATGTTTTCATGATTTTTTTTCTAAATTTAGTATGAAATTTTTACCGGAATATCACTTTTGCAAAAAAAATAAATAAATAAATAAATAATCGTATAACTAATTGCACAATTTCCAATGTTGTGAAATTGAACTTGAAATGAAACCAATTCAACTTTCAACTTTTGGTTCAATTGGTTCATCTAGAAAAATTAACGGTTGAGCTAAATGACAAACTTTAAAATTCACATTTCTTTTAATATATAAGAAGAATGCTTGTATGGTCTCAGACATTTGTTGTTCGAGTTCCCATGGAATTCGAGTTTGCTAAATTTGAGAAATTTTAAAAACCTTCAGTAGTCCGAAGGCTTTACCATGAAAGCACGTAATAAGATTTCAAATATAAAAAATATATATTAATTTAGTATTAATATAAAAATTATATTATTAATTAATTAAATTTTTATTTAAATATTATTTAAAGTAATTATTATAAAATTTAATAATATTTGTTAATAATATGACAATTTATAGGTAGATCATGATATATATACTTTTTACTGTTGACATTTTATTATATATATCAACAAATATATAGTAAAAAAATTTGACAAAATTACTCTTTTGTCTTTTAAGTTTTAATTTAATGGTAGATTTTATTTTCGTCCATTAATTTTTTTTATTCATTTTAATTTTTACTGTTAATTCTTTTCGTTAGTTCTATTATAAAAATATTATATGTAACACTGAGGTGAGCTTAATACTGTTAATTAGTAAGTTAGTTTTACTTAAACTTTTAAATTGAAAAGGCATCGTTACATGTAAAGATATTATTCTATTTCAGCACTCCTCTTGGTCTTCAATAAAGATTTTCACTTATCAGAATGTTCCTCTTGGCATATCAGAACGCTCCTCCATGAGAAGATGATAGAGGCAATCAATAGGTTCATAGTAGTTATACATGATACGAAACTAATAGAGAGGCTTGAGAGAGCAGGTTGGCGATAGTGATGGAAATGTTCCACAACATGTTAGCATTTACAATCAATAATTGAAGATTTAATACTTCAAAAATTATTTTTTCATGATAATGTCTAAAATATGAACTTTCGAATTATGTTCTTAAGATTTATACATATTTATGAAAAAAAAATTAATTTTCAAAAGTCTCTGTTTGCTATTTGGCTCTTCAATAACAATTAAATAAAGTATGTGTTTAAACTCTAAACAAGCAATAACAGGAAATAATCTAAGGCTTAAATCTCAATAAATAGATGGCATTGTAAACCTCTTAAATAGTATTTCATAATTGATTCTTGAATGAAGAAACAAGTCTAAAAAATTTGTCAATCTTATAAAATCCTTAACCAACATTTTTCTTTCAGCATATCATGTCTTCTATCGCAAATTACATAGGAAGAGGAAGGGAAAAAACTACTACAAGAAAAATTTATACACAAAGTTAAATAACTCATCATTTATAAAAAATATGAAAATTCAAAACTTAGAAAGTAAATCAAGATTTAAGTTATATGATAAAGTCTTTTCAATTTTATTGGTAAAAAGAGGAACTATCATCATCTAATCAACAGAGGAAGGTGAAAAGGAGTAGCTTCGTGATGATGTTGTTAAGGTTTGAGAGTTCACACTTAAGTTTCATCTTTTTTAATAATTTTCAAATAAAAAATTTTAGGTATAACTAATTAACAATGATAAAATCAACTCGACATCATATAAAATGACCTAAAATATTTCTAATAAGTCATATAACAATGTTAACGAAAAGAATTTATATGAAAAATAAAATAAAACTTTAAAAACTAAAATAAATAAATAAAAAGTTAAAAAATAAAAATTAAATATATCCTAAAATTAAAGGATAAAAAGACTAATTTTGTCAAAATTTTTAAAGAATTTTTGTTTGTTTATTTATTTGATAGACAATATGTAACAATTTAAATTGAAATTTTCATGAGTCTTCACATTATATTGAATAAGGTAATGCTTTTTTAAACTCCCGATAATTGATTGTAAATTAGTTGGAGAAAAAAATGTAATTAACAATACAATAAAAAATAAAAAGATAAGAAAATATTTAAAAATAACCCAACGAGTCAGCTGGTGGGCTAAGTAAGCCCACGGAAACAAAAATTCAGGTCGGCCCAGAAACCATTTTTAGCGGGCTGTTGGCCCGCAATTTGACATCCTCAGGAAGAAGAGAAAGAGAAAATTACATGTATATCCTTCTTCATGCCCCAATCCCATGAAACCTGAATCTTGATTCTCTTGGAGCGCCAAAATCAAACTCAAAGCAACTGTTATGGTTCTGAGGAGGACATTCACATTTACCCTCACAACCTCTCGTTATTACAGTTCTGCCACTGTCTCCCTCGCCCACGCATCGCACAATCTCCTTGATCTTCTTCAGCTCTGCATCGACCTTCGTGCCCAGAAACTTGGCCTGCAAACTCACACTCAAATTCTCGCAAATGGGTTTGGACAAAACGCATTCCTCACCACCAGGCTCGTCTCTGCTTACGCCGCGTGTGGCGAGTTAACCATGTCAAGAGCCGTCTTTGAGTCCATTGAAGCCAAGAACGTTTATCTCTGGAACTCACTCATTAATGGGTATGTTAAAAATCACGACTTTCACCGAGCCCTTGCTTTGTTCCGCGAAATGGGTCGCAGTTATTTGCCTGATGATTATACTCTTGCAACGATTTCCAAGGTTTCGGGTGAGCTTGAGGACTTGGTCTCCGGGAAATTGATTCATGGGAAGAGTATAAGAATTGGGTTTGTGTCGGATGTTGTTGTTGCCAATTCTGTGATTTCAATGTATTGCAAATGTGGCGAGTTTAGAGATGCAATGCAGGTGTTTGATGAAATGCGTCAAAGGAATGTGGGTTCGTTCAATGTTATAATTTCTGGATGTGCTGCTTTTGGAAACTATACTTCTGCTTCCCGTGATGGTTTATGGAAGTTTTTTATAAGAATGCAATGTGAAGGGTTTAAGGCTGATGCTTTCACGGTTTCTAGTCTCCTGCCTTTGTGTTGCGGGGATACTGAGAAATGGGATTATGGGAGGGAACTTCACTGCTATCTTGTGAAGAATGGATTGGATTTGAAGATGGGTTCAGATGTTCATGTGGGGTCTTCTTTGATAGATATGTATTCAAGGAGTAACAAAGTTGTTCTAGGAAGGAGAGTATTTGAGCAAATGAAAAACAGAAACATATATGTTTGGACGGCAATGATCAACGGTTATGTACAGAATGGAGCACCTGAGGATGCATTGACTCTTCTCCATGAGATGCAAGTGAAGGATGGAATTCGACCTAATAAAGTATCACTTGTTAGTGTGCTTCCAGCTTGTGGATTGCTTGCTAGATTAACGGGAGGCAAACAAATACATGGGTTTTCTATTAGAATTGAGTTAAATGATGATAGTTCAGTATGCAATGCTTTAATTGATATGTATTCCAAATGTGGCAGTTTGGATTATGCGAGACGAGTCTTTGACAGTGGTTCTTACTTCAAAGATGCTATCAGTTGGAGTTCAATGATCTCTGCATATGGATTACATGGGAGGGGAGAGGAAGCTGTAATTACATATTACAAAATGCTTCAGCAAGGGTTCAAACCAGACATGATAACAGTGGTTGGTGTTCTTTCTGCTTGTAGCAAATCAGGATTGGTAGATGAAGGCATTGGTATATATAATACACTGATGACTGAGTATGAAAGGAAACCAACAGTTGAAATTTGTGCTTGTGTTGTGGACATGTTAGGTCGATCCGGCAAGCTTGATCAGGCCTTGAAGTTCATCAAAGAAATGCCTCTAGATCCTAGTCCTAGTGTTTGGGGATCTCTTTTAACTGCCTCTGTAATGCATGGGAATTCAAGGACAAGAGACCTGGCTTACAAGTGTCTCTTAGAACTAGAACCTGAAAACCCGTCCAATTATATCTCGCTTTCAAACACATATGCTTCCTATAGAAGATGGGATGTGGTAAGTGAGGTGAGAGCAACGATGAAAGAAAGAGGTTTAAGAAAAGTTCCAGGTTGCAGTTGGATAACTATTAGCGGGAAAACTCATTCTTTTTTAGTTGCTGACAAAGCACATCCTTCATCTAATTTAATCTATGAAATGCTTAATGTCCTGGTATCAATAATAACGGATGGTTGTTCCGATAACGATATATTCTGACTTAAGTCTCCTGGTATTGATGTGTTGAAAAACCTTCAAGTGTCTAGTAAACACTGAAAACTAGCCAGCCATGTAACTCGGTCAACTCTGAAACCATTTTCTTGGCGATCATTCAAGACTCAAAAGTCGATTTGTGATTCATTACTTGAGTGAGAGAAACGACGTAAGAGACCCAGCTTATCCGTGGTTTTAGTACATATGATTTACTTTATGTGGCTATAGCGTCTTTGGAGTTTGCACGTGGTGAGTGCAATGAGACCACCGAGATGTTAGTGAGCAAATAATCAATGTGCCAGATGAGATACTTGGAGGCTCACATGAACCATATAGTATGTAGGGAACTATACAGACCAATACCCCCCAAGAAAGATAGTTCAAAGACAATCTTATTTAAACCATTTCATTCAAATTAAGCTTTATTAATGAATGGATATCAAAAGCATTTGGCCACAAGAATAGGAAAATAGGAAACTTCATGGCGTTCAATCTTTCGTTGACAATCTGAAGCGAAGATTCCATTTCAAATATAATAGCAGTAACAGAAACTTAGCTGCATGTGTTTAGCAGATGTTGATCAACAATTCGCTCTACCGTGGGATAAAAATTATGTATCATCAGTTTTAAATTCTTGTTTTCAAGGAATGATAATTCTTTGCTAGCAAATGGAGGATTAAATGGCGGTTTACGATGAATAACCCATTGCAGATTTTAGATATTAGATTATTTGAAATCTTACAGAAGGATTCGTGCTTTAGTAACTGCCTTTTTTTGTTCCCCTTTCTCAACCCTTAGTCGGATACTGATAGACCCACGTAATTTATGATATTGTATGACGTTTAATTTTCACTTCTAAGCAATAATCAATGCGACTCCGGTTAAAAAGTTGCGTTCCGTATAACTTGCTTATCTTGCATTACACAGCTGGTCCTAAAACAGAATCCACTAGTCCAAGAAACTGAGGTAACTACATCTACAGTACAATCCAAAGAAAACAAGCGTCAAGAAATCAGCGGAATTGTATCAGAACCTTGTTCCATGCCCTAAGGCAATGAAACTTGGCATTAACCATCCAAAATAAGTTACAATGTAATAATTAAATGCCACCTATTAAATCCTCCTACCTAAAATTTTCAAGGATTTTTTGCTTCCTTGACCTTACAAGAGGAAAGGAATAAAACTTACCCCAACATATATGCCTCCTTATGATCTCTTAACATAAATCACAAAATAAATGGTTCACACGAAAGATCCTGGACATCATGGCAACAAGTCAAAGTTTACCTCCAGAACTGAGTAAACTTCGGCTAGGGAAGTCACCGTGAAGTCTGGTTTAAATTCAACATCAGCATACTCGGGAGAATCATATCTTCCTGTTTGATCAAGCAGGCACGTAAAGGCTCCCGCTCGCCTTCCACAAGCCACCTTTAAAGAGGTCAAACAGGTAACATCAATCAAGTACCATCCAATTTAAAATAAATTTGAGTAGAATAAGTTTACTAGGAAAACAGCGATAAAATGGAAAAGAATTGGTTTGCAGCTGTGTCGGAAATGAGGAGTCACTTTAAAAGTATTTGCTATCACAATTACACCATACCAAATAACACAATGAAATTTCACTTTGCTGGTTATTTATTAGGACAAAACTTAGATGCAGTTCTTTAAGTGTTATTAGTGTTGCTGACCAAAATTTTCAGCATATTTTGGAAGATAGAAATACAAAATAACAGTGTTAACAAATCACAAAGATAGTTTAAAACATTAAAAAATAGAGGTACACAAACAATATTTCTTGACTTCTCGGTAGAAGTGCAAGTTGGAATATTTGTTAAAATGTTTATCATACACGTGTTGGATCAATTTACTCACCCAGTGAGAAAAGGAATTTGTAGTTATTATATAGGACCAATATGTCAATGGCATCTAATTATCAGAGTTTTTAGTTCCATACGGAGAAATATAATATACATAAAAGCTAGAATAAGTTACAAATTAACCCCCAATGGTTTGATAACCCACCTCCTTTTCAAACATAAATTTCATTTTCTAACACAAAACCCCCAAATCTATGGCAAAAAGTGTGATTGTGTATATTCTCCCAAATTTAACAAAGGCAATTTGCACATGAGAAAACCTAACACTAGAATTTGGCATGCTTCTCACAAAACCAACACTATTTGGACATCACTTTTATCATTTTCTGTTATAAAAGGCTTGGTCCCCTTGCAGACCACTTATTTGAGCAAGACAGATTCATTCTATAATCAATCAAATACAGGTATTAGAAGTGGCATAAAACTGATAAAGATAAAGTGATGATAAAATAAAAATACCACAACACATAGTGAAATGAAATCTAGAACAAAATAACAGACTGGGTCAAAAGATGCATCTATTACGAGCAATCATACTCTGGTTTGCAGATTATGAAATCTTTTTACTACAAAGTTTACTAGTAAGCACCGAAGAACCAACTCTGAAAGATTTGAAATGTCTTCTTCTTTTCTTCTCCTTTCTGGATTTTGTTGACTATTTACCGTTCTGATTTTGGTTTTGAAATAGTTTCTATTATTTATTTGTAATCAAGTATGAAAAGAGAAACTTAGAAGATCCATAAGCATTATGTCTGCATAAAGATGATAGTAAGAATTGATGAACTTGAAATTGCACAGCTACAATGATAACAATGTGCTAGCAGTCATATATCATGCATTTTCACATTGCCATGAAAAGAACCACTTACATCATCTTTAAGGCTATCCCCAACCATTATTACTTCATTTGGTTGAACTTCCCAAAGAGAACAAATATGCAGAAGGGGAGCTGGATCAGGTTTATAAGGACGAAATTCCCTGCTTAATGCTGGAGAAAATGTAATCTGCAGCAATGAGGTACAATGTATAATGATCAAATTAATACTAAAAAAGAAACCAGTAAGAATTAGAAAGTTATAAGCCATTGAACATATAAGATGGGGAAATTAGAAAACAGCAGATATCCTCTCACAATTAGTCAGCAGTCCAGATGCCATAATCTCAACCTCCTTTTCATTTTGTTTATTGTGTTATCTTATTTCCCCATTACAATTTTATCAAACTCTCCTAGAAGGAAAAATAGAATACATATGCAATTACATCTATTAATAAACTCACCCCAAACCGTTCATGGAATAAATCAACCGCCGACTTCATATTGCGCGTGATCAATCCCCTCCTGAAAAAAGGCACATATCATGAGTAATTCCTTCACATTCCATAATCATAGCCACCACCATCATAAAGAAATTATTAACGAGACAAACCATAGTCAATTAACAAAAATATACCTAACTTAAAAGAACAATATGTATACAAATTTGGAAATAGAAAAAGCTACAAAGAAACAAATAACAGCAAATGAATTAAGAACACCAAGACATGAGAGGAAGAAAGAGTGCTTAACTGCACCTTATTTTCTTTGAATCGAGAAGACCACAAAGCTCAGCAGCACCTGCACCATAATTGAGAACCGTATGAAACTCGTTCCAGCTCAGCAAAGATCGTGAGTAACGAACGAAGAAAGAGAAAGAGAACCTGGCATGATTTGGAGGCGATGGAGTCCCTGGCGCTCGAAATCCGCGATGGTGTCGTAGGCCTTGCACTGTTTAACGGGTTGCCAGGTGTCGATGTGGCTCAAAATGTCGATACCGGAAGGGTTTTCCGATTTGATCCTTTTGTATTCGTCGTCGCCGAGCACCGCCCTGTACATGGCGGGGAAATCGATGACGGGGACGGTGAGGGTGCCGTCCATGTCGAAAACGACACCCCTCAGGGGCGTTTTGACAGGGGGATTGGAGTGGGACATGCGTTTGGAGTGTGGGAATGCGGAAAGAAGAAAGGACTTTGCGGAGTTGGATGTGAGCAATGGCATGGAGTGAAGTGAGTGTGGTTTGGTTTGGTTTGGTTCCTTCCAATGCTGCGAGATTCTCCTTCTCTGTGGTTTACATTTTTCGTGATATATTCATCTTAATTCTCATACATCGGACCGCAAATATACAAACTCTCCTGCTCAGTAATGCAGCGCATCTAATCCACTACATGTCAGTCACTTTAACACAACTCTGTTTTGTTTTGTTTTTTTCTTTTCCTTTGGTGTCAATAATAAGTCACCTCGTCCTCAATTGTTTCTCCCTGTCAATTTTTTATTAAATTTGCAAAACAGCAATAAAGACATAAGTTTGCAAAACACTTACTGTTATGATATTTATATTTTAATTTTTAAATATTGTGTAGATTAAAAATATTAAAATATTATAAATTTAAAATAAATTATTTGAAGTAATTTTTTTAGACAACTTTTAAAAAATTAACTATAACAAGTTTAAAAATAAATTTTTTCTTATTTCCTTTACACTCAATTTTATTATTTCAAACTCATTATTTTTCATTTTTATTTTTAAAGTTAGTTTTAGTCTTTTATTTATATTTTATCAGCTCATTAAAATTTAAAATTAAAAGGTTAAAAAAGTTGTTTAAAACTAAAAAATTGAATGAAATAAGATAATTTTACTTAAATATCACATATTGCACTTAATTTTTCTTTCTAAAATAGCATGCAAATTTGTTTCTTAAATTTAATAATCTAAATAATTATAATTTTTTTTATTTTGTCATACTTTGAATTGTAATCTTTGTAAATAAAAATAATTAAATTTAAAAACATTATATATTCATCTCAATTCTCTTAATAATAAATAATTTAGTTAAAGCAAAATCAGAGTATTAACTGAAGAAATATAGTTGAATGTTAAGAAAGATAAAAATATCACTCTTTACAAAATTTGCTTAAGCGAAAGTTTAAATCACTTAAGTCATTTGTAGATTTGCTTAAATATAAAGTAATCCACATAAATATTTAGCCTTCACTTTAACTAATTTTTTACACTTAAGTTAAAAAAATACAAGAAACTTTTGTTTGCACAATTTGCTTATGCTAATATTTATCTGCTAAAGCCAACATCATATTTGCTTAAGAAATATGTTATTTTAAAACAATAATTATTTTACTATCAATACATACGAATTAAATCCAAATTATTATCAAAAAAAATTATTAATCAAATATATTTGGTAAGTGCATAAGTTACAAATATTTTATAAGATATAATAACATTTTATGTTGTAAGTTTTTTGAGACAAAGATATTGTTTAATTGAATTTTTCTTTTAATTGTGTTATATGTCTCCTACATCATGTTGATTATTAAATGGTTGGTCATCTTACTTATATAGGTTATGCATGATTTATATTTTACAAAAAGTGTTTAAAAGTTAGTAATATATAAATAAATACATAGAGAATAATATGAACAATGAAGTAGCTAGTAGTTCATTTCGAAGTACTTGCATAAACAAATGTATCATTAAAGTCACTTGAATGAGAGTGCAACTAGAAAATAAAGGTGATTCTAATTTTGAAGTTGAAGTTGAGGAAGCTTTGGCTAATAATACAAATGACACTAATATAAATAATGAAATGGCAAAAAGAGATGACGATGATTTGATAATTAATATTGATAGCTTAGAAAACATTGTTGACATGAATTTTAAAAATTTTAGCCTCACCAAATAAGAAATGTTTATTTCATAAGTTTAAAGGTGACATACTTATTTTATACATGATACGCAAGATTAAATGATTTTGTTGATAGGAAATACATCATCCTTCAAAACAATAAACATAAAATATTACAACAAACATTTGTTTGTCATAGGCCAGTATTTCATGTGAAGACTTCAATCAATAAAAGTAGTGAGCATTAAAATAGACCTTTAGTGAGGTATGGTTGCAAATCAAAATTTAAAGTGTATATAGACATAAATTCTAGTTAGTAATATGTAACACATTTTTTTTAAAGACCATATTTGTGTAAATATATTCTAAACTCTATATTTTTTTAATTCAATTCCTTAAAACTCATATTTAAAATAGTTAATCTATTAGTTATCACAAAAATGAACTTAGTTCAGTTTTGATTTGAAAACTGTTTCAAGAAGATTGAATAACAAAACTAATTTTATTAATACATATAACAGCTAAAAACAATGAAAACAAAGGCCTAAGTTCTTTTGCTTAAGTCATAATACTTAGCTTAAGTGGATGACAAAATTTTATTAACCCTAACTTTGCTTAAGCTCTACTTTCTTTGCTTAAACACATGCAAATATCACATTTGTCTTAAATGATATTCTTCTCAGATAATTTTTTTTTAACAACATTCACTTAATGAAGTTAAATTGATTTAAGCAAATTATACAAACATTATACATGAAGAGTATAAAAAAATCTAAAATAACATAAAATATTCTAATAATACAAAAATTTATTTTTATAATGAATTTGAACTATAATAGTTTGTGTAAAAATTTTAATTTTAAAAATTATAACTGTATTGCATAAGTTTTATGTTAAACTTTAAAATTTAAAATAACATTTAACGTTTTATTAATTTAAAAATATTTTTTATTATAAATTAAAATTACATTAATGTATATGAAATTTTTAATTCTTAAAATCAACCCTTACATATGAGATTTGCATGAAAAAAATAATAATATTGATCTACTAATACAATCATAAAAATATAAAATAATTATTTTGAGCATCTAATAAGTAATTTTGTAAAAAACTAATATTATTAAATAAAGATAAAATATCTAAATTTTTTTTAATATATCGAATGATTTAAACATGTTAACTGACTCATAGTTATTTAATTATTAATTAATTTTAGTTTTAACTTATTATATTAAAAAATAATTATGATATTTTTATATAATAATTTTTAAAAAATACAATTTTTTGTTTTAAATCAACAATGTTTAGTCAATTATTTAATAAAAATATTTATATTTAAATTTTACTATATTTAAATTTTAAATAAAAAATAGTCTTTTGAGTTGTTTAAATTTAAATACAATCACATTTTTCTATTTTAACTCAACATAATTATATAATCAATAGTTCTTTAGTAAGATATTTTTATGTCAGAAATCAGTAAGATTTTAGGGGGAGAAAATATAGTTATTGATGTGAAACGTAATAAAATGTTTTCTTTTTCTTTTTTATGTTTTAAAATTGTATTTTATTTTATTTTTCTAAATGACCGATAATGTAAAGGAAAAAGTGCAACGAGTTGAGCGATTTGTGGGGCTCCCTTCTCTCTGTTCCATGGAAGTGGTTTCGAGCTCTGTGAGTGCTTGTTCTTCCCTTCATTGCTGTCGCAACACCACAATCCCTAGTATCTCCATTTCCGAGGTTCTCTTTCCACTACTCCCTTCGTTCCCTAATTTTCCCATCACTTTCACCGCTCATAATCTCATAATCCATTTTCCTGCATTATTCTCACATTCTGTTTGGGTCCTTAGAAGGAAGAAGAAGAAAAAATTGGACTGCTACCCTTTTGTAATTAACCAGTTTAAAGATAGATGGCAGCGAGGAAAACATGAATATTTTGATTTGAGTAATGAGTAGTATTCACTCAATTGTATTTTGTACTATCTACAGGTGTCATGGTTGAAGTGTTCTTCTTTAAGGATAATAGAAACTCGGCTTTCATTGGCCCATAGAAGGAAGAACGATGTTGGGTTTAGAAACAAGGATTGTGGTAGAAAAGAATTCTCACTTGGGGTGGTGCCACGGATAAGTAACATATGTTCTCCTCAGTGTAGCTATTTTTCATCAAATTGGGGTTTCATTGCCCAAAGGATGAAATGTAACAGTCTTTTAAGGTTGAAGGATTGTTCAGTAAACATAAGACAGCATGCCTCTATTCTATTTGTGCGGTTGGTTGCTGGAGTGATGTTGGTCATGTCTGTTTCTTTGACTTCCAGCGAGCCATCTTGTGAGTTTGATCTGTAACACACCTGTAACTAAAATTCAACAGATAAATGGATTAAGATTTTGTGTAAGAATTTTTGTAATATAATTTTGTTCTTTTTTTTTTTTACAATTCCCCTCCCTTTTAGTGGCCCTGTCTGAAGAGAATCTCATCTTTCTGGAGGCATGGAGAACAATTGACCGAGCGTATATCGATAAAAGTTTTAATGGACAAAGTTGGTTTAGGTATAGAGAAGATGCACTCCGCAATGAACCAATGAACAATCGAGAAGAAACTTGTATGGCTTTCACTCTCTACCTCTTTTATTTGTTTTCAACTAGCTGACAAAGAGAACATTATAAGATGGTAAATTCTCTATATTTCCAACATGAAAAATCATCTGTGTTAGCCTTTTGAATTTTGAGGAGTAGAATCAAATTATTACTAATAGCTTCATGCTTACTTGATAAGGAGTAAAAAAAAATTAATTGAGCTTGGGCAAAGTTTAAGCAGAGAGAATGAAAATTTGGTGGAAGAATATGTTAAAAGATTAAACAAATTATACTTATCCAGAAAAATCAGGTAATGTAATTCCCCTCAAGTGTTTTATTCCCACGTGAACTTATTAAATTATATTCATTGGTGCCTGCAAACTAGGTTTGTAACACTAACATAGACACAGATCTCGGCAAACTAACAGAAGGAATGGTAGAAAGCTTGATAATGGGTTCCAATAAATGGTTCTCTGGACATAATGATGAGGACCAATATCCCGAGCTTAAATTTTCTTATGATAAACCACTTACACTTCGTCCACATGATGCATTTCAAAAAAAAAATCCGTGAGAATAACCCTGATGAACTGATCATTTCCTTTATTCTGTAGAAAATTAGGTTTAAATTTGAAGCATCAAACTGGAGGGAATATTGACTAAAATGATGCAATTAGTAACTTACTTACCAAGCTACCTCGTCCAGATGGATCAAGATAATTGAGGAAATTTCTATTTTTCTCCCTACTCTAACGATTCCAATGTTGAATGGTATCTGTTATAAGTAAAGTTTCTACACTGTTTCATGATAAGTCACATACATGATTTTGGCATATCTGAAATTTAGTACAATTGCATAATCGCATGTAGTCGAAACTCAAAAGTTTACCAGTTTCCTTCAAATTGCTGTCGCTGCATTTGTCCCCAGATACAGCAATAAAAAAGATGCTCGCCACATTGGATGATCCCTTCACCAGGTTTTTGGAGCCTGAAAAGTTTAGAAGTTTGAGGGTACGATTATTTCTCATTCTAAGTTTTCTTTTGGCTTATTATTGCATATTAGAGGATACCATTTGCCCAATCTAGTAGAATATATGCTTCTCTATACTTTAATCCTCAAAATCATTTTTTTAAGGCAGTCTGGAACTCAAGGATCTCTAACTGGAGTGGGGCTATCAATAGGCTACCCTACCAAAGCTGACATGCAACCTGGTGGACTTCTTGTCATTTCAGCTTCTCCAGGAGGACCTGCATATAGAGCTGGTGTTTCGTCTGGTGATGTTATACTGGCAATTGATGATACAAGCACAGAAAACATGGGGCTATATGATGCTGCTGAACGCCTACAGTGGGTTTTTTATCCTACATTCCTCTTGCTTCAAATAAATATTTTTCCCCACAAACGGGAAAATAAAATGATAAAGAACACATTACTAATATTGTGCAAAAGACCAAGGAATAGGATTGCATTTACTTCTTAAAAAGTTTCCCAACAAGTTAAAATCATAGTACTATGTCGATATAAATATTGTAGTATTATATTGTGCCTTCATCTGCTTGAAGTCTTACAACCTTGTCCTTCTTTTAATATCTCTTAGTATTGTTACTCTAAAATGAGAGCTAATTGTAAGGTTTTAGTTGCTTGAAACTTAATTCGAACATCCATTTAAAAGAACAAATTTTCTTGTATTGTTCACTATTTGCCTTGAACTTATCTATTTGATTTCCTGACTTTTAAAAGAAAATGCAGGGGACCTGAAGGAAGCTCTATAGCTTTGACCATTCGTAGTGGTTTGGATGTAAAACACCTGGCTTTAACGTAAGTTAGATTTCCACTGTGTTTAGCCACATTCATACGATTAACTATTGTGCTGTTACCATTGTTTACCCTCCTAAATTTTTCTGTTTTTGTCTTACTTATCATACTTGGCAGAGTTAAAAAAACAGTTGTTCTTTCTTCCAAAACTTTGATCTGATTTATAATTTATAATTAAAACGACTAAAAACAAAAGTTTGTGTCAGGCGAGAGAAAGTTTCATTGAATCCTGTGAAGTCAAGAACGTGCAAGCTACCTGCTTCAGGAAATGATTCCCCGACAGTTGGTTATATCAAACTAACATCTTTCAACCAAAAGGCAGCTAGTAAGTAGTAATTGATGGTTAAGCATGGTTTTTCTGGCTTCTATGCTTCTATGAGAGAGGATAATTTTCTAACTAATATGCTTTAATCATGTGACATTTCTTTCTCCTCTTTCTTTCTGGTTGATCTGCCACCCTTGCAGGTGCTGTCAAGGAAGCAATCAATACATTAAGGAGTGATAATGTAAATGCATTTGTTTTGGACCTTAGAGATAATAGGTGATTCAGCAATCAACATTTCCCATTATGTACTTTCAACCACTAGCTTTCTGAAGCTTATATTTGTTGCAGTGGTGGTCTTTTCCCAGAAGGAATTGAGATTGCCAAAATTTGGTAAGACCTGATTATCAATGATTTACATTTTTAGATCTTGTGTGGTGCATATTCTTTAGTTGGCGGTGCTTGAAATTCTTTTTGATGGTACTAGTAGCAGTTATTCCACGTGTGCAGTAAGAGCCCCTTCAATATAATCTTTTATGGATCAGAAGTGTTCTAAAACCGTATAATCATAAACACCTTATACCATTTAAAATTATATGGCATAGCTAAACTGGGTTGTGAAATTCTTTCAATAATCAACGTTAGAAAAGGCTCTTCCAGTATTATCTTAACTTTCTTTTACTTAATTAACTACCTTATTTTCAGCTTCAAGTTCTAATATATATTTTCAACCAGGTTGGACAAAGGTGTGATTGTGTATATTTGTGATAGTCGTGGAGTCCGAGATATACTTGATACAGATGGAAGTAGTGCACTAGCAATTTCAGAACCCTTAGCAGTACTGGTATGTTTTTGGCTTTATGCTTTGTTGCATTGGTATCAGTGTTAAGGGTTTGACCCAAATGCATAATAGTAAATTATTCATGGGCAAGTTCCTTAAATAGGATTTTGCAGGCCATGCAAGTATTGAGGACTATTTGTGTTGGGCATGAGAGGGGTTTTTCAAGAGAGTCCTGTGGTATTGGGCAGAGATGTTTGAGAGTTCCATTGAATCTTATCCTATAATCCTATTTTGATGTCATAGTTAAAATATTCTCACATGTCATCTGTGGTTGTGGATATAGGCAAGTTTTCAAAACCATTTTTGTTTTATTGGCATTTTTTTCTTCTTACTGTAATATGCACAACACCTACCTATCATCAACAATATGAATCTTCATTTCTCACTAAGTTGCCATGTATTAGGATTTCTCAATGATTGAGACGTTCAAAATCCCCTACTTGTGATGTTCTGAGTTTCATAATTATTAGGAAATTGTGATGTAATTATATATACCATTTATAAATTGAGAGTGCATTTTGTAGGAAATTTAATATACTAGTTTAGAAATGAATATGAGATTAAGTTAATGTGGGAACTCTAGGGTTTGAGGATGCAAGTTGCGGTCTGAATTTGAGGATAATGAATAAATGTTAGGATGATTTCTAGACTATTCGGTAAAGTATGGATTAATTATTGTTTTCTAGTCATGGGAATATTTAGGGGTGGTGATCTGCCAGAAGTCATCTAAGTCGTCTACAAATGTAATTGTGAAGATGGGAAAGTAGGGGGTGCAGCTATTGCATAATTGTTTATTAAGTGTTAATAGTCCCATCCTTCAGAATTTCTTCTAATTTCTCATTCTTTGGTATGGTAAAACTAATTGAATATCTTGAGCCTGTATCAGGTAAATAAGGGAACTGCAAGTGCAAGCGAAATATTAGCTGGTGCATTGAAAGATAATAAGCGCGCCATATTGTTTGGAGAGCCAACATTTGGAAAAGGGTAGTTACTTTTGGTTCAGTTGAAACCCAACAAACTAAAATTTGTGTTATTTTTTTCCTAATATGAAATACTCACATGCAGGAAGATCCAATCAGTTTTTGAGCTCTCAGATGGCTCTGGATTAGTTGTTACAGTTGCACGCTATGAGACACCTGCACACACAGATATTGACAAGGTCTGTACTTGGCTCTCCACATCCCCCCCAACTGGCTTCTCCCACTAACACCCTGCATTTACATGTAGGTTGGTGTCATTCCTGACCATCCTCTACCAACAGCATTTCCTAAGAATGAGGAAGCATTTTGCAACTGCCTCCAGAATCCTGCATCTTCTTGTTATGTCAACCGGGTCCAGCTATTTTCAAAATGATGATTTTTTTCTTTTCCTTCGGTTGTTGTACATTAATTCTTTGGACAAATAATTCTTTAACATAACTTGATGTTTTTATTAATTGATGAAAGGAACTTTGTTGTCATATATATATCTGGACATATTTAAAAACCAAAGGCAAGGAAAACCCAAACAATGTAGAACCAACAATTGTTCTCAACTTTAAAATGTTGCTTTGAATTTCAATTTTCTTACCCTAATAAAATATATACCATGTAGAACCAAGTTAGTACATTGTTGACATATTACTGTAACTTTATAAATGCTTTTATTCTTCAAACAAACGTAAAACGTTAAATAATAAATATACTTGAATTTTTTTAGGTTTCAATGCCATTGAAACATAATAAGAAATTTTCGAGCTAACATAATATAATTTCGTTATAGCAAGAGAAACACTTTGATAATTTACCGTGTTCTGTCACTAGTTTAAGCAATAAGTATTCACAAATGTTTAGCAACTATTGTTTTGTCATAGTGTATGTGCGAATATGAATAATTTAGTGCTTCAATAAAACTAGGAACTTCATAACCAAATCAACTTATTAAATATGTTTTTTTTTTCCTTCCACAGAATAACAAAAAGGCGTTAGTCACAAACATTTGACGTCATTCATTTACATGAATGAAATGGTGCAATGCATGTGTCACTCGTGAAATAAGTAAAATAGTACACCGAATTCATAAAATCAGAAGCACTAATTCATTTATCCCGATAATTACTCCTTTCATTATCAGTTAGTACTAATGCACACATTTTTAAAACAAATAATTAATTTGACAAATGACTATGATAAAAATTAATTTTACTAAATTACTTCTATTAAAAGCACCGAAAATACTGAGATAATTAAATGATAACTAATTTTAAAATTATTCTAATTGTTAATTGGCAAAAATTATCCTTAATAAATAAAAACATTACTAAAAAAATAATAATAAATGCTTTTTTATATTCGAAAGTGACATAATTTAAGACATTTGTTTGCTAAATAACAGTCTTTTACTCAATGTCACCGAACAAGTCATTCTAACTTTTTAAATAAAAATGAGTAAAATGACCAATATTTGGTCATTTGAAAAAATAAATGAAATTTGTCATTTCAAGAATATAAAAAGTCTAATACTCATAATCTTATATACTCTGTACCCAAAAAAAGAAAAACTAATGTAGAGTATCATTCAAGATTGACTTCAACACGAAAGAGTCGAACAAAACAATCTAAGCCCATATGACTAGATCAATACCTATGGAAGTTCTAAAACAGAATAATCATTTTTCTTAAAACAAACTTCGGAGCAAGGATATGCCACACAATAACAATAAATCTACTTCAAGCTAGCCTTAAGAACAGACTTCGGCAGCAAGTAACCAATTCCAACACTGTTGATATCATTTTCATTTTAAAAAATTCAACATTAAACTGAATAGTTCAATTTTGAAGTTCAAACTACCAAACTACTGAAAATTTTCCCTGCTTAGTTGCCTCCAATACTGTATAAATAAACCCCGAGTGCTCAAGTGCAATGAACATTCATGATCGGTAACGAAGCGATCAACCTACATTTGTCTGTATCATACATATACATTCTTAAACAAGCAAGGGCATTTAACTTCTGCTGTGTAAAGAAGCTTTATGTTCTTGCTCCACCAACGAAAATTATTACAATGGCAAATTAACATTGCATTGTCCCATCTTATCATAAATATGTGATCGCCTATCAAACTGAGAATGAGCACTAGTATGGCCTGTATCGCGTTGGTCTTCTGTACCTAGGAACCCTTCTGCATGTCAAAATGATTTGATCATAACACATAAGGCGTGGGCCATGAACAAGTAATAAATATTTTATCAAATCACAGACAAAATGACAATTCAGAGCAATAAAAACTTGGTTTTGACCCATTGTCGTTTGGTCTAATTTTTGAACTACCATATCAAGTGCAAACTGTTCTCACTTATTATGAGAACAATTACCATATACATATATATATATATATATATTGGTCAAGACATAAATATATAGAATAGCATGGTTTTTCTTTCTTTTCTTTTCCAACGTAATGGTTTGGATTTGGAGTTAACCCCACTTGAGCTAATACTGCTGTATTCCAAATCTTGCAATGAGGTAACATTCACCTACATGGAAAATTAAAATCTATATGGATTCAAATACAACCATTTTAAAAGGGGCTATCTTCAATGGTCTCTATTATCCATACCCATAGAAAAATAACTTAGGGAGACTTACCGACTAGTGTTTCAATAAAAAAACTTGTTATTGCTTATTATGTTTGTGTGTGCGCACGCATGTGCTCATAATAAAAGCAAAAAATTAAAGCTAATATTCTGCTGTGTAGTTAGGTGCCCATGGTAATAGGAATATATATTGAACATGAGGTTCTCTAGCTTAACATACAAGTTTATAAGGTAGCAAAGAAATAGACAGAAAGACTTATCGTCAGATGTATATTGAACACCAGATGTAAAGCAAAATTTCCACCAAAAAGCACATTTGCAGTCTAAGACATCAAAATTTACATAATGCATAGCAGAGACAGAGGAAAGCAATATCAAATCCAAGTTTTTCTTCAGTTTCTAATAATTGCTTACCCATAACCATATGGTGGATAGAATGGAGACGGCATGAAAGGCCTCCTTGGTCGGAAACCAGTAGGTCTTCTTCCAAAATACTGCTTCATTCCAGGAATATTTGTACGCTTAGCAGAGACCTAAAGGGAAAATCAGATTTCAAGTATAACCAAAGAAACATCAAGTGACTAATTGAATTTACATGGATTATCCAAGGATAAAGACCTTCAGTTGTCGACCATGCAATTCCGATTCATTTAACAGGAGAGCATTCTGAACAGCATCAACCTCAACAAACTCTACATAAGCAAATCCTTTTGGTTGACCAAATTTGTCTGTCAGTATTGTCACCCTGTTCACAGTTCCACATGACTGAAAATGCTGTTGGACTTCTTCAGGTGTACATGCATAGTCAACCTGAATCATAATTTGGAAAGCATTTTAATAAATTACAACACTCTGTTGCAGCTTTACAAGACTGTAATTAAATTAAAAAACTTCACATAGAAAAGTTGAACAGGAATTAGACATGTAGGTAACGGGCACTAGAGAGTAGTGCCTGTAACAGTCAAGCCACCAAATACAAATTAATGTGGTCTTGACACAAGCAGCAAATGGATTAAGATAAGCTTAAAAGGAAAATAAGCATTAGCATGTAGTTAGTCTGAGGCATAGTAATCAATCCCCGATAATGACACAAAGTGCTAACTCCAAAAATACTACAGCGGTATAGCGGATAGCGGGATGACCGCTATTCTGAAGTACCTAGTATAAATTAAGCTATACATATATATGCTAAAAAATATAAAATTAATATCCAAAAGAGAGCAGGAAAATAAACACAGAGAAAGAAATAAAAAACAGAGAAGGAAAATAGAAAACAGAGAACTAGTTAGTCACTGGAAAATATGTAGGTTCATCGGAAGCCTTGCTGGAGATGGACATTGGAAGCAAGAGAATGACGCAAAGAAAAAAGATGACAAAAAAACAGAACCAGAGAGAACTGAGAGATGAGAATACGAACATAGGGCTCATGAGGGAGAAGAAGATATCAGAAATGCAAAGGGGCGCAATCCCAATATTGCGCCTATTTAAAGTCATCCAACATTCAAAAAGGGAGGACAAAGTCAAGTTTTAGCCAAAGATGAAATAGCAATTGTGATGACCATGATTCTCCCGTGATTTGGCTGCTATTCGCAGCGTGATGGCTATTGCACTTAAACGCAATGCTACAAGCTCCTCATAGCTGCGACTTGCCACTCTGCTCCGCTCCTTCGCAATAGGAGCCGCTATTGACTAGTATGGTATGAGGTTGATGTAGGATACCAGAGTCCAATTATAATTTATAAGATTTACACACGATTTGCAAATGATAGGTCAGTGTTATTAAATGGCAGCCATGGTGAAATTCGGTGGCGAAAATTAACCCCACCGTTACAGCGTTAGTGTTTTATGGCGTTTTTCTATGGCAGCCGCTACAGCAGCCATGGCAGAAATTGTTGAAAAATGGCATTTTTGCAGGGTTGGGCTGCAAACCTAACCCGGTCCACAGGTTGACCCATGCAAGAAAACCCTAAGGTGACTTGCAAATAGCGGTGCTATCGCGCCGATGCGGTGCAAAGCGGCTGTCAACCACCACTGCCACTGCGTCGCAGGGCATTTGTCACATTATGGTGCTTGCAGGTGGTTCGCGGCCAGAATAGGGAGAAGTCACAGGTGCTACTGCTCGATTTTGGGGAAAGGAAGAAACTGTTTCCTGTTTTTCTTAAAAAGCACCGTTTTGATTTATTTGTAAGGGTAGAAAGGTCATTTACTCTTGATAAAACATATATTTCATCTTCCTCCCCACTTTTCCTCTCTACACAAAAAGCCAAAACCTCAACATAGCAATTTCTCCCATCCTCACCAACTCACCCACTCCATTTTTCCGGAAAAATTAGCTAGTCCAGAGGGTCACCCACTCTATTTCGCCGGAAAAATTAGTTTTTCCGGCATCTCATTTGCTTTTCTGTTCACCGGAGAAATCCGCTTTTCCGGCATCTGTTCTACTTTTTTGTTTGAGCTCTATTTTACTATTCACCGATCATTCTTGCTTTTCTATTCAAGATCTGTTTTGCTATTCATCCTCTGTTTTGTTGTTCAAGCTCTGTTTAGCATTTTTTGTTTAATATAACATCCATGCTGCAGTGTTTTTCTCTTTTACACTGTTACTGCTACTTTGCTACTTGGAATGATGATGATGTAATCTTGAGAATTTCTTGAACATTCATATTAAATTTCTGTGTACATAAATATTATATATGCATATTATAATATTTTTTATATATTTTATTATATCCGTCATAACCTGTCATGACGGCCGCCATAACTTTATGGCAGATTTTTTGGTTTCCACCATGAGCCCCCATTGTGATAGGTCTTGCAGCATTAAGAAGATGCATAAATTGGGTTTCTTTAAGTAAACAAGTAACATTGCCAGCTTCTCAATCACCTAGGTTTAATGCTTGGATAATTTTCTCTTTCTTCTCTAACCTAATTGTCTGCAACCTCTCATGTTTGATATTATTAACTCTACTTTTGCATATTGGTAACTCCAAATTCATACCTTTTGCATATTACACTACTTACATATAAATGCTTTAAAAAAACCAAAATTACAGGCATGTCATGCCATCATCATTAATGATAAAAAGTCATAGTCTAGACTCCCAATTACTGTCAGTCTAAACAGATAATTAACAAATCAATACTAAAGAGTACAAGACTGAAGCGGAAGTGCTCTGTTGGGCAGGCTGTGACTGATATGATGACATGGCTGCACCAAAGAGGGGACAGAATTAATAATCAACAGCAAAAAGAGACAAAAGACGGATGGAATCATGAAAGAAATTGCTGCAAAGGAAAAAAAAGGCGAACACCTGTGTGTATAAACTATAAATGGAGTCTAGAGAAGGGTATGGACTCAACCATAAAAGTCAATCCCAGAAAGCACTTCAGAGCAACCAACCTCAAAACGCTATAGCAGCAGGATGACCGCTATTTTAAGATATCCTTAACATAGATTATACTACACATATACGTGTGATGAAAAATTAAAAAAAAAAAAAACCCAATTTAAAATGTTCATAAGTAATGATCAAAAGTTAAGAGCATGGGAACTTAATAACATGCATCAATAATAGTAAAATAAAGGAGTTGCCAAAAAATGGGCCAAACAAGGGTTGGGTATTGCCAAAAATTGCCTGAGCACATTGCAAAAGGATCCAAACGGAGGTGGGTCTCACCAGAAAGTGCTGGAGCTTCTGGAAAATGACCCAAAGAGAGGTGGGTCTCACTGGGGATGCTAGGTACGATCAAAAACTGGCTGGAAATTCAGAAAACCGCCTGATTCTAGCCGGAAAAGATGGTGGCCTACTCAAATTCTCACCAAAACGGGTTGGATCTCATTGGAGTTAATGGCTGCTTGGGTTGGGGAGTTGGGAGTGTGCAAAATAAGACCCTTAGGATCTGCTGAGGTATCAATAAGTAAAAGGGGGTGAAATTACAAGATTGCCCCCTAAAACAGGTTCAAACAATTTAAAATTGAGGGGAAAATGGGCATTTTCACCCAATGAAAAAATAGCAGCTGGGATGGCCATGAATGGCACTAAATGCTAGTGCCACTCTAGACGCAACGATGAAGTGCAATGCTACAGGATGACCAGTGGCAGCAGACAGCCGTGCCACTCCACGACCGCACTATAGTACAGTATTGACTATCTGAGGGGTGGTGCAGAGGAACAGAGCAGCAACCTATCGCATCATTCTTAAGGACTGAAGGGCTTGCGAAGCCTTTTTCACATTCTGATGAAGGAAAATGTATGAAATTCCAAAAATTGCCAGAAATCAGAAAGGCAGTCAAACAAAAAAGGGGGCAAAATAGGGATTTAACGGTCTGTTAACCATATCAGCTGTGATGGCCGTCATTTGTCCACTACCTGCCAATAATTCAGGCAGCTATTGCTGCTCCACAAAAAAGCAACGCACTTCATTCAAGGAAAGGCCAGACAAAATGAATCTACACCACTACATAGTGTGCTATTAAGTATTAACTACTCTTGCAGGATCATTGTCAAGATGACCAAGTCTTTCACTCCTTGTGCTTTTATTCTTTTGTTAGATTCCAGTTTTCCTTTCTGTAAGGACCTCTCTAACTCATACTCCCATCTTGCATTAGTCTAATTCACTTAACTCTAAATTCACAACATAGTTGTCAATCTTGGATAACGGTGCATAGCAAATGACCCTCAAATGCTATAGCGGGATAACCGCTATTTTGAAGTTTTATATATATATATATATATATATATATGCAGATAATTATGTATATAATGCTAAAAAAATATGCATAAATGTCATATGCATAATTATCAACAAAAGACATGAAGAGAAGAAAGAAGGTGGACTTTCCGGGAGAACATAACAGAGGCAGTACTATAGAATCATAGAATAGAGAGGAAAGGAAGTGGATTTTGCCAGAGAAGTCATCGAAGATGAGTAATTCCGCAGGATTGGAGATTGTTGCAAAGCAGAACAAAGACAGATATGAGAGGGGGAGTGTCCAACAGCGAAGGGGAGAACAAAAGAAGTGGAGAAAAAGTGGGGTTTCATCTTGTGTCTCCAGTTGCAAAGCAGAACAGCAATAGAGATGAGAGGGCGGCAAAGAAGAAGAAAAATGTGAGGTTAGGTCTAAAAACTGAGAAGATTATTTTACCCTTAACAAGACCTCAAGACCATGTCATCTTAAAGGCAAAAAGGTAAAATCAGCTTATTTCTAAAAGATTAGAAGTCTTTTTTACCCCTTAAAAAACCCTAAAATTCCTTTTTTTTAGGTAGAAAAGGAAAGTTGGTATTTTACCCTATGGTGACGCTATTGTGCTGCGAAAGGCCACATTTTGTGCTGCAATGGTCCAGCGACAGCAAAAACAATCCGCTATGCCAGATCTGTGGTGGTCAAAGGCTGCTCCACCACGCTCTGCTGCTATCGTGCCCTATTGACAACTATGATTTCCAATGAAGAAAGTTAAATTATTATAACCTAATTAGACCAATTATTTTGCTAAGTGGTACAACTTGATTTTATTGATAAATTGAGTACAGTATGATGAGAATTTTAATGAAACCAATTTCATCAATTGAGTTGGTCAGCAGTGTCAAAACCAATCAGTCCGAACAATGAACAGTAAATATCTACTTAAAACATTTTACTTCCACAAAGAGGTAGGATGCAAAAAAAAAGAAAAAAACTACTAAAAGATTCAAAAGAAACATAAATAAGCTGTAAGGCTGGAAAATCGACATGTTAAAATGGTAAAGTGATAACTGATTTGATAACAAAATATTTCATAATTTAAACCTCATAGGTGATTGATGGCGGAGGAAGAATTAATGACCACAATGTTACACTTTTGGCAGGTACTGCTGAGAGAGGGAGGGAGAGGCACATGCCTCTCAATATACGGCAGAGCAAAAATATATAGATAACAAGGTAATAAATACAAAGATCATAAGTACCTTAATTACTGTAATTACAAGATTAAGCTAATCCTATGAACAAAAATGTAGAAACTATTTGCATACTTTCCAACAGGGACACTTAATATCCAGAAATGGATCCCCTGCATTATGCGACAAATCAGCATGGCACGCAGCTACTGATCTCACAAGTTAAACAAATTTCATTTCCTTTATTGACTAAAACTATCAAATACAAAAATTCAGTTAAGGACAGAAATCGGCGCAGTTTTATTTCAACTGCAAGACCCTGTTCCCTCAATTCCAGTCATAAAGATATGTCCCCCATGACCTCTGTCATAGGTTAAAGCTACCCCACAAATCCGCTATCATTTTACAACAACTAATTGAGATATTCATCAGTATCTGATTTATTCTACTGCGGGAAAGGTGAAGCTATCAGCACCAAACAAATAATTTAACACCATGAAACTTAAAAGCTATCAAAGGATCAGCTACAAGCAAACATCATCATAGGAAAACACATATACCTAGATACAACTAAATCAACCAACAAGAGCAGTGTCTCAAATGACTACTATAAATCAGTACAAAAACGAAAAAGCGAAACAATAATAGAGATATGCAAACCTCACATTACCAACATAGATTGACCGCGAATCGACTTCCTCCTTTTCAGCTTGAGTTGCAGAAGGACCAGACGAATCTTTAAACGAAAACAGAAAAACAATTGAAGTTGATAAACTGAAGTAAATCCAAATACGAAACAGATCTGAATCGAAGAAACAAACCTTGAACAGCGCCCATCTCTTTCTCAACCTTAGCCTGCATTTCGCGAAGAGCGCTTGCTTCTTCCTCGATCTCCTTCAGCCTCTTCTTCATGTCCTCCAAGTCCTATGAACATCATTATTCATCGATATCATCACATTAGAGAGAGAGAAAAAAAGAGGATAAGAAAAGTAAGCAAAACCTAAACACGAACCCTAACCTTGTTTGTGTGATTGGGGGGAAGTTGTTCGTCTTGTTGTTCAGCGTCTGCGTCCATCTCAACCTCCTCGTCGGGAATGTCTGCACCGTACACTTCGTGCTCTTCCTGCTCCATCTCTCTTCTCTTCTCTTCTCTTCCTTCTCGCTCTGCTGTTACAGCAAAACTGGTTTTGTTTTGGGTTTCTCCACCACCTTAACTACGATCTAATTCAAATATCAAATATCAAATATCCTATCCTACATGCAGTGAAAAAAAATTACTATTAAAATAAAGTTATCCATTCACTGTAACTTTTAAAATGATTTCCGTGTTAGCACATGTCACATATTTTGAATGACAATGTTTTTAAAGTAAGGCCCAATTTATATTATTTTTCTAATAAAAGTAAATAGTAACTTGATTTGAATGTAAAATAATGTAGATGAAAGATAAATATAAATAAATTAATGTATTACGAAGTCCTTAATCGTATTTATTATAGTGAATTTTAATATGAAAAAAGTTTTATCATCGATATTTTATATTGGAAACTTTTTTGTATTTTGAAGGTGATTCAAAATACAAATTAGTGTTTGTATTGATAAATTTATCCCTTTAACAGTGCGCATGTGTTCGAATGGAAAGGTTTTAGTATCTTATAAATGAAATAAAGAAAGGTAAATAGTTTTTTAAATACCTTCTTAATAGTGCTAACAAAAATTTCTGAACAGGAATGGAGGGATTATTTAAGATTGAATAGTATTTTGCATTGTATTTATATATGTCAAAGTTTTATGGTGCTGCTTAAAAAGATTAAATTTGTCCTTGTCCAAGTGATTATTTTAAAGAAAAATGTTTAAAATACAAAATGTGTTTAAAAAAAAAAACATTTGTCATTAAAAAAATTTATGTACAAACTAAGTTCATAATATACGACTTTAATCAGTTTTTTATTCTTTAAATACGAGTTGTGTATTACAATCAGAAGGTTATCTAATATACCATTTGCAATATATTTTTTGTTATTTATTAAAATTTATTTAAAATATTAAAATAAAAGAAAAAATATTAAATTAAATAATATAAAGAATGAAATCAACGTAATTTTCATAAATTTTAATCAATAACTAGTTATAAAGTATATTGTTTATATAATTAGCAATAGCATGAGTATAAAATTATGGTATGATAACTAGTTTTTGATATTGGGTATTTATGCAAATATGTCATTAGCCCTTGTCTGATTTGGATCTAGATCTAGATGTTCTTTTTACTCTATTGTCTACTTATAGAGTTTAAGACTTGAATAAATTAGATATTATCACTCTGAATACATTTATATGTTGATAGTTAATACTAAATCTCCTTTAAATGATGGAGACTTAACTCAATATTTAAAATATAATAAATAAGATTTTTTTTTCTCTTGAATCAACTTATTTTTTATTATATTATCCAAATAAATCTTCTACAGATCGTCATAAATTGTTTAATCTAGTTTTGAAATTGATAGATTTTTCTAAAACTATATTGCTTATCTAAAAATTTGCTTAAAATAAAAAAATTTATGTACAAACTAAGTTCATAATATACGACTTTAATCAATTTTTTATTCTTTAAATATGAGTTGTGTATTACAATCAGAAGATTATCTAATATACCATTTGCAATATATTTTTTGTTATTTATTAAAATTTATTTAAAATATTAAAATAAAAGAAAAAATATTAAATTAAATAATATAAAGAACGAAATCAACGTAATTTTCATAAATTTTAATCAATAACTAGTTATAAAGTATATTATTTATATTTTTTTATACGAGTGGTTCTTTTGTAAGTTAAGATGTTAATTAACAAAATAAGTTAAAATATTATTATTTTATTTCTAACAATAGGTTAATTTAAATGTAAAAATATATATAATTGGTTCAAATATTTTATTAAGAAAGGTAGGAAAATCTTTATATATAAAATATAATTTCTTCTTTAGATAAAATTTTGAGATTAAGAAAGATAAGAAAATCATTCACTTATGCAATAGTTTATCTTCTACTTGGTGTGTATTTTCTCATAGTTTTGGTTGAATAATTAGCAATAGCATGAGTATAAAATTATAGTATGATAACTAGTTTTTGATATTGGGTATTTATGCAAATATGTCATTAGCCCTTATCTAATTTGAATTTAGATCTAGAGGTTCTTTTTACTCTATTGTCTACTTATAGAGTTTAGGACTTGAATAAGTTAGATATTATCCCTCTGAATACATTTATATTTATATGTTGATAGCTAATACTAAACCTCCTTTAAATAATGGAGACTTAACTCAGTATTTAAAATATGATAAATAAGGTTTTTTTTTTCTCTTGAATTAACTTATTTTTTATTATATTATCCAAATAAATCTTTTGCAGATCGTCATAAATTGTTTAATCTAGTTTAGAAATTGATAGATTTTTCTAAAACTATATTGCTTATCTAAAAATTTGCTTACAATAAATTAATGATTAATCTGGAAAGGCATAAATGAAGTATGACTTCTTTCTCTCTTTGTGATAGATTTAGTTACGATGTCGAACCTAACATACTTGTTTAGGATTTAGGGTTATTAGAGACTGTTTTTATGCTAAAAAAGTTTGAGATTTCTTTCTTTTTTCTCACTATTAGATTCTTTTATCCAGTGAAGGAATATTATATTAGGTAATATTTAATCTCTCTAATCAGAATTTCATTAACTTTTCTTATTTGAGTAGTTTATTTAGGATTATTGTTAGTACTTGTAGAAAAATAATAAATTTATTTTTAATAATGATTTTGTCCGGCCTTCAATTCTTATTCAGAAAATTTTATATGATCTTAAGTACCAATTTAGTTGCTTTTGAAATCAATTTGGCTCTATTGTTCAACAATTGAATGGAGTTGTTTCTCTAGTTGAGGGAAGTATTGCTTGTGATGGCTTAATCCGCAATGCTCAAGGACAATTTGTGAGTGAATTCAGCAAAAGTTAAGCTTTATGCTCTCCTCTCACTACTAAACTTTAGAGTATTCTATTTGAATTGGAGCTAACTTTTTTGAAAGAGAGCTTCATGTCATATAAATTGAAAGTGACTTTAAAGAAGTTTTGTTTTTAATTTTTAATGTTTAAAGTACTAATTACCCTTTATTTAATTTTTTTTAAACTATAAATATTATTAAAAATGTTTAATTTATTCAATTTGACCTTGTGTATAAAGAAACAAACCAATGTGAATTAAATCTTGAAAGTGTTTTATATTCCAACTGTATCAACACTTTTTTTCTTCTTCCATGTTCCGTTTTCTTTGTATTGATTCTTTATACATTTGGTCCCTTAAATTGAGTCGTTGCTGGGCTTTTTAGCCCCCTCATTTAGGAAAAAAACAAAAAGATAACAGCAATTTTTCAGTCTACATTTTTTTTTCTTTCAAAAATATTAGCAGCAAAGCCTAAGCCCATTGAAATAGTTTTTTTTATTTTTATTTTGAATGGTAATCTCAATTGAATGGATTAAAAAAATCAGTATAATTAGAAAAATATGTAGAAGCTATGCTATAATATAGTAAATATTAAGACAAAAACAAATATTACTAATAAAAATATTAAAATACTGGTCTCAGCGTGACTTTCTTTTTATATTATTATATTATATTTTATTTTTACTATAAAAGACATAAGTTGTATGCAATGAAAATTGTATTAAATCAGATAATGAACGTTGAATTAAAATGGGATGGACGAAAATATTGATAGAGTATAATTCTGAAATTTATTCCATTTCGAGAGTTGAGTTGGATTTCAAAAACAACTAAAATTATGTAATTTTAGCATGACTTATGTGTGAAAGGGTTTTTATTATCCTTAATTTGGTGCGAAATAGAAGGGGGGAAATGAGCCAAAATTCTATCTTCCACTTTTATTATGGTCAAGTAACAAAAATCTGCTGTGTTGTCAAGAGAAATTGTTAACAATTAATCTCTGACTCTGTATATTATTTAGATGCGTCTTTTATTTACATTTCAATATCTATATAATACATTATTTATCATTTATGTATTCAAATACCATATTGTTTTATTTAAAATTAGTTTTTTTAGTTCTTTTTGCAAGATTTGGACAAATTATTTATTTTGTAATTTTTTAAAAATATACTAGATGAAAGGAATTGTTTGTTTACAAAAAGTTTACTAAATTAAACACCGACTCATGTATTATGTTTGATGTTTTTTACAGTTCTTATGTTTATCTTGTTTTTTAATATAAGATTCAATTAATGTCGTGTGAATTCATTTTGTATTTTATACTATTAAGTAGTTTTTTTTTAATATTGTTCTGATCCTTACTTCAAATGGCAAAGTTATTATTTTGATATTTGATAATTTGACGATGTTGGTTGTTGTAGTTGGTAGAGATATTTTGAGAAAAATTCAGTAAAAGATATTTATTTACATTCTCATAAAATGCCAATATGTTTATTTATAGGCAAAGTTGTCTTTAGGTTAGGTTAAATACCTATCACTAAATGAGAGGCTGGTTCCGTTATGTACATTTTTAAAGGTTTTTAAAATCAAACCAATCAGTAAGCTGGTAAAAGTATTAATTTACAATTTATTAGTTTAAATATATATATTTCTACTTTATATAATATATTAAATTTAAATTGATATATTAATTAAATTTTTTGCTGAAATTAAGTTAATTTACAATAAGCTTGTTAATTGGTGTAAGATATTGAAGCATATAGAATCGAGGAACGTTATGGTTGGCAACGAGTGAGATTGGTAAATATGAATATGATAAAAAAAGAATAAGAATCTAAAAAAAGGAAGAGAGAGTTATGGTTGGCAAAAGGAGCGGAGAGAAAGAAACAAATGAGATTGGATTGGGGGAAAGACATTGGATTGGGGAGGTTCATGACACGCCCTCCCTCCTCCTCGTCCCCCTCGTCGTGGACGACAGCGAGTGGCACCACACGCCGTCGCATCTCCTCTCTCTTTGCCTTCAACTGGATCAAAACGCTCAAACGCACCAAAACTTCCGACAAACTCTACCAGATATACGTCCATTCCTACAAACTCAAATAGTCGCATGCAATGCACCCAATTCTCAGCGCATAACAATCTATTCATTTAACTGCCTCGCATTGTTACTTCCCAATAATCAATTAATTAATATATAAATACAAAATTGAAAAGAAGAATGTCTCAAATCATGGCTCCCTTCCAGCTGTTGGAGCTGAACGTGATATCGGCTCAGGACCTGGCTCCGGTAGGCCGAAACATGAGAACCTACGCTGTGGCTTGGGTCCACCCAGACCGCAAGCTCTCAACGCGTGTCGACACGCAAGGCCACACCGGTCCCACGTGGAATGACAAGTTCGTATTTCGCGTCGACGAAGAATTTCTCTACTCCGACGAGTCGGCCATCATGATTGAGATCTACGCGCTCCACTGGTTCCGAGACATCCACGTTGGCACCGTCCGTGTCCTCGTCGGAAACCTAATTCCTCCACCCTCGAGGCCATTCCAAAGCAACCGGCCCCCCCTCGGCATGCGGTTCGTCGCCCTCCAGGTTCGGCGGCCCTCCGGGAGACCCCAGGGGATCCTTAACGTGGGCGTCGCCGTCCTCGACAGCTCCATGAGAAGCATGCCTCTCTACACTCACAACGCCTCCGCCGTCGGATACCGCCACCTCATGGGGGAGAAAGACGCATACGACACCCACAACCACCTCAGCCCCCACGTCTTCCACCATCAAGCCCCAAGGCCCGAGCTGCGCCGAACCAAGAGCGACACCAGCTCCATCATCGCCTCTGAAGCCATGGCGCGCCAACAACGAGCCTTCGTCAACAAGGGCAAGGCCAATTCCATCATTTCGGGGTCAGAGGTAAGCGTGAAGAAGAAGAAGAAGAAAGGGAAGAAAAAATCCAAAAGTCCAAGCTCCGTGCTCAGTGGTGTCTCTGCCAAGAGTGGAAAAGCCACCCGCTCTGTTCTCAGCGACACCGCTTTGCCATGGAAAGTTAAGAACCGAAAAAACAGTTCCGCTCCCGCCGTTGATAACGTTCAGGTGGAACCACTGCCACCTCCCGTTCACAACGTCGTCGTTGAGGGCGATGATGCACATTCAATCGTTAACAGCGTTTCTGAAGCTGCCACCACCGAAATCAATGCCAACGCAACCCAAGAACATGTTCCTGTCAACAACGTCGCTTACGAAGTTAGCGCCTCTCCCAGACCGCACTATCGGAACTCGCCGGCGCCAGCACAATTTCGGAACTCTCCGGCACCGCAGTTCAAGAACTCCCCGGCTCCGCAGTATATGAACTCCCCGGCAGCCCATTACAAGAACTCGCCGGCGGCCCATTACAAGAACTCCCCGGCACCCCATTACAAGAACTCGCCGGCACCGCATTATAAGCACTCGCCGGCACAGCAGTATATGAACTCGCCGGCGCCGCAGTATATGAACTCGCCGAAGCCGCAGTTTGTGAACTCGCCAAAACCGCATTATGTGAACTCTCCGAAGCCTCAGTTTATGAACTCTCCGAAGCCGCAGTTTGTGAACTCTCCGATGCAGCAATTTCGGAACTCTCCGGCGGTGGTGCCGCCACAGTTTCGGAACTCGCCGGCGGTGTCGAAGTTCAATCCGGCGGTGGGGTACGGCGGGTCGCACAAGGGCACGCCGATGCACCAGTTCGGGAAGTTTGAATACGCCACGCCGCGGAGGTCGAACTTGGGGAACATGGGGCTCGTGGTGATGACGGAATCGGAGTTGGGACCGTCGCCGTCAGAGGTGGCGGCGGAGATGGCGAGGAAGCCGGTGATCGACGAGGGGGAGAACTCCACTGTGGGAGGGTGGAGCCTGGACGAGAGCGTGGAAGGGTTGCAGTCGAAGTTAGAGAGGTGGCGGACGGAGCTGCCGCCGGTGATCGATCGCGGCGAGTTATCGAGCCACCCGACGTCAAGCACAAAAACGAGCCGCCACTCGCGGAGGCACACCGACGGTGGGAATGGCTTGTTTTCTTGCTTTAGCAACATCTGTGGCCTCCAGTGCACCATTGTTTGCGGTGGCGATCCTAAAGGAAAGAAGAACCGGGGCCGCCGCAGTCCCTCCGCCGAGATTGCCAGCTCAATGTGATGATGATCAGTTGTGTGGTTGGGTTGCATTGCATGCATGCATGGTGGAGCCAAAAGGTGAAGAACAACAACTACTACTACTACTACATGGAAATTGATTTGTGGTGGCAAGACAAAGCAAAGGACTAAGCTGTAATTTTATTAATTCTTTAATTGTTTTTGCTACCCTTTTGTCATTTTAACGCATGTTGCTTTCATCTCTGATGAATATTTGGTTGGGACTCCACAAATACAACATAAGGCTATACACATATATATACATATATTTTTATGATCTCTCTCTCCGTCCGTTTTCTTTGATTTAGTTGTAGAATGAATCTGTTGCAAGTATATATCACATTACCCTTGTCATTCATGACTTTGTTTGCTTGCTTCAAATTAAATTTAGCTTAACTATAAGGCTTGTATTCAATGTTTCCAAGAGTTGTGGTTGTTAACTTGTAACAATATGTGAATTGCTGCCAAGTTGTAACACGCTAACATGCTCTACGCTTACAAACTAATTTGCACGAAACTAATTGACTTTCAACACAAAATTTTGGTTCTAGCACACAAATTCTTTCAGCTTATGGTTTTATTCTAACAATTGGGTAGAAACTGATATCTACGCAAGCATCGTAGCTTATCTACAAAAACCTCCTGGGATCAGTTACGAAACCAGTTAGTGCAGATGCAGCTGCAGTATATGGAGACGCAAGATATATCTGGCCTTCCATGTGCCCCATCCGACCAGGGAAATTTCGATTTGTTGTTGACACACAGACCTGCATTGAGAGACCTTTCATCAGTTTCATCAAAAGAAAAACAATAAAACAAAGATTTAATATAAAAATGTTGGTTTACATTTATCTATAATCACTCTAGAAAATATTATTTAGCAGATTGGTGAGTAAGTAGCCTTTGAATTTCGATTTTCTGAGTATAAATTCACCTTGGGTTCATTCAAGCGTCCATATGTATCTTTTGGGCCACCCATACATGCAGCACAACTAGGACTTGCAGGTGGATCACACCCAGCTTCTTCAAATATCTGTGAACAAGTCTTGCCACCTGAGTCAGGTACCTCAAGTGTGTATAAGTCCATCCAAACCTGATAAGTTAACGATTCTGGTGATTAACACTTTTGCGAAACAGGAAATACATCACGGGTCTTGAATAGAACTTCACAGACCTTTTGGGTAGCAGGAACAAGAAAAGTAGGAACTTTGACAGTTTTCCCCTACAATGGAACCGGTTTCATTATGTTAAGGATGGTGTAAAAAGAACAAGAAGAGTAACTAATGTTTACTGTGCGGAAAAATTAAAAATTAGAACTACATAAACACACTATTCTGCATGTAAGTGCACCCTCAAAAGAAACTCAAATAAGGCGTACTTAGATCAAATACTCAATTGTCTCACATACTCATGGTCACAAATCATTATGCTTCCTTACTTTTATGCGTTGAAAGAATTATCGCTCACTAACTCATGCAGAAATTATATTTATATATGGTTTAATATAGATATTATGGAAAACCACATTGTAAATTTTCAGTTGAATACTTTCATAACAGGTGGAGTTAAAATAACATGTTTGTCCTCAGTTCCAAATTTTTGTGAGAAGCAGAATTTTGTTGTCCAAATTCATCACCATACATACAGAAACATAGAAGTAACTGGTTCATGCCCTACAGAATTTTTGTGCAAAATTCGCATGTTATAAACAAAGAGAAAGAGAAAGAGAAAGAGAAAGAAAATTATAAGAGACATACACCAGCTAAGAAAAGTTTTGCAGCAGCCATAAAATCTTCAGTCTTCCCACCAGTGCATGATCCAATGTATACTCTGTCAATTTTCACGTTGTCGCATTCTCTTGCCAAAGCACGATTATCAGGGGAATGTGGCTGTGTAGTGGTTCAAATACATACATTACATCAGCAATCAAAAACATTTTTTTTACTATACTAGACTCGTACACTTTATGGCATATTGAACATAAAAAATATGATCGAGTACCTTTGCCACCAATGGCTCCATCTTTGATACATCAAATCTATACTGGGCTAGAAATCTAACACATCAAGAAGAAAAATAAAAACAACTTCAAAAAGCCACACCAGATAAAGCGAAAGGGAGATATATATGACTTGTTCTGAAAAGATGTGCTTGTTTTTATGATGAAAAATGAGAAAGATTACAACAGAGCTAGCTCTCGAAGTCACCCAATGTCATTACTCATCCGTATTTTGATAAAACATTAAAACTTTACCAATACACCATTATAAAACTTTTAACCTATTGGCCAATCAGAAATGGCTAATATCCTAAATTGCATTTCTGAGAACAAATGTACTTAAATTACATGAAACATCCTATGGCCAAATCCGAGTACGAATATCATCTGTGGTCCATCTAACATGACAACGACAGACCCAAGAAAAGGGAATTTATAACTTGGTAATTATGGATCAAAAGGGAATTTATATGAGGAGCAAACAGAACATACCTTGCTTTCTCATCACTAAAAACTGGCTCATAGGGTGTGGAAGTCTTGTCCTGTGCAAAGCAACTAAACAATATAAAATCCATCCAGCGAGAGGAAGGGGAAAGAATTAAGATGTAAAAACTCCACAAATTGAAGGCATAACTCTTTACACAAAAACATGCGCTGCAGGAGCATATTTGAAGCATTACTAAACCAGCGCATGTTTTTATTGAAAATTCAGCATCTTGCATGCATGTATATAAAGCACATGCTTAATCAATATTACATGCTTTCTACAGAGAGAAGAAAGAAACAATGAAATTGAGAAAAACATAAAGGGCTCTGACTAACTCCAACAACCTCAAGGTATTTGTATGTGGTCCTATCAGCAGCAACAATACCATTTTTCCCTCCAGCTTCTACAACCATGTTGCACAGTGTCATCCTTTCTTCCATCTGCAATACAGCAATTCAGAAGTCTCATACTTGTGCAAACAACATGGCAAAGAGAAAGAAAACAAAAAAGTTAAAAGTGTACATACAGTTAGACTTTCAATAGTGGTCCCAACAAACTCCATCGTTTTATATGTTGCACCAGACATAGATATTTCACCAATGATCTGGATGGTGGTTAATGTTTTCAAATGGCACACCACAAAGAGATAATAGTGTTATATAATCGTGTCACACAATTTTTATTAACTGCATTTCATTCAAATGGATAAACATCACCCACATTCAAAATTAAATCCTTTGCAAGCAAACAGCTGGGCATTTCACCATCCAGCACAAATCTTAATGTTGGAGGCACCTGCAGTTTGAGTATATTCAGGGCATTTGTTGGCAATTGATGAGAACAAATACCAAAATGCACAAGAAAAATGATAGAGCTGTTAATTTGGAATAAAAATACTAATGTTGATCTTATATGTAGGGGATACTACATGGTTTTAACCTTAATCAACAAACTCTTAAATACAGTTAATAAAATGGTGATATTTGTTTACTTGCCTTGAGTAAGATCTGCCCTGTCCCAAGTATAAAAGCTGCATCAGTGTTACCCACTCCTGTGGCAAACTGGCCAAATGCTCCAGCTGATGTGGTGTGAGAATCGGTACCAAACAAGACCTGTCATCACAATATATCAATACAGCTCTGAAACCTGTAGATTTCAAATTTTAACGTCCTAGCTTTGTTAACAGAAGTCACCTCTCCAGGTCTGCAATGACCCTCCTGTGCTAGAGCAACGTGACAAACACCTTTATAATCAGGATTCGCCTGCAATGTATAAATTATTATTATGCGGTCTATAATATTTATTCAGGAAATTGTTTTATTTTAAGCAATGAAATTTTATTTATTGATAATAACTGCTAATATTTAATTTTCTAATAAGAGCTTTATTAATCAAAATGACCAACCACACGATATCATAGCATCGACATTAAAGATATGTAAAACATGTACATGTATATTTAAAGAAAATTGATGAATTTATAATTTTGTGTACCCGAAATAGTTATGTTAGTAAAAAAAAGAAGAGTCCACCTAAATTCGCAAGGGTCCGTGTGTGGTTTCACTTCAAATATCTAGAATAATTTTTTAAACTATTTTTTCTTATTTTTAATTAATTAAACAATGTTAAAATATCAAACAAGGAAAAAGAAATTAAATCAACAAATATACAAGACGATAGAGAAACCGTACCCTAAAATTACTGCGATCTTGAATATCATAAAAGTACCTAATGTCCTGCTCCATGCAGAAGTCTCTTGCAATATCCACATTTCGGTGTGCGCGTTCATCTTTTGTGAATATGTAATGATCAGGGATAACAACAATCTTTTCACGGTCCCAAACCTTCAATCTCAAATTAGCCTCAAAGTTTAATAATTTTATCGACAAAACCAACAGTCACACACATATGAACATGTACAGAAACGAAGCTACAATATTTACAAATAATTAATTTGTTTCACATTATATATATATATATATATATATATATATATATATATGTATATTATAAAGGTATTTAAAAAAATATACTCCAAACACACACAAAAAAACAGCTAAAAATGTTTCTTCTAAACATTAAAAAAATGCGTTACCTAAGTAAAATAGATAATCCATTGCAAATCACCCGTGGGCATATAATAAGAATTGATCTCTAGAATTGGAAAAATAATGTATATTGCGAAAGCACTTTGCAAGTAACATTAAAGCGCACACATTTTAGCTCAAACCATTTTACCTTTCTATACTTGCTTGCATGCAAATTTATTTTGTTTTACGTTGATAACTTTTGAAATCTGATGATAAATTAACTTTTAAAGTGTGTTAAAAATCAAGCATTGTATAATTATCATTAGTGAACTTATTAATGAACGATATCGTGTTACACAAACAATAGGTCAAAACTAATCACTGTTATAAAGAAACAATTCTGAACTTGAATTGGCAAGCAGAAAAGAAATTTTGCAAGCAACTAGCAAGGCTTTAATTCTGATTTCTGAGTTTTTCTTATGTTTGATATGGTTGATGATAGCATAGGTGGGGATTTCAAGTGAAGATACCTTGGCAGTGTTACCAAACTCTTTCTTGAAGATCCCAGACACACCTGGACAAGTGATATCATTGATCATCAAAACATCCGCATTAACCCACGCGTTCTCCCCTGCCCTCACCTCCCTTTTCTCAGCAGCTCTCGCCAGTATCTTCTCTGTCGCTGTCATTGCATTTTCGATCTACAACAGTGCAACAACACTCACCATTACTTCACCGGTTATGAATGCAAAACGAACATGAAAGTGAAAGTGAATAAAAGCTTGAACACAACTGAGCCACTTGCACAAGGACTGCGTTTCTTCTCCGTTGAAGCAACTGAAACAATCTTCTTCGATGTTGTTTTCTTGCATTTCTCTACTCTCCAATCAATTTTAAAGGACGACGACGACCATGGTGATGATGATGAAGGAAAAGCAAAATGACCTAAATCTTTCTGAAATCAAAATATAAGAATCACAAATATGTGCTAATTTAAATATTCAATTAAGATCAACTTCAGGAACCAAAATCTGACGAAGCAATTGTTTTAGGCTTAATGGAAAGACCTTGCAAGTGATGAAAGGTGCACTGTTGAATGCCATGATTGAAGCACGGTTGGTAGGTAATGTTAATTAGATTATCAAATTACGATATATGGAGTGCAATAAACAATTTATTTATTATTTTATGAGGATGTCAAGAACAAAACGAAAACGGAAATTGGTATGATCCATATTCTGTATTATAATATTTTATATATTGAAGTAGAAGAAAAGGGGGAATTTTCTTCTCACTTTCCTTTGAACGAATCAGCCTATGATCACAATTCAGACGTCTTTCATGACTATGGTCAACATTACCTTTGCTTCCCATTACTTCTCTAAACTCTATCATTAGAAACCCACTTAATGATCGATTGATTTAAAGTAAGATAAAATTAATTTTAAACCATTTAAATTAATCTAATAAGGGGTAATAATGAGATGTATATTTTGATTCCCATTACTTCAAATTAGATATATTGAAATGTACTTTTTTCAAAATGAAAATTACGATAACTCAAGCAAACAATGGTTAACCATCACAAACCAAGCACAGTATATTTGGGTGAAACCCATCTAAATTTGTGAATAATTGTATCAACATATAAGAATAAGATGACTGATCCAATTTTAATGTGAAAAAACTCTAGAGCAAAATTATTGAATAGCAAAATAAAAATTATAACATCAATAATGGTAACTCTCTCTCTCTCTCTCTCTCTCTCTCTCTTTTAATGATAGCTCTAAAAATTGTGAAAGACATGGTCCGTCCAAAGTGATTTGTAATTTTGCCTCTTCCAAATCACCTACGGTTTAATTTTTTTTCTTTATTTCTTAATTCTGCTGGTTCTTTTCTTTTTCTTTTTTTTTTCTTTTTCTTTTTCTTCTGTGTTTTTCATGTATAGTGACCTAGATCAAGTTTTATTGGATCTTTTCTTTTTTCGTCAATCCCAGCCCAATTTTCTAGAATGAAGCTAGTTCTAGTTCTTCGCAAAAGGAAATGAAAGGAATCATGTGGACATAATTTTCTTTTTTCCCTATTTGATACTTCCATTCTCTCTCTCTTTTTTTTTCAATTAAGGAAATCATTCAAATTTGTATTTTCCTTTCCCCATGTTAATTTTTAAAATAAATGCTACATTCTATCTCTAAAATTGTATATGTAATTCACCTTAGTCCTCTAAAGTTATAAATTATGAGTCTATTTGAAGTTCTGTTCGATAAACGTAATGGAGTTTAAATCCAACAATGGTTTATTTGTTGGCATGAATTACAATGTAAGTCTGATGACTTTGATTCTTACAAAATTAACTCCGGAGCTTGTGAACAAGTAGTCAATTAAGCTCAAAGACATTAGTTTGGAATTTTAAGATTTTAATCACTTTTGTCTCTAAGGTTAATTAAAATTCTAATAATAAATGTGTTTCTTATGGTACTTCTAACTCTTTAAATAGATGAATATAATTCTTTTAATATCTTAAAAAATTAAAGAATATTAATGTTTTCTTTAAATAAACTACTAACTTCATACATTTATTAATATAAAATTAACAGTCGTTGTTTTACGTGTAAAATAACATAGAATACTTTGAGATTCTACATAGCACCATAGAATTTGCCGAATTCTAAAACTCATCATCTCCAAGTCGCTTATCTTCTTCATTCCTTAACACATTAGATAAGCCATCACTGAGACAAAACCAGTTTGCCATGTTCCAGGTTTCACACTGGGGAGAAAGATTTGATATTAATCCGCTAGTTTTCGGTTCCCTAGTAAATCCCACCACACTGTTTGGTAGTATTAATCCTTTCGAATATAGAGTAATACAATTAGGCCATCCTAACAGATGAAATTAAAAAAAGTTACCATTTTTCATCGGGAAGGGTAGTTCACTTACCTTACCCCAAGTTAATATTAATCCATTAATTTAAACCATTCCAGCATGTTCACTGTTAGTTCCTCAGCAAGTGAGCATAAACTACATTACTTGATTATAGAAAAATATTACAACTTGTCAATCTAGAGAATATCGTTAGAGTCATTTGGTTTGAAAGAAGCAGGAAACACGGAAAGAAATTATGAAACCTTATGAATCCACACATTAACCAGGATCATTGTGCATCTATCAATAGCATTTGTGTAATGGTCTTTCCTAAATCCAAGGAGAGTTTTGTTAAGCCTTCGATTTTCATTATAAAACTTGTCCAAATCTTTAATATAAATTACACATGACAATATCATATTAGAGCTAGATTGTTATCCAAAAATAACGTACTGTATCATGTATACAGATGAACTATAATTGTTACATCAGCAATCGAATACAGTGATAAATGAGCAAGGGTCGAGAACTAGGAGAATTTGTTGTTGTAACGGTCACATACTCACAAATGCAAGCGACCAAACAAGGCAGGGGTGCACAACATTTATAAGTCGACAAAAATGACAAAAAATGAACCAACGTTTTTTGTCAGCAAAAGTTATCCATTACATGCACCGTGGAAGTCTACTAGAGAGGTTTAGTGGGACAATAGTTGAAGACTGCATCCTCCCAATTGAGTCTAGTTTTCATCTGCTCCCCAAAACTGTTAGATGGATAAAATATAAAACAAAAAAAAAGTGGCTTTGTCCTTCCAAAAATAAAAATCTCACCGTTTTAACTTCCTCCTGATCTACATTTACATGCAAATCAAAATAAGTAAATAGCAAATTATGATAGGATAATATGTTCCTGTTCTCTTGGAAAATATTTTATTAACAGTCTTCCAATGCAAAAAACTTCTAAAGTCCTGACAACAATGCAGATATCAGGCGATTAATTTGGTGGGCGTGGGACAAGATGAATTTGCATCTTTACTCGCAGCATCTCCTGGAAAAACTACAAAACAATTACTTGAAGTCCAAAAATCAAAACGTATACCAATCATGCTGTGTAATTAATCTCTAAATGATAAAATAAACATTAAACTTTTATTACACCATTACATGATACCCATGTTATAATATTTGGGCACAAAAACAAACATGAAAGAAAATTCACACCAGTAGCAAACCTAATCTAACGCTGTCTGCCAATCACTATTACCTATGCAAACCACAACTTTGGAGTCAAACTGGCATATAATTTGGTAAAAATTATATAAATCATTTTCAAGAGAAATACAGTCTGATTTGAATTCTAAATACTTGGTTATAATGCCGCAAGTGAAGTTTTATGTGTAAATGTCTTCATTTAGCTTCTCTATGATGCTGTAATTCTTTAGCAGATAGTGTATCAAGGTTGGAAGAATTTGTTGTATTGAAATTTTGTCTGCTTTGTTTTTTCATATTTTCACTAATTAGTTTGAAAAGATTTATTGCCCAGTATTGTGTTCTTCTCTTTCAAAAAGTCAAGTTTTTGACATGTCACTCAACTAATATTTTGCCTTCAGTCCTTCTTTCTCCGTCTATTCCCCCTGTCGTTATTTCTGTCTCAACTGGAAAATTTCTTATTACAAGCAAATCAAATGGATAATCAGAATTCATAGACAAAAACAAGTTCTCATAAAATTGACCTACATAACAATTAACATATATTCTGCTGTTTCATTATTGAATAACAAAACGAAGAAACCGTTTTTTTGTCAGGGCTTACAAATAAGATTGAGGATTAAGCTATTCTTTTTGCATTCTTTTTCCTTGGCAAAAACTTAGATATATTATGAAAAAAGTGAAAGCCAGAACTTGAAAAAACAGAACCACCGCAGCATGTTAGCAAATTATCTCCATTGCCTTTCTACAATCAACAGTACTATATTTATTACAAGAATGTGAAAAAGGTTATATTCAGTTTTTCGCAATTGAACCTTAAGGCAAGATCTTGACCAGAATCACTACAAGCATGACAGTGAGAGTGATACCACGTTCCCTTCCAAACAATGAATCACATAATAAGCATATTAATACTCCTAAAACACAAAGGAATGAAGTACAGGTATAAATTTGCGCCCAATTGAAGTATTGAAGGAAAATCATCGTTAGAAATCTATCATGCAAGCCAGTAGTGAACAGAACTTCTCTTCTACAATGCATGGTTTATTGCTTTCTTTCAAATCCCTACAATCATTTTCTAGATTACTAAATTAAAACCAAACTTCCAACACCTCATTCAATACTTATATATATTTGTTTTGTTATTAGATAATCAATTCTAGTACTTCCCAATTTAAAAAAAAAAAAAAAACACTTTCAATGCAACTTCTCTCTCAATTTTTCAATTCTATTCAACTTTACTCCAACGAACGGTAAACCAAACAGGCACTTACCATGAGCAGGGCGCTGAGGAGGTGGTGCTTCGCCATAGATGGCTTTGAGCCTTGCAAGAGGAACCAAAGCAGAATCAGATGAGGCTTCAGCATAAAGTTGCTGTTTCCAATCCCATATGGTCTTTCTAATAGACTTGTTACTTTTTTCAAGATTTTCCTTCTCAGCCTCAAGAGCGTCAATAGTCCTTTGCTGATTAAAAGATCTTAAGCCCAATGTTACAAACGAAGCAACTAAACAAACATTGATCACCGTGTTGCTTTGTGTAATTCTCTTAGCAGCCTCAACTATTCTGCTAAAAGACGCCATTTCCCCCCTGAAATCTAATCAAACCAAACGCTCCTGAAAAAAACAGGCCTTTCATTTCAACCCAGTGACGGGAAATCCCAAATGGTCATGAAAAAGAGGAAAACATTTTTAGGGTACCAAAGATCATAAATTAATCTCAATTCTATATTCATCACCAAAACACATCCATTTTTCTTTTCTCAACATCGTTCTTAAAACGCAAACCCAATAAAGTGAAATCGGAAAGTACAACGCAGTTACTGAAAATTAAACGATGTAAAGTGTTTAATTGAAAGTAATAAGAACACTGACTCACCGGCAGTGGCTGCGGGCACCAGCTGACAGCAGAAACCGAGTTCGAGAGAGAGGATTTTACTATCCAGTAAGCGTAGTAATAGCTAGGATTTCTATGGGTAAACGTAATAAAGAATTGATGAATAATAAAATTTTATTAAAAATATAATATTTAATATAATTAATATATTATATTTTATGATATTTATAATTTTAAATCAACGTATTAATATATAAATATTTAGAATAACTCTAGATATTTTTAACTACCAAATAAAATATTTAGTACACTTTATATTTTCAAAATAAAAATATATAATTTTTTAAATACCTACTCTATAAAAAATTTGATAAAAAAAATTAAGCAAAACTCGGGCTTTTATTATATGATTTTAGAGTTATATTATGAATAATTATATAACAAGTATTACCGATAAATTCTTTCAAATATATTATTTTTTATAAATTAAATTTTATTTTAAAAATTATAAAAAGTATATATATATATATATTATTTCATTTTTAATAATTATTATACATATTTTTATAATTTAAAAAATAACTAATTAAGAAATATAAATTTAGTTTAAATATATTAATAATGTAAAAATAAATTACACTATTATTTAATACTGAATTACTATATCAATAATAATTCTTAATTTTTATAATAGTTAATATAAAAATATATCTACAATATGTTTTAATTAACTGACAATGTAAAAATTTACATGCATATGTTTCAAACATGCGAAATATATTTACAAAAATTAAAAAATTGCTGAAAATCATAATTTCTATCAAACGTGAGAGTTGGTTTGCAAATGTTTTGGGATAAAATTTTCCTTTTCTTTTGGGTCGCTGATCCATTTTTCTTATATTTTCTCTTATTAGTGGGCTTAAAGTATTTTTTATTAGGGCCTCCTCATTTTTTTTCCCTTCAATAAGGTAAAAGGCTAGCATTCCTCTTGCTTACATGTAGCTTATAAATTTGTTTGATTATGGGGTCTCAAAATCAATTAACTAAAAACTGTTTCTTATTTCTTTCATAATTTGTTAGAGCAATAAATCCAAATAAGATAAACTATACTAATAAAAAAAATTAACAGTAAAATGTTTATGAATAAAATATAAATATATATTCTACGTAAAAAAATAAAACAATATGTCACTGATTTAATGGAAACTCCTAATTGTTTAAACCGTTGCTAAAATTGAAAAAAAATAATGATAATGGGCCCTAAAAGAATTTAATTAATGTGAATGGTAAAAATAATAAAGTGAGAGAGATATAATTGATAAATATCAAACGTGTGTATTGCATAAAATATCAGAGTATTTACAACCCGAATGTCAGGTGACCAAAATTTAATAATGTGTTTAATTCAATTAATTAATTAAATATTTATTTAATATAAGTTATTATACGGTAGTTATTTATAAGATTGAGCGTGGAGTTTATTAAAATGAATTTAAACAAATTGATAGATTTTTAAAATATATTAAAATAAATTTAAAAATTTATATTTTTTTATCACTAAAACACGTAAATTAAACGGTGGGATTATTTTCACTTGATTTTAAATTTATATTAACGTTATTTAATTATTTTTTGTTTGTATTCGAGATGAATGAAGTAAATGATGTGATAGTATTAAATATTTTATTTGTTAATAAAAACTATTTTTTATTATATATTATTAAAGACATTAGTTTTAATTTATTTAGTAACTTTTTTTATTTTTGTCTGTAACTAAATTACAAAAAAAAAAAAATTTGATATTTTTATTTTTTTAAGAGTAAACATAGATGTTGTTCTATAAACATTATTAGTACTGTTTACTTATTTAAACTAAAACATTCTCCTAATAACATTTTATATTTAATATTGTCATAAATTATTAAATGAATGTTAAATTTAATTAATAAATAATATGAATACACAAATAAACCTAAATTTTGTAATTTCTAGAATCGTATTTTGATACTGAGAGAAAGAGAGAAGGCCTATCAATAGTTATTGCGCTTGAAATATAAAGACAAACGGTAGACAAGTTGAATTTTCGTGAAATTAATTTAATGCAGTTGCTGACTCTAAAATGAGTAATTTTTTTCTTTTTTTCCAAAATATGACTAAATTGTTTATGCTACTAGTCCTAGCTTAAGTTTATGTTAGTCGTACTTTTAAGTCTAAAAGTTTAATTTAAGTACAATTTTAGTTCTTTTATTTTTTAATTATTTATATCTAATTTTTATATATTTTTAAATTTATTTAAAGTAAAATATTCATCCTAAAATTTTATTTAATAATGTAAAAATATAATAAAAACATGTTTTAGAATTCATTCATGTAGATTTATAAACAAAAAATATATTAAATAAATTTTTTTATTATATTTTATATATTATTTATTATGCCTATTTAATTTTTAATTTTTTTTATTAATTTATATAAATAATAATATGTTATACATATAATTATTAATCATATTTTAAGACAAACTACTTACTTTAGATAGATAAAAATTGAAAGAATAAAATGAGAATAATTAAAATTAAAGACGTAAAGTCATAAATAAATTAAACTATCAAGAAAACAATATAATAGCGTGTTTTTCTTTTCCTTAAGTGAGAAAACAGTATCCCACGTGTTAGTGTTTTCTTTTAATAAATAACATATTAGACATGTTTTAATAAAAAATCTTTAAAAATTAATTAATTTTAATATAAATTATAAAAATTAGATAAAAATTAGTATTTTAATAAATGTTTTTTTATGTTTGATCTTATAATACAATTTATGAATAATGATTGAAATTTTAAGTTAACTATTGTGAGAAATTATTATTAATTAAATTGTTATTCATGTTTTTAGGGAGAATAAATAAGAAATGAGAACTTAAAAAAATTAATAGATATAAAGGAAAGTAATATCAATTTCTTTTGAAGATTTATAAAATTAAAAATTTACACAGATAAGTAAATGACTATTTATATGCTCGTATACTTCTCGAATTATGATACGGTAAAAAAAATTTTTAAAGTCATTCAAACAAATATCTTATAATATTTTAAAGTCATGTAAGTTAATTTTTTCTAATATGTTTTTATATATAAAAAATATTTTATTACATTCAAACAAAATAATGTAGTATATAAAAAAAATGCATCTCTTAATCAAGCATAACTAGGTGAAGTAATTAAGTCCTAATTTGACATTTTAAAGTCAGGTTCTTCAACCTCCATTGTAAAGGTTTGACATAGTGGTTCAATATCGATAGCAATTTCAGAGATTAATTCAAGTAAAAACTAATAAAAATTAACAAGGCAATTTAGGTAAATATCTATAATCATTTAAAAAAAAAAACAATGGATGGATCACGCTTTTGACAGTCCAATGAACTTTGGCTCAACTGTTGCATGTATAAAATACATTTTTAGATATTATATAATGCATTTGATAAAAAAAAAAATTACACTGTTTATATTTTAAATATTATATTTTTAAATTACAAAAGTTTACTTATTTTTTTAAATTTACTTAATTACTTAATCTAAACTACCATATTTTGAATTAGTTTTCATAAAAAAAAAATCAACCCAATTCATTCGATTTTGGTCTATTTAAGTATCATTTTCATCAAACTGACTTGTGGCCGTTCTGTATACACTGTAGTTCAGCTACTTATTTATTTATTTTAAATATGATATAATTTTATCAAAGATTATCATTTTTAATTTTATGAAAACATTAAACCATTATTTTGGCTTATATATTTTAGTATATTGTTTTTCAAATACATTTTAATTTAGACATTTTAAAAAATACAAGTAAGAGATATTATTATTATTATTATTATTATTATGTTTTAAAATGAAAAAAAAAGAGATTTGTGATAAGAGAATTTTAAAACAGAATAAAAGAATGGCCAAGAGCCATATGAGAATAGCAAAAAAATGGCAACACAACAACCATGTGGGTGATTTTCGTCTATAATTTACCCACGACAATTTATATGAGTCATTATTTCTTTTAGAATTCCATATTCTATAATAATTACTAAAAACAAATAAATTTTGGTGACATTTGGTAGACCTCTCATAAAGTTTATCTGTATTCATGAAAATGGATTATAATTTTTTAATATAAATAATACCTTTAATTAATTAAAATTTATTATATATTTTAAAATAATTATTACAAAACTTAACTTTTTTAATACTATAGGAATTTATATTTGAATATCAGAATAAATTTTAATTAATTTATAAATTCATAATTAAATGTATCTATAAATTCTTACAAAATAAAAATTAATTGAATAAACTAACTTAACTATTTTCCTATATGCATCTTAATTGCATTGATAAAATTTTGAAAGGACATTTTTTCAAATAAACCAACAAAAAAAAGTAAGTTGTTCCAAAAAGTCCAAGCAAATTTCCGAAAATACCCACCCCTAAGTACCTACCTATACTTACCATTATCTACAGAAATCTCTTATTTTACCATCTGGTGCAAATTCAAATTGTTAAATTAACACAAAATAAGTAATTTTACAATTTTACACGTACCGCTTTTTATTTATGGAAGATGAATGCTTATTGAAAAAAATATTAATAATAAATTTTGAATTATCTATTACCAATCTCATCCCATCCCACCCCTGCCTACTATTTACACTAACATTAATTAAACACTAAAGATATAATAATAAATTAATAATATAAATTCCATAAATATTCTCTTTTTCCATTTCCTACAACTTTCACCGTTCCTTCTCTTTCTCTCTCCCTTGCTCGAAACAAAACAACACAACCGGAAAAACCATTCGTCTTGGTCTTGTGCCGCCGTTGTTTTCCACTATCAACGCTTCGTTGTTCCGTGGTGAGCTGTGGAGGTGGGTGCTTGTTCGATGGGGAAATACATGAAGAAAGCGAAACCAAAAGGAGAACTGCCTCTGGTGGAGTCCACCACCAACAACACTACCACCTCCTACATGGGGGTTCGAACCCGCGCCAAAACCCTAGCTCTCCAAAATTCTCATCCTCAACCCCAAGGCTCTCCCACCTCCGATTCCTACCTTCAGCTTCGGAGTCGTCGCCTTCACAAGCCTCCGATTTCAAACCATTCTTCTAAGCGTTCCAAACAGCCAAACCCTAAGTCCTCAACCCCTAACCGTCCCGGGCTCGGACTAGCTTTGGAAAATGATGCTCTATCCCCTCGTAATCTTCAACACAAGGAAGAGAATATTCTGCATGAGAACGTCGAGGGTCAAGAAGCTTCCTTCGGAGAAAATGTTTTGGATTTTGAAGGTAGAGAGAGGTGAGTCTTCTTTTCTTTTCTGAAATTTGATTTGATTCCTTTCGATTTTCAAACAAATGAAGCTGAAAACGAGTTTTCTGATTTAATTTGTTGATTTTTTATGCTTTGTTTGGTTAAGTTAATCATGTTTTAAAAGACGAAGTTTTTATGATCAATTATAAAAATTGGTGGCTTTGTTCACTACAATCTAGTTCGGTCTTTTCCCCCAATATTAGTCCGGAAGATGATTGAATGTGGTAAACTTTAACGGTGTTGCCGTTCCTTTTTAAATGGTATAAGGATTTGCTTCACAACTTTTCTTTCCTTTAGACATTTGTCGGTTTTTTTTTTTTTGTGTGTCTTTTTATTGTAAAACGAATTGAGATCTTCATCAGTTATGCATGCCGTGGAAATTTTGAACTAGATTTTGTTTATCAAAAAACCATCTTCTTCATTGTCTTCTATCATTTTTCCCCCTGATTTAGGATTCACTGGAGAAAGATGTTTTGTTTTCTTCTCCTACTAGCTTTTCACATGTTTCTTATATCAAGATGTCATTTTGACCATTTTCTTTTTATTTGTTCATTTACTGAATATGCTTTCCGTTGGTTTGAAGATTTTAATTAGAAAATAATATCCGATATATGTTTACGGGAATAAATCAAATTTTTTAGCCTGCTTTTGTTGCTGTTACTTTATTAGCAGGGAGTATTGATATGATAGCTTGTCAGAAATTTCATCCTTTTTTTTTCTCAATTTGATTTTTTACTTAGTGAAAATATTTCACTAATTTCTTTGTTCATGTGCTACCCGATTTGTATATGATAATAATTATTATTACAATTGAAATGAGTTGATAAAACTCAACAGTGGAATCTCTCAACTCATATATTTAGGAATCATTCCTTTTTTTTTTTAGAGAGAATGATGAACTCTGTATAAACTATAAAAAGAAGAGAAAATCTTGTTCAATCTCCCTTTTCCTGCAAATTTCCCATAGTTTAAGCATGGGTATATACGTCTTGAATATTTCTTATATCTGAATCCGCATATGTACCATGAATTTGAAATGGATTTGATAGTTCTTTGGCTTTAAATGTTGTGCAGGTCGGCCTTGAATTTTTTTAGCATTCTTATTTTAACCATTTTGGGTCTGAATATTGTTTTGTTTTTGTGTACTTTTTGCCACTAAAATTCTTTCATGCTTTTGCAATTTATTATTGTTTACAGTAATATTCCTATATTTGTTATTTGCAGCAGAAGCACCAGGGAATCCACACCTTGCAGTTTGATAAGGGACCCAGATATTGTCAGGACTCCTGGTTCAACTACCAGGCCTACTTGTTCGGCTGAAGCTCAACGAAGAACTGAGCATGCAGCTAGAAGGCTAATCCCAACTGCACATGAAATGGATGAATTCTTTGCTGAAATTGAAGCGACTCAGCAAAGGCAGTTCATTGAGAAGTATGCTTCAGTGCTTTGACTTACTTCTTTTTTGCTGAACTTCAATGTCTATTGAAATCTTGATAAACTAATTTATTTATTTCACACATGGGTATTGCAGGTACAACTTCGATCCTGTGAATGAGAAGCCACTCCCTGGGCGTTATGAATGGGAAAAGTTGAAATCTTAGAAGGCTAGCTTAGTGTTCCATCAAGTCATCTTTGAAGTAGCAGGGTTAGAATTTGTTGAAGCAGTGGTGGTGTTATTTCCCTTTTCCATCACCTTCTATTTACTTGTAAAGAAAGTAGGAGTTTCAAAATGTGTAGACTAATGGTCTGTAACTTTACAGAGGTGATGATTACACAACAATACAAATCAAAGTCCTTTGTCTAACAGATCATGTCATGGGGGGCAAGGAAATGGGCTGTAGGTTGTAGGATTAGGGATAAGCCAAATTAGGTCAGTATGAGGTACAGGAATTTATTTAGGTTTTCTTTTGTTCTTGTATTTTACTTTTCCTTGTCTATACTTGTACTGATGGAACTTGAACAAACTTTTAGAAATAAAGACCAGATTCCCCCATGAAAATGTCTGGCACTTCCTTTGTCATCTGTGTTCTGCTCTTCGAAATATTGGCATTGTTTCCACGAGACACTGAATCTTTCATTTGTTTTTTAGATGATACCAGCTGTTTTTGTGGGCTGTAGTAATATTGCTAAAATCTGCTGGTCTTTTAAGCGTCGGATAGTGGTGGGGCAACTTTAACCGTGAAATGTTTTGTCTTCTCTGTTATCATATTACCGCAACTGACTGGATAACTTTTATTAAGCACCTGACACTGCTGGGAAACATTTACAGATTTGAAAATGATACCTGCCAGATTGAGATTGCTATAACAATTTCGACCCTTAACCTAAAACTTACAGCAGGACCGAAAATTGTTTTGGTCAAGTTCTTTCCCAGTAACAACAGTCTAGGAGGTTTGCTTTTGGATTGAGAAGTTGCAAATTAAGTGTTTAAAATTTTAACTAATTATTTTTAAAGTTTTAACTTGAGATTTATTTGCTTGAAATTTTTAAGCTTCAATCGCACAAGATAAACCTTATTAATTATATATTTTTAAATTGTTAAAAATAATGAATAATAAATAAGATTGAAAAAAGTGTGTAATTTTTTTAATTAATTGAAATGCGTAGCTAATTAATAAAATTTAACATGTGCAAATTTGTACACAAATATATAAATTATTTATATATAAACATCATGCTAGGTCGCCAACAACAACATCTGTGTTTCCAATTGTACTGATCGAAGATACTAACCTGTAGGTTAAAACAGTTTGTTTACTTTCTTTTTTTCTTGTTTTATAAATTTGATTAGTCTCATTTAATTCACATATGTGCTAAAAATATATTTTTTTATTTAAAAAAAACAATTTTCAATTTTTAATTATTACTTTCTAAAGTATGCACATCATTAAGGAGCATATAATACATATGGTGCCCGTTATTGCCTCATTGGCTCATTCCTTTAATAAAGGCATGCTTATAAGTGCCAACAAAAAAATTTCATGATGGGTTTTATCACTTCGGAATCATAGTTTTCTCTGCTACTGAATGCTATAAAATTTCAAATAGGCAATCGAGTGAAAAGTTTAAGAGTCAAGCCAAAACGAAAAGTTTTCCACCGAGCAGAAGAACAAGGAATGCAAACTACTGTCATTAATAAAACAGAGTAATTAGGATATTAAGTTTAAATTTAATAAAGATGTAAAATATTTTATATTATTAATTAATTAAAATGTAATATCAATATAACTTTTAAAATAATTAATACAAAAATTAAAAAATTGATATAATAATATATAATTAGATAATAAATATTAAAAAATATTTTACTTAATAAGTTAATGAGTATTGTGTTATTATATTAATAAGTTTCAAATAAGTAAAATATAAAATTTACTGAATAACAGATGATATATTATATAACTGTATAAAACCATTTTTTGGTATGTAAGCACAACAAAATTTAGCTAAAAAAAAATTGGGGTACCCAAGTCCACTTGAAAATAAGTGATTCTTCACACTCCACCAGGGTGGTGGAAACTTTGTTATTGGCATGGAATAATGGTGGTGGTTGTTGTTATGGTGGTGGGTGGTGGATCTGTAGAGAAGGTACTGGCTACTGGAGGTAACTAAGGTATCTGCAATTCCCAAAGAAAACTCCTCTTTTTGCAAAAAAATGTGAGTACAGATTATATGTAAATTCAAAAGAGCATTCATGATTTGCTCAACCACAGAAGACACTTGACAATGAAACAAACTCCCAATGATTCCTCCTTTGACCCTATGGGGAATGAGTAAGACACATTGGGTATCCAAATGGAGGATCCTGTTGTTCATTTAATAATGCTAATATGATATCCTTTTGAATGTCAACATAAAGAGTGAAAAAGAAAATTATGCCAACAGTTAGTCTTAAATTTTAATTTTGAGAGCAAGAAAATTTTAGTTAGAAATTGGGTAAAGAAGAGAAGGAATAATGTTCTAATAGAAACTTTTCAACAGAACCCTTGCTGTTATCTTTTACACGTGATTCTCTGTTTTTTTTTTTTTTTACAAAGTTATGCAGATAAAATAAGTACACAAAAATTAACTCAAATGAAGTAATTTCTCCTTGTAGGCCTATACTTTTAGATAATAATAAGTAATATTTTATACTCATTTTTTAATATTTATAATATTCCACCATATAAAAATTATATATGATAAATTTTAATTAAAAATTATAATATTTAATATTATTAAAAATAGTAATTTATATTAAAAATTATCTGTACAATTTATTTAATCTGTAACTTAGTTTTAGGAACATATTTATCGCCACTCTTATTTTTTATTAATATGGTTTTTTAAAATATTTTTAACAAAAAAATAAATAAGAGCAATATTAAATATAGTTCATTTTCAATAGTTATTATATTCTGATATTAAAATTACAAGGATTGATATATAAAATAGTAACATATCAAAATTCAAATTTGGTGAAATTATAAAATAAAATTGATTATTTTAACAATTAATTAACAGCTTCATGACATCCAACCGTGAAACTGCTACATACAGTACACTGCTCAAGGTGCTCAGCACACTAGTCATGGACACAATACGCAAAAGAGAATCAGCCTCAAAACGTTTGTTTACTGGCGCAGACAATCCGGGCATACCACTCGCCTTGATCTTAGCACGAATCAAACTTACAAATTTAAATCTGACCACAACAAATGCAAGAAAATTACAGTCACTTTAAAAAATTACCGTTAGAATCTTTAATATTCAAAATATACAAATGATATATATTTTAAGTAAAAATTATAATTATAATGAATTTTAAAATATTTAACAAATTTAAATAAATTTTATCATGATAAAAATTGTCAAAATCTATAATGGTCAATTACACGCGACAACTTTGCCATCCGTGGATTGTGGCACCGCTGGTCATAACCATCTTGCCTTGCCACGTTTTTGTTCTCAAAGGCCCTAACACTGAATATATTTGATTCTCCATGATTTTATTCTATAGAAACCCCATCAAGTGAAAAACGAAACAACGTCTATTATTTCTCACATGCTTTTAATCATTTACAAATAACTTTTCTCATTTTATTTTGTTCAAATTGTAAATCAATTGATTTCTATTCGAATGAGATAGTCTGTGATCTATTTTGTTTCAATTATTGTTGTTGTTCATTGACGTTCCAAGTTTGTGCTTCTTATATTGATGTGTCATTCAGTGAATTACTCTCAATTGCTCCGAATCATGTGACCAAGGTTTTAATAGACAACCACATATACCAATTCAAGAAGTAATCCTTATATTGTCAATCACTTTCCAGAAGTCTCGTGGATATTTCGATGTTTTTTCAACAATACATATGGGTTGAATTTCTAGAGTCTGTATAGTCATTCTAGTTAAATGCTCTCAATCACATATGAAAGCAAAACCTTCCAATGCCAGCTAGAAAGTTAAAACGGTAATAAATTTGTGCTAGTTGTTGGTAAATGATCAATTTTAACATTTATCAGAATCATCCTCTCTGTTGTTAATGAAAACCCCTAAGAGTTGTTTTCCGATTTGCTAGTCAATAATTAGTTTTCTAAATAGTTATAGTTTTCAAGTAAAAAACTTGATTTAAAGTTGGTAATATTTATCACAAAAAAATTTGGTAATATTTATAATATTTAGTCTCTATATTTCATTCTTTTTACTTAAAAAAAAATTATATTTTGGTTTTTATATGAAAGTTTTATTATGTTTAATTTTTTTTTCATTTACATTTTGGTCCATGCTATTAATAGTTAAGGGTGAGCCCTGTTTGAATTCGGTAAGTTTCAAATAAAATTTTTTTAAATGGAAACAAACTAATCTTGGTATTATATGATTTTTTTTTAAACATCTATCAAATTAGGCGAATCTTGATTAAGATGACGAGTGAGTTTGGTGAGATGGTTTTAATTGGGTGGTTGAGATAACCATAGTGACAATAAAAATAGAATGTGGAAGGGTGACAAGAAGATATTAGAATAGTTAGTAGATTCTCACAAATTCATTCTATTTATTAGATATATAATAAACTGATACACTGTTGCATAATGTTATTTACTATAATAAATAGAAATATAATTTCTATGAATGAGATTAACATGATTCATGTAAGTAATAGAATAAGAGTAAGGTATTCAAGTAGGCATTCATAGTTTGCATGAACATTTTTTTGCTCTAAGGTTCACCAGAAAACTATCTTTAACCATATTGATATGTCTATCGTAAAAAATATGATGACCAAGTCACCTTGAAAATAGAAAAGAGAGGACTAAGTTGTAATTTGAGTATTAAATTAAATGATTGTTAAGATTAGTTGTGATATAGTTATAGGATTAAAATAAATCCATAAAAATAATCTGAGACCTAAAATAAACCAACTGCATAAATTAAAGTATGATAAAAGTATTACCTACTCAACCATCATCTTGATTTAACTTGAAGTTTTTGTAACTTTTTCAACATATTTGGTAGTATAAATTCATTTAACAATATGACATTCTTTCTATTCACAACCTACATTTCTATTAGATAAACCATTATCTCTTCCATCATAGTCACAATTAGCTTTTGTCCAAGTTTTATTATTGCACTATTAAAAGTTTCAAAGATATTGTTTACAGCAACACAAGTCTTTGATTGGAAAAAAAAAAACAAAACAAAACTTTAACTAACTTCAATATCTTAAGAAAATTTTTTGGGAGGTGTTTGTATGTCTCTTTATTAATGTTTCTCATTTCTTTCATGTATTTTTCACACTCTTTGTGGATAAGTTATATTTGTTGTCTTTTATATAAACTCTTTTAATTGTTTACCTAAAAATACTTTTCTAAAATTACTATACAGATACTTAACATAGAACCTTTATTCTACTTCAAGTAATAACTTCTCAATAGCTAACAATAATCCTTAAAATCAAACATAAAGTTAGTGTCCAACACACTAGTTTAAAAAAATGTAATTAATTAAAAAAATGAAACAATAGAACATGTAATGGTCATTCTTTCTGTTAATCATATGTAAAGGTCAATGTCATGCAAACTCTTATACCTCCGAAATAAGAAATCAATAGGTGCAAGAACTATTGCCATGAGTCTTTGTTTTCTCCTTCCACAATTGAATTGGTAACATTTGGTCATTGAAAAACTTCCTTACAACAACCAAAATATGTCCACCATAATATCCCTTGAGAAAACAACCATCTAATTCTATGATTGGTTTGTACTCAAGAAAAAATCTCCTTGACAAACACCAAAACAAACATAAAGTCTGTAAAGAGTGAAAAAAATTGTCTTGAGGGGTTTGCATCTTCCTCAATTACATGACTAAGTTGTTCAACTGTAAACTTTATAGTTGAATAAAGATTTGATCTTAACATTTTACAGTAATAATCATATAATTTTTTATATTTATTTTTAAAAGACACATCAACAAGGTCCATTACTTTCCTCAAAACTCTTTATGCTTTAGACTTTGACATTCCAATATTCCACTTTTTTTGTATTTTATCCTTAATGTCATTCAACTTTATATTTGAATTATCTCTTACACCATCTTGTAATTTTTTACGCAACCAACTTGCATTTAACAACTTAACCCTATACTTCCTATTGCATGTATGTTCATCCACTATTATTGCAAAGTGTCTTCTCTCAGTAATTTGACAAAAAATGTTATTCACTTGCATTCACCTTTGTATACCACCCTCACTCTCTCATTATCATTCTTTTAGATCTTTATATTTTCACCAGAGTGAATAACATACATTTAAATAGCCTCTTTAAAGTCTTATCTAAATGCAAATAAAACGCTTAACTCTCATTTGTTGTCACACATCTTTGATGAAATTATAGATAAATTAAATTTGTTTTCATCTTTCTCCTCATTAGACCTTACATCAACTTGCAATATTTACTAATTTACTCTTCATCAAAATCAAAGTCATCCCTACTTGCAGCAAATATTCTTGGATTAGCAAAACTTGACCTAACCTCAAATTGAGAATCAACTTCAAATTTTTCATTAGAATTCATTTCTTTTGCTTTTTTTTTTCTCTAACTCTCTTCCCCCTTTTTTACAATGGATTTATCCTTATTATAAATATCTATTGGTTAGTCCTTTTCTATGTGTTTCACTTTAACCTCAACCACTTCAATATTCTCATCACCTAGTTCTCTACAACACCCATATCATTAATTTGCATCTCACCAACATTCATAAGATATTCTAGTAATGTAACCTCATTAAATATCTTAACTTGTGAAATTACTTTACTACATACAATTTTACTTTTTCATAACACTTGAACACTTTAATTATCTTTATAGATCTTTTATCATATTTTAATTTCTTCAATCCAAATAGTATTTCATCTAGACACTCAAAATAACTGTAGAAATTTTCTTCATAGTCTCATACATATGTCTCACCTTCAACATATTTAGTATTTGGTGACTTTTTAAACTTGTTTCCATGGTGAATTTTTATGCATAATTTATCCATCCATGTGACTTAAAAAAGTTAATAGCAAAATAAATCTAAAACTTTAAAAAGATAAAATCTTTCAAATATTCAATAATGTTGTATAAGTCTAATACCACAAAATTTGCTCTTGTGAAAAAATGTTATTCCCTACACACACAACAAATTTATTTTAGAAATAAAAACGTACTTTATTAATGTTCACTTTCACTTCAAATTTTTAATCTTTTGTAATAAAATTTTTCTTACTTTACTAAAATTTTTGTTTCACGAACAAATTTTTTTCTCAATCTCTTAATTTTTCTTTAGTCTAATGACAATTTTTCTTTCTTAAATGTTTCTCAAACAACTAGTATTAATATGTGAAGATTGTCTTTCAATTAAAGAGTTCAGACTAGTTAATAACCTTTATGTCATTTTGGATTCACGTTATGCAACATAACTAACAAAAATGATGAATATAGAAAAAAAATTAAACTTAAAAAAAAAAAAAAAAGTCAAGGTCAAAACTTAATCTAAAATTAGAAGATGAAAATACTAACTTTGTTTAATAAATATTTTAAATATATTAGTTAATAAATTTATAAAAATATTTTTGTGTTATCATTGTAAATTTTAAATTAAAAGTAGGTTAAGTATATTAATATAATTTTTTTATACGTTTATTTTTTAATCTCTCTTTTTTATTTTTATTTATAGAAGCAATAATAATTTCTATCAAAATTATAAGAAATTAAAATTCATTTTTAAAGGTATTAGTTATTAATTTTTTATATTCTCATTCATCATGATATTTATGTTAATACAATTCTTATTATTTATTTATGTAAATGAATTTGTTCATTTATTTAATTTAATGTAACACACTAATTTAATTATTTAATATTGTGAATTATTCTAAAATACAGTAAAATTTATGACATATAATAATAATAATAATTTTTATAAATGTTAATAAATTAATTATTTTGTATAAATAAAACAAAAAAGAATAACATATAAAGGACAGTTGTTAAAATTCATTTTAAAAAAGTGTATATAATTTCTAAAAAGAAAACATATATCTATGCCAACCCTATATCCAAATTTTAATCCAGAATCCAATTTCGTTGGAAAGATATACTGGAGAATTTGCTCATATCAATCAGACCCTACATTTGATGTTCTTTCGACAACATTTTTAATAATATTTATGAGAGCCATAACATACCCTTTATCTTTCTTCGTCTATCAAAACTACAAAATTGTGTGTATTTTATGCCCGAAAGAACTACACTTCAAAATTTCGAAGGCACAAAAGCTGCTGGAGTGTGATTCTGTTTCCCGCGCTCAGGGACAGACCCAGCGAGCGATTCACCACCGGCGATGGAACCCTAACCCCAATGGACGACACTAGAAAATTATACCAATCACTCTCCAACGCCACCGCTGAAGCTCCAATTCTCATAGACAAAGACCCTCGCACTCTCTGGGAAACCCTCTTCGAACAACTCCGCTCCACCTTCCACCAATTTTTCTCTGCTTTGCCTCGGCGCCACCACCATGACCCTCAAACTCTCTCTCTTCCGCCTCCGCATTCACGGTTGTGGCCAATTGTTGAAGATCTTTCTCTCATTCTGCGTTGCTCTCTTCTTGTTCTGACACTCCTTCCCTCCGACCAGAAAATCTTCATTCTCAAGTGCCGCTCCGTCCTTTCCATCTTGAACACATTCCTTTCGCTTGATGTCAACGAAAGCCATGGCTTGCGCTTTCGGAACTTTCTCTCCGATGTTGAATTGGAGCTTTCTGACTCTTGCCGTCCGTTTCTATGCGCGCTGCTAGAGGTAGGTTTAGTGTTGTGGCAATTACTTTTTATTTCCGATTAATTGCTTAATGTTGTTGTTATTTATGAAATTTGGTACATAATTAGGATTTAGCTTTTGGTTTGAACCCTTATTTACAGGCGAGAAGTTTTGTATATTTAGGTTTTAAATCTAGAAGATTTCTGTTGTAGATTTAGCATAGACTGTTACATGGATCAAACAATGGTGTTATACTGTGTGAAAACCAAATTTTCACCGAAGCTATTTAGAGTTAACTCTTCTTTAGCGGTTTCTTGTAAGATTTGCATCTACCGTTTAATTCACGTTTCTCACTGAAATCATTACTGGTCTTCTATTCTTCCTCTTACATGAACAAATTAGCCTGGTGCCTTAGACAACTTTCTTTCATCTTCTCTCAGATGCAATGCAGATGTTCCTACTATTGTCTTTTCTTGTATGTCCGTTCCACCCTGGCATTCTATATTATCTGCTGCCTAACCTCCTTAAACAGAGATGTAATATTGAAATGAGATTCTGCTTTTAATTTGATGGCAAAATCTTCTAGTTTCTGGAAATAAAATGAAATGGAGATAAATCAGCGGATGAGGAAATGAAAAAAGTAGTTAGTTTTGTTTCGTCAGCTCATTGGAATTTTTACTTTCAATCTCATTGGACAATGCATCTGCATGATAGTGGTATTAATGATCGTTACAAAAAGGATTGCCTAGTGCATGTGGCTTCTACCTGCTGAGGTTTGGGTTTGGGGAGGGTAGATATGTTCAGCTTTTACCCCTGCAAGTATAGAGGTGGTTTCCAGGATTTCAACCTCTTGGTTCCAGGTCACAAGTTAACAACTTTACTGTTGTGACAAGGCTTGCCCTTTAGTATTAATTATTGTTAGCCTTATCAAAAAAACATTTACACATGTGTAGTCATCTAATTTTCTATTTTATGCTATTATGTATAATTTTATGCATTTTATACACCTGCCATATAAAAATATGTATGGGAATCTTACTGGACTTCTGTCCTTCTAAATTTGAAAATGTTATTGCAGGTATTTGCAGATGAACTTTTAAGACATCAATCTTTGAGAAGATATCTTATGATTGCTGATTCAGTATCCCCCATCTATGAAAAACTTTTTGCATGCCATTCCAACCATTGTGATATTGCCAGTGTCCTGGAGATGATATCAATCCATTTCATCCTGTCAATTTCTAATGAGAAAGCATTTGAGGATTTCTTTAGTACAGCTTTTTTACATTGTGAGAAGGATTTTAGATTTCCTGAACTTAGCCTTGCACCCTCCATGGTATTGCTGCTTGACCCTGTTGTGCTTTCTGCACCAAAGATGTTACAGGCACACATAATTTCAATGGTTTCTGGAGCTGTTAGTTCTGGCTTATCTTCAGAGATTTTGGCTCCAGATATAGACTGCTATCTAATGGCATTTCAAAAATCTGTTATCTTGTACTCTATGCATGTGTCTAATTTGCAAATAGATGGTTTTTGCATTGAATTGAAGTGTGCCTGTGATTCATACCCACTTGAGAGAGGTAATCCAACTTTTGAATCTTATATCCAGCAAGAGACAAGTAATAGATTAAATCAAGTCTTATCAAAATTAGATAATTTGTGGGACTCCTATCGATGCAAAATGTCCTCCAAAGCAAAAGCTGACCTTTTGGCTGAGTACATTGCATTTATGAAAGGGAGGCAGTGCATATTTGTTGATTCAGGCAGGGATGTGACTATCTCAATCTTAGATTGTATAATCCGTGGAGCATTCTCTCAAGATGCCACTGGCGATGCATTATATAATATAAAGGGAACTACTAGTGCCCAAGATATTTATCTTCTTTCCTCCATATTGAAGTTGATGAGTGTTTCATTGCTACAAGCAATTAAGTATCTAAATAACAGTGGTGATTCAAGCTGTCTGAAAACCATGGGAGGTGCTTCTATCCATGGAAAATATGATTTCTTGATCAGCATTGTTGACCATTTTCAACAATTTAAGTGCTGTTTACCAGTTCAGACTTTCTTGTTTGATGCAATAAAAAGTCAGCAATCAAATTATGGACTCTCCAAGTCAATGCTTGTGCACTTTATAGGCTTGCTATCTTTGAGTTTTAGCAATGGACTTGATTTGTTAGCAAAGGGGTGTATATCTGTAATTATGGCACTGATGTATCTTTTTGTTTTTAAAGAGGGAGATTTAGTTACTTTAGGGTCATTGAGGGATCTGTTGTTGCGATCTTGCTCATCTGAAATTCCATCTGATAAGAGTGGAGAGGTGACTTGTGCCTTAAGTTCTCACGAATTTCTTAATTTAAATTTAGTTTGTATTTCATACTAACTTATTGGCCACTGTTGCAGGGGGCTGAAGATAAACGAGCTGTCTATAAAGTTGCAGCAGAGTTTCATAGAATTCGAGCACGTAATTTAAGGTACTGATTGTGTGTATTTCATTATGCCTTTCCATAATGTTTTTCTGTTAAATTTTCTCAATTTGCAAATACCCTTCACAAGCCACTTTGAATGCGGGGCTTTTAGTGGCAATCATGTGTTCAATTTATTGTCAAGCCCAAGAAAACACCACTATATAGGACTATGCAGTTGAGATCGACTCATTTTGCTGTAAGCTGTTTGTTTTGAAGTTTTTGAAGTCTTAGTCTTTGCAATGATAGCTTAGTGATGAAAGCTAGTAGGACAAATGTTACATGATTAGAGCCCAGTGACCCAAAAAAAAAGGTTTTTGAAGTCTTATGAGTTGCAGCAATTATACACTGTCAGTTAGAGGGAGTCCATGGACCATATAGTTTAGAGTAGTAGTGTGATTCTACTCGTGTTGTTTAGATTGCATCAATTATTGTTATGTCATATCTATGTTTTTTGTGTTTTTTCATCCAAATGTCGTAACAGGCATTGTGCAACGAAGCAATGGGAACTAGCTCTAGTAGGATTTCTAGCATTTAATTTGTGCTACTGGTCCTTCATTGTTTGGTTATATTTAAGTACCATTGTAACCTTAGAATGAGGAAACCTTCCTTACTCTCAAGCTCCCTATGATCCTTTTTCTACTCCCCCAGAAAAGATAATGGAATCAATTAAGAAAATGATAAGCCTTGCTGAAATGAAGTGGCAAGCAACTCTTCTTTCCTCAATTTGTTAGGAACCTGGAGTTGATCAATATTCAATTTTAATGCTATTTCTCCTTCATGCTTGGCTCAATTGCACTTTAAATTCTTACACTATTTTGGTCTCCCTAATTTTAATTACTTCCATTTAGTTTCTCAATTATTTAAATTAAGTTTTTTACCTCAAAGTTTCATCAAATAGTTAATAAAAAGATATTTTGATTTGCATAAATTAATAAAGAAAAAATTTATAAAATATTTAAATAAAAATAATAAAGAAAAATAAACTATAAATAAAAGTTTTTTTAATTTAATTATTTTATTTATTTTTTCAAATTTATATAAATTAATTATATATTACATCTTTGTTATATTTTTGTGAATTATTAATGGAATTTTGAGGTAAATGACTCAATTCAAATAATTAAAAAGTTGGAGAGATTTAATGTGAGTAATTAAAATTAGAAAGACCAAATTGAATATAAACTAAAATTTGGATACCAAAAGTGCAATCAAGTCTTCATATTTTCTTGTGGTCTGAATCATCTTTCTTATATTTTTCAGAAGGGATTCCATCACCTCCCATAACTCAGTAGAGGATGAAAAAGAGGAAACATGTAACGGGGAAATGTTCCTTAATTGCATATTTGAAAATCCCCAAGAATTATCCGATTATGATGAGCTTGCAGACTTCCTTGAATGTGAGACAGGGAAAAATTATTCCAAGTGGTTGAATGCCCGCCAAATATTTAGGAAAAGGAGGTATCAGAAAACATTAGATTTAAGGAAGATTAAGAAAGAAAAAATCTGGAAATCTTATAAGTGTCAGAAAATTGGTAAGTCTGTGATGCGACAGAAAATTGGTACGTTTTTGAAGCATTGGAGGTGATATAATAGATCTTATTCATGATATCTATGCCTTGTGTATATGTAAACGATATTGAATTGTTTGGATATAATTTTATCGGTAATTCTAATATATATATATATATATATAATTTTTTAAAAAATTACATATTTTAATGTATCAATATCATTCATTATTATAATTTTTAATATAAAAAGAATTAGTTTTATCTAATCTAATCTAAGCTGTAAACTATAATTTTAAAATGTTTTAAAATATTTTCTTATCACGAATATTAATTAATATTAAAATTACCATCGGAAATTGGTCTACATTCTTTTGCGTGTACATAACTTCAATATTATTTTATCTTATCCATTTTCCATACCCATATAGTGAACAAAGATTACAAAGTTTGGCCGTCATATGTTGCCTACAGAAAGGAAATGCCACGCGTTTAACATTTTCTTTCTTGTTTTCACTTGAACTTTTCAATTTTATTAAATTTTTTAAGTTGATTTTAAATATAAAAACATAAAAGTTTATTTTATATAAAAATAAAATAATTTATGCTGATATACATACTTACTTTTGTTGATATTAATTAACTATTAAAAATAATTTTTATTAATCTAACTTTAAATTATAATTATATAATACAAAAATAATTTATATTAAATTTTATTAAAGAACAAATTTTCATAAATTTAAAAAAAATATATTATATTAATATATAAATAAAATATTGAATTTTGCATATATAATTTATATAATTAAAATTTTTAATTTAAGGTTTTAAAATAAAATTATCTAATGAAAAGTTATTACACTCTTTCCTATATATATATATATATATATATATATATATATATATATATATATATAAGATGTAATTTTTAATAACTTTTTAAAATATTTAAAATTAATGCTAACTACCAATATTCTCATAACCGTATTTTTTTTATCATTAGATAAATTTAATGAAAATAATTTTTTTCTGATTTAAAATATTTCAAAATAATAAACTTTATTATATTTTATACAATAATACTTTTTTTAATGAAAAATTTATTACTTTTAGATGCCGAAAAATTTAAATCAATCGATATAACATCTTTTAAATTAAAATCACGAAGAAAGCATAAACAGGTGTGTGAAGCCAACATTTTAACTGATTGCATCGGAATGGAAGACCAAACAATGTGAGTGAGCGTATTGACATGGCAAAGGCAGCACCCTCTCCTCCGCTCGCCGACAATTCCGACGCCGAGATCCGCCTTCGCGAGGCGGAGGAGCGCCTCCGTGACGCCATCGAAGTGCTCCAGCGCCGTCAGCGGCGGGCCGCTGCTCATGCTCATCAGCACTACCGCCTCGATTCCCCTCCCTGCGATCACGGTCCCGACGAGTCCTGCGTGGCTCACGCCATTGGCAATCTCTGTCAGACCTTCCTCCTCTCCTATGGCGTCAGAGTGGGCATTGGCATCCTTCTCCGCGCCTTCAAGCTTGTTCGGAAACAGTCCTACTCCTCTCTCCTTGATCTTAAGGTTAATCATTCATCGAATTGGAGCTCCAATTTTCCATTCATCTTGTGTTTATTAATCAAATTCAGTCCACATGTCAGATTTGGGGTTTGCATGTTTAGCGGAAACGTTTTCTCCTAAAATTCAGTTAACTCTTTCTGTGTGGGAGCAAGTTTAGATCGGAATAATAAGATATCAGAAATCGGTATTCTGGAACAGTTTACAGTGGATTTTCAAATATTTTCTTTATTTTTATATATTCTAATTTTATTGATCCTGCGGTATGTTATCCAGTTCAGTTCAATTCATTTGTAGCTAATGTTATTGAGTGGCATGGTTGCAAAGTATTGGCCATTTTGTATATGTTAACATTTTTGCTTTAATGCAAAGTGGAGAACATATGAGGATTTGTATGTATATTTTGTTTACAGCAACTTGTTTCAGAAAAAGATCTAATAGTAAGGGAAGAAGCATGCCGAATTGGTTTACTTTTTGGTGGTTTTACTGGATCTTATCATGCTCTTAGATGCTTGTTGCGTAAGTTGAGAAAGAAAGAGGCACCACTGAATGCGTAAGTTGCACTTTTTTTAATAGATTCTCATTAAGTTTTTTTTTTTCCAAAAAATTTGTTCTGCTATGTATAAATGCTTGATTATTCTGTTCATGTTTGCACACGTTGCTTATTTATGACTTTGTTTAAGGGGATGATGGAGCAGAATTTTAGCAGGTTCAGTTGCTGGTTTCTCAATTCTCGCATTAAATGATTCAAATCGGAGGCGCACTCTGGCTTTATACCTGTTGGCTAGGCTAGCCCAGGTATTTGAAAGCACTTCCATAAAATGATTTCTGACCAATCTGACTTACTGTTTGCTTATATATCAGTGTGTTCTTAATTCATTTTTAGCCATTTGAAAATGATCTGCATCTGCTTGTCTAATACATACTCTTTTATTTACAGTGTGCTTATAATTCTGCAAAATCTAAGAACAAGTTTCATCTTTGGGGAAGCCATTGGAGACATGGAGATTCTTTGTTGTTTGCCCTTGCTTGTGCGCAGGTATTCAAACCCTGTTCTCACATTTTGTGCTAGGGTTTTATTCTTAACTTATCGCCATTGTATCTTTATGTGTCTGATAATTGATGTCAGTAGAGTACAACAGCCATAAAACTTGTGGGAAGTATTTTTATGAACAGTAGCAATGCTATTTGGTGTGAAAGCTTTTGTATGAAGTTGTAATGAATTCGTTGCTACCAATCATAGTCAGGGAGAGAAAAATGAAAAATAGCTGACTAACAAAATGCAACATATTTTTTACTTGCCTCACAAGTCATTTCATGAAAACACATTTGTACCATTTAGCATTTTCTTTTATGAATAAACCATGTGGGATTTTTTTAATGAAGCCTGTGTAACTGATTCCACCCAGTGAGATGAGACCTTATTGTTGTACGAATGAATTAAAAAGGGGTATATTACGAATGGGATTTATCTGCTCTTCTCAGGTCTTGTGTGCATTTACACTGATATACATTGTTGTTTAAATGAAATACAATTTGTACACTATCTATAAGGCACCATGAGATGCCTAACCCACCTGACACACACCTGGTTTAGTTTTTTTCTTTTCTTTTCTTTTCCTGGTGGGGAATTTGTTGTCATCAGACCTTGTACATAGCTTTAAAGAAGAGTCTCTAACTAGCTCTCTGATTATGCCTATCATGTGCATATACTATCCTCATGCCCAGTGTAAAGTATAAATTACCTTGTCTAACTACTAACTAGTAGTTGTGTCTTTAACTTGATTATTTCTAGTGAGATACTTTGAGTTCTTCAATGTATGTAAAATATTTGACGTTATGATTTCATTTAAAAATGTAAAAAAAAATTGTCTGTAGCATCTCATATACTGTCATTTTACATGGAATTACTTCTAATGATTTTATCTAATAAAAAATTATTTCAGGTTATGTATGCCTTTGTAATGCGTCCTGAGAGCCTGCCAAAATCCTACCAAGACTTCATTCAAAAGACTGGGCCAGTTGCAGAGCCTGTCTACAAGGCTGTTAGGGATAGCTGTAGAAGTCATCCAGTTGATGTTGCTTCACTGCATACCTACTTATCTCATATAGGAAAATCTGACTATGTTAAGTTGGAAGAATTTCCCTCCATTATTCCGTGTTCTATCATTCATCCAGGAACAAATTCATGTTTAGCTCACCAAGTAAATGCAACATCAACAACGTTTAAGAAAACATTCCCGCTTTACTTCTCTTTGACGTTTGTGCCTTTCGTTGTTCTGCACCTACAGAGGGTATTCTCTTACCAAATTATGTTGTGTTACTTGTATATCATAATGAAAAATCATGTTTGAAATTGTTATTTTTACTTTCCATGCAATTTAGTATGCGAGAATAATTAAATAAAGGGCTTCTAAAAGTTTCACACTAATTCCTAGTTTCTTAATGATGATTTCTTACAGTCTCCACATCTCTATACTTCCTATAATACCCTTTTTGAAGGTCCTCAGTTCCCACAGTGTGAATTAGTTCACTAGGGTTTAGGGGGTAAAAATTCTATGATGATTCCCTTTTAATTTTGACTTTATTTTTTTTATCTTCTTTTATCAATTTATGTGATTTTTATTGTATATTCAATGTCATTGCATGATTTTAAGGTTGAATAAATGTTGTACTGAAGTCTTGCAAAGATTGAGTTGTTTCTGTGCTACAAATAAAATATGAACTGTAATAAACTGTCTGACTATTATCTTCTGTCTGCGTCCCCCAATGCCACAACCTCTGCTATTATTGCTGACATTTCTGTGACTTCTTCAACTGCCATTGGTTTTTTAAAGATTTTTTTTTGCTTATGAGGATGGTTGTATTTTCAGTTCACTGATGCTCCTTTCCGTACTTTCTGGCTTGCTATTAAAGGCGCTGTTCGCTCGACAACCTTTTTGTCTGCTTTTGTTGGAATCTTTCAGGTGTATGTTTGTTGTTGTTATTATGATTATTTTGCACTTATAAGTTATAATAGATAAATGTAAAATAAATGCTCTTTGTTGTCTTTCTGATTTTGCAGGGAGTCATATGTTTACATAGAAAAGTTTTTTTGAGAGATCACAAACTTGTATATTGGATAGCTGGTGGAATATCTGCCCTATCTGTGTTATTGGAGAAAAAAGCTAGGCGTGGTGAGCTAGCTTTATATGTTCTTCCCCGAGCAGTAGATTCATTATGGTATATCTTGGTGAACAGGCACCTACTTCCTAATATCAGGAATGCTGAGGTATGCCATCAAGTTACTTTGCACTGAATTATAATAAACCCTTCTCTGATCTATTTTTCTAGCGTGCTCCCAAAATATGTTTCCAGAAGTCTATTGACAATTGGCCTTTGTTATAAAATGAAAGTTTTTACTGTTGAGGCCTCTAGATGTTTTTTTCGTTCCCATATCTATCTGTACAGAGAGAGGATGTGAGAATTTTATTAAAGGGGATTTAAGAACTAGGAATTTAGACTGACCAAAGAACAATTTCTCCCACTGTGTCATGAGGCAGTATGCTTGCCTTTTTGCCGGCTCATTTGTTTGCATCTTATTTTCTCACAGCTTACCATATTTATGATACACGTTTTCTTTTTTCTTGAGAGTTTAACATTGTTTCGTTTTATGCTTTCGACTGGTACAGGTTTTCTTGTTTTCTCTCTGTATGGGAGGGATCATGTATTACTTGGAATATGAGCCGGAGACCATGGCCCCATTTCTTAGGGGCCTCATACGCCGATTCCTTGCCAGTAGAATTAGCAATCCAAGCCCCCCGTCTAATCGGACTGCTTCTTACACATACCTGCAAGCTCTTGATGGCATGACAAAACCAAGATTACAGGAGAGGAGAGATAGTGAATCTTCAGAAAAGTACAATCTTGAATCTATTCCGGGTCTTTAAGATTGTATTTTGAGTTGGAACTGGGAAGAGGTGGTCGCGGAGATCTGTTTCTTTGATTAGTTTATAGGATATCTTGTATCGGGAACCGGGTTCCATATTAATTTCACCATTGGGTTCCCCATTTTTTTTTATTAATTGTTAACGAAGGTGCTCTCAATGTTTAGGTATTTTTCAAAACTTTCTAATTATGTGCGGAAAAAATAAAAAAAATGATCGGATAATGTAGAAATTTAATCAATTGCTTGCTGGAACAAATAATTTACATTACATGATCTTGCAAAGACTATCAATATAAAGTTAAAATCGAGAGTTATTCTTCTACAGAGATTCATATTTATTTAAACTTGTTATTATCATTTTTAAAATTTGTTGTTAAATGAATTTAAATTCAAGCTAAATTTAGACAATTTGTGCTGCCTTCATTTTATCGTTTAACGTCATATTATATGATGCAACATATTATACTAATCCAAGTTGTCCCGCGATAAGATTTCATGTGGGTGCTTTGTAAGGTTAGATTGTACCAGTAATGTAGTGATCAATGTGGGAAATTTCTCAAGTTAATCCCATAACAACCTTAGTAGGAAGATCGTTTGCTAGAAAATGCTACTACACATTCCGCGTAGGTTTATTTGAGATTATTCTTTCTTTTTTTTGTCATTATTCTTCTGGTTTATATAGGTGCATTTGGGATGACTTGTTTAACGTTTTCTTTTGTATTTGCAAGCTGGTTTATATCTTGATTTGGTGTGAAATAAAAACCTGCAAATGCTTTGCGAATTTATTACGACTTTTCCATGGACTGAAAACGAAATAACTTTTCCATGTCATAACAAATATTGTCCAAGAAACCAAAAGAATAAAAATGAAACAATGAATTGTATGTAAATATGTAAATACATAAAAGACTTTGCAGTCACTTTAATGAAGGTCTATTCAATATTAATTTAGATTAGATTTATTTATAGTGCCTATTATAATATCCATAAACTTAAGAAAATACTCTTTAAATTAATAGTTATAATTTTTTTTTAATATTTTGGAGAATAAAAGACATTTTTTTCAAGTAAATTGTTAACCTTTATTATCTATTATACATATTTAATTTAAAATTAATCATGATAATTTTATATATGAGAGAACATATAATGTTCTCTTAATTTATAAGACACCAAAAATTACTTCAATTTAGAACTAAATTGATGTACCATCACTTGAAAGGAACTACCAGTGCATCTAATTATAAAATTGCATAACAACCTTTGCTTTTTTACCTGGTCCATTAAGTTGACACTACTATGCAGGTTAATTTATATAAAAAAAAAAAAAAACTTCAATAGATGATTAAAATTCAAGCAGCTTCATATATATATAACATTTGAATTCAAGCTTGTAAACTAGCTTGGACTTCAATACTCTAAACATTCAATATAGAGACTGGAAAGGAGAAACAAAAGATCCCACTACTGGATTCTTACAATGATTTGTACTGCTCAATAAGATGAGACGCATGGAGACGAGATGTAGGGGTCATGGTGCAACCTAGTTTTTTCAAATAAGAAATCTGCAAGAACAATTGATACGTGTCAACCCCAAGACAGATTCACATGCCTAACAATAACACCCCCCCCCCCTCTTTCTCAGAAATAAAAGGCACAACACACCCATCTCTTTACTCTCATTATCAAGAAATAAAAAAAAAAGCTTAAGTTTCATTTCAATTCTATTTTTTACGAAAATTGAAGCATAGATCATTAGCAATGCTAAACTTGTTTATAAAGGAAAAAAAATATGAGATGGAGACTTTCTATAAATGAGGCACCGACACCATCAAGTAGTAATTGGTAAAAATTGGAATGGAACTATCATTTCTTTCCTTGGAAAAGTGGCAATCTTTATCACTAGGATGGCATCTATCATTATGTATGGGAAAAAAAGCAAGACAAACAACAAAAAGAGAATAGGGTAAAATTAAGATACACATTAAACTATTCAATCCTAATCATAAAGCTTATTACTACAAAATCAATCAAATAAATTTGAACATATAGATCAAGATCTTTATAAGAATAAATGGTAGGTCGCATTGAGCTAACCTAGTAGATGGTAAAAATATATACATGCACAATGCAAACAAAATAATTCATTCATATAGAATTTCATTGAAAAAATGTTTTCAACAGAGTAAATGAAACTCATTACAACAGGAATGTAGGAAGCAAGTTTAAACAATAACCGTGATGTTTGCATAATTTCTGTATTTCTATGTTATTTCCTTAGGTGAAATAACTACACATCTTAATTACTATTAACCATATACCGCAAGACATGATTTAGCCAAAAATATTAAAATGAAAGGGTTAACATGTCCATTCACCATTAATTGTTACCTGCTTGACAGTTGGTGTTGCAGAACCCATTGCATTCTCAATCCTTAATTTTAGGAAATGTTCCTGAAAAGTGAAAAGACATACTGTCAAACCTCACATTCAATATCAGAAACAATCATGAAAATTCATGGCTTGCTATGGTAATATAACAACCCCACAAAAATAGTTCTGTCCAAGCCACACAGTACAGAGACTAGATGCATTGGATACAATCCACTCAGCCATTTATATTAATAATTTATCTAGTGTAATTCAAGTGTATGACGCTAAAATCCTACTCTGACCATTCTAATAAGACGATTCTAACATAGTCAGATCCTAAGCCTACTAATCAGCTTCATATAAATAAAAACACTTTTTTGCAAAGAAAATAACTTTAAAATATGAGCGCCATTAATTACAAAAGCATTGCTAGAGACACAACAAAATGACACATCCCAAGACAGAACGAAGGCAATGCTGGGAAGATATGATGCAAATATTTGTTGGTGCATAACCAGGCATAGCATAGGCCAATCCAAATTCATAATATATATATATATATATATATATTAGCAGCTTCAAACATCAAGAATAACCTCAAGCTTGAATTTAAAAGACATAAAGCATGAAAAAAAAAAATTTGAACATTAACATATATCTAACTCATAGTAGTTGAAAATGGCTTGAATCAGCTAGAACAATAGTTTGCAGGCAGAAGAGAACATAGCAAACTACACAACTAAGGAGCCAGACAAGTACAAACAAGGCCATGAAAAAGCAGGGCTAAACAAAGTCAAACAAGGCAAACAAAACCAAAGCACAACAAAACTATATTAACCATTGCATTGCAAGAATAAAAGCCAGACAGCCCTCATAAAGCCAAACATCAGTTGAGAGGGAAACTGGGAAAGTGAACCAAACAAAGGAAAGAGAAGAGAAACCCATGGAATAAGCTAATTCTGGACAGACAGAAAAAAAGCCAAGCAATTTGTTAAGAGGTTTAATAAAATCATTCATGTGTTTTCACCCAGCAACTTAAGCTTTTGGGAGAGTTGTTTTGGACATGGTATTAGAGCCTCCTTAATCAAGTTCTTATAAGTTTGAACCTTGCACCCCTGTTCTTCTAAAGGAAAAATTGAATTTCAGCATATAGTAAAAATGGGCCAAGGAATTGTTTAGCCCAAAGGGTTGTTGCATGAAAGGGTGTGTTAAGAGATGTAACAAAATCATTCATGTGTCTTTGACCACTAGCCTAAGCTTTGGGAAAAGATGGTTCTTGACAGATATTATATGTAGGAACTAGGAAGAAGAGCCAAACAAACCTACCTAGCAACAAGGGGGGAAAATAAGTCAAACAGAGCCAGGAGCAAAGTGTTTGAAAGAACTCAATCAAAATATATATTTAAAAAAAGTTTTTATTAACAAAGCCTTTCTGTGGATCTGTTTCAATGAAATACAAGATCAAAGATAAGAATGAAGATACAAAAATAGTGAAAAAAAACCATCCCCCCTGTTCCAGGTATTCGAGAGACTTGGGCTCTCTAACTACCTAAGGCTTGGAACAGCCCCAAAACTTGAGGTGAGGCAATTTGTTGTAGTCTGCCCCACACTGGCATGTGAAGGACTGGTCACTAGAGAATGGCTGAGTATTTAAGGCCCAAAGGGGCTTATAATTTCCAACAAGAAATCATGTCTTGAAAATCAGCACCATCTGATTCCAGTGGTGTGGTCAATTTGTTGAGTAAATCCCGAGAAGGTGAGGCTAACAAAGTAAATCTATATTCAGGGAACTTGACAATTAAAACAATGACACAATTAGGTCAAGCTGGATGGTATCTCTTTGATACATTAATGAAATTATTGGAATTTGATGGAAAAGGAAGAAAAAATAGACTTTGAATAATATGAGATGATGTAAAACAAATTATTCACATCTATTTATACTAATAATCTAGATCATGTACTAGTACGTACAAAACAAAAAAGGATGCTAATATTCTAATATATCTCATAAAGATCCAAAGAAAAACTAGTGAAAAAAAGCAAACCTGTTTTTCCCTCATAAGATGAGCACGTTTATCAGCAGGAATTTGTTCCCATCTCAAAATCTAGAAAAAAATAAATCAGATTCAAACAGGATAAAATAGAAGTTCAAATTCTTTGAAAGATATCAGTATACTAGAAATGAAACCACATTTAGTTTAAGGAACATGCAAAGGCACTTACATATAGAGCATACTGAAATGCTTCGTCACATCTTAAGCAAGATTTTAGTGTAGTCAACAAATCCTGAAATTGCAATTAGAAATCAGGATTAAAACAGTTAGTTACAAGATATCCACAACATAGACAGTTGTTTCATAAGAGATGGCATAAGATGCAGTACAATAATACGAACAATGTTTGGTAGACTACTGTCAGTAAAGATGATTGCTTGTCTGGTAAGATGAAGAAAGAAAAATATTGTTGCTAGAAGATACTTGAGAAAGAATATGTAATTATCATTTGGGGCCAAAACCTTATCATTGTTATCTTAAATACCTCTTGATATCATTCTGTATCCAATGCATTTAAATATTGGAAATATTCAACAAAATCGGAACAATAATTTAAGTATATAGTAAGTGACAAAAATTGTATCCAAAAGGAGAATTCCATATGACTCAGTTTGTCGATATGAACTAAAATATAAATATACAAGAGAATGATAAAGGCATAAAACAGGAAGCTAAGAGAAGTATAGATATTCCTGGACCTTGTTCTTGTTTTTCTTCTGCCTAAGGCGTTCATCAATTACAAAACCAACCTGTATATCCAATTAGAAAAAAAATTTAGTTACCAAATAAGCAAACTCAAATATATTCATGCTCTGCAACCTAAATAAATATTTTAAAAAAGACTTCTAAAATTTGATAGTGCATTATATCTGCAAAATGCTTTACCCACCAATCTCCACTTAAGAGAGCACTTAACAGCATTTCAAGCACTATTTCCATTAAATCAACATTGAGAGACTTGATCAACTCCCTCAGTTTGTAATTCCCAACATTAAGAAACCCCACAGACATCCAGTTTGTAGTTATTGATGTTCCAGCACTTCTGTTTTAAAGGTATGAGGTCCTTCTTGGGATAAAATGCATTACTTTCCATTGCATTTCATTATAGATGGATTTTTGTGAAGGGACTTTGTCAGATATGCAAAGGAACTAAAGACCCCTCTCATATCAGATGACCATTTAAAAGTCACGACTTTTTAAAAAGATCGTATAATTTTTATGTTTTAAGTAAGATCTATTGAACTAAAGGTTAATATTTACTCCTCTCACTTGATATGTCTGCATGTTGAAGTTATGGGATTTTAGATAGAGGGAGTGAATACAGAGAAAGATTCACTGACTAATGTTCTGATGTATTACAACGATATGTACAAGTGATGAAAAAATCTAATGCACTCACCCCTATTTATGCTAATAATTCTAATTAAATAAGAAAACAATTCATAAGATATTAGGAAATATGGAAACAAGAAAATAGAAAAACTAGTCCTAAGAAATAACCTCTAAGATAACTTAAAATATTCTAGGTTACAATCTAGATATTATTGGATATTCTAAATAATTCTAAGATATAAGATTGATATTGTGAGATATTCCAACACTACACTCAGTCACTCACACACACGTACATCCAGCTGTATAGTCACCTTATCAAGCAACCTCTTTGGATCTTGAAATGCTTTCTTTTTGGCCCATTGATGGAATAAATGTGAAACAACAGATCTGTCCTCAACGCTAAATCTGCAAATAAACTATATGTAATGATTAAAATTAATGTTTCTAGACAAATTACAGCTTGGACCAGTGTCAAATAATAGTAATATAATTGTCAAAATAAAGAGAAACCTTCTTAAGAAATTACTGCCATTGTTTGCCTCAAATTCTGCAAGCTCATTGGAAGCCTCACTAGAACTATCACCGATTATGTCATTAGGCATAGGGACTGTATCTGCTTCAGATTGTTGCTCTTTTATCAACATGTCAGTGGTACAATGGGCAGTTTCCTTTTGAAGAGATTCTTTCTTTATATGTAGTTCTTGTGAATTTATTTCACCCTACACAAATATTTACTATTCACTAAACTTATAAACAGTTGAATATAAATTTTACATTAGCAGAAGATACAAGCTAGTAAGAAGATGTGGCATTAGGTTAAGAAACACAAAAGGTACAGTGTTTTTTATATATGGTTGCCAAGTAAGTATATACATCATCCAGCAATAAAATTCCAGCTAGAGGCTCTTGCTCTCTTTAGTTATGAAACTCTAATCAAAATTATCACATATAGATAGAATTTTGAGGAAAATAAAAAGAGAAAATATTCCAAACATAAAACAGTTGACCATTGTAAATAACTTTGTTAGCAACGCATAGCGCCATATGAAATCCCTAATAGTTAGGGAGTGTAAATTAAAGATTGTTTGCATCTCTTCACAAGTATAAGTGAGAGGTTGCTACGAGTGTTTCTGTTTCTCTCAAGCAGTTTTGAAATTCTAGTTAGCATATTCTAAATCTGGTTAGTTTTCTCCTCAATCATGATCAACTCCAACCTGGTAACGCTTCAGTCTCCAGTCCAATCAGAAAACTTAGGTGACTGGTCAACTCACAAAGCTCTGGCTAACTTTTCCCCAGAAGTCCATCACCAGTGGCCTGAGCATGTGCAGTTATGCACCACTATAAAGTGCCATTCTTCTCAGTGCATGATGTCCATGCACTTCCCTGGATGAAATAAGTCCATTGAGTGAAAACATGGGGCAGATGTTCAGAATTGGTATGACTTTGATTTTCTCTTTGCTTTATATAGAGTTGGAATATTGAATAAAAATTACGGCTATTCTATTTTGTTTGGGCAAATGTTATTAAAATGTATTATTTTTTAAGTTTATAAGTCAAGTTTGAGAGTTGAGGTTACTCCTCATCAACAAGTCTACTTAAACTCATGTTTGACAATTATGGACAAGTCCAAATATTTGATATTGTTGATAAATGTAGTATAGCCCAGGATATACAGAATTAAGAGATAATTAAAGGTAACAAGTAACAACTATTACTCCATTAGAAAGAATAAAATTTTTAAACAAATATTATATTATGGTTGTGATAATGACAATAGTATATATAAAGGCATCACGACATACCTGAACCTCTATAAGATGATGAGGGATTTCTTTCAGAAATCGTGAAGGTTGAAGCATCTAGAAATGCACAAAATTAGCAAAATCCAACAAGTGAAAAAAAGAGTTGAAACTTGAAAGTTATGCTAGACAAACCTGCCAGTTTGAGTCCATCATAACATAGAGAATAAAGAGCTTCTCCCGGGCACGAGTCATTGCAACATACAATAAACGTCTTTCTTCCTTAAAACCATATAAGAATTAGAGTCATAATTAACTTAAAAAATTCAACCAATGTCAAACGAAGATATGAATAACTCATCCAACTATAAAACAATAATAATGTACCTCAACCAAGGCTGCAGAGTCCTTTACAGTACCTTTAAAATCATGTAATAGAGGGATCTCAGATTCATTTGCCTATTGTGATATATCAAAACACCAGTCAAGGAAAAAAAGTCAAAAAACGAAAAAAGGTAATCAACAACTTCTGTAATAACTCACAGAACAAACCAAGGAACTATGATCCCCGAACAAGGTTGTCAAGTATCACAAGTCAAATCAAAATAAAGATGAACATTGTTAAATTTGTGATACAAAATTTAAATAATTTCACTCGGTGACTTCTATTGAACAGTTGCATGGTCATGTTGCAGATAACCAGGTGTAAATGTCAGTAAAAAAATTGTCAAAGGATCACAAACAATTATTAACTTTTGAACAAGTTTTTTCAATAACATTAAAAAACATACAGAACAAAGCAAGAAATTACTATTCATGATTAAGGTAATGACATGTGACGATTTAGATATTCACAATAAGGATGTGTTCGTCCACTATGTGAACAGCAAGACATCAGTAATTGTGAAACTCAATCTTCATTTAATTTCTTAAAAAAGAGCATAAGTTGAAACACCGACCAAACTATACTAAAACTGGACTTCTAATAACCAGTGGAATGGTCATTTTGCATTTTAATCAGGTAAAAATGTTAGATGTCAAATCTGAGGATAGCATTAGTAAATGGGTATAAACATCTGAATATCTGTTTTTGAGAAACATACAACATCACATATTCATCTACTTGCTTTTGAGCTTGTCAAAGAGCAATCACGTACCTTAACTATGAACACAACATCCCACTCTAAACCTTTAGCCTACAGGTCATAGAAATTTAAACTTGCATCATTGTTGAGCTAAACTCCATTAGATACAAATCAAATGAGATAGGCACCTGATGAATGGTAGTTAATGTCACAGAATTTTCATTGTCCTTTCTCCGAGAACGAAAATTTTCTTTCTCACGTTCAAATAAATAATCAACAAATGCTTTTAGAACAAAAATGCAGCCTTGATCTTCTGATATCTCCCTTTCCCCTTTTACCTCAACAAATTTAGTGGATAGAAACTCAGAGACATCATCTAACAGGTACTGACGAACCTGAAGAAAGGTGCAATCCAAGCCATGGGTGAACAAAGTCTAGGTAAAAATGAATTCAAAATGAAAATCAAAAGAATCTGAAGTTACATTTAAAATAATATCTTCCTTCAAATATTTACGCCATCATGGTTTGGTCTAATTAGAGAACTCTTAGCCTCATCAAATCAAAGGATGATAAGAGCAAAGAATGAAAAAGGTGGCTAGAGAAACAAAACTGGAGGACACAAAAGCCAAAAGAAAACACAAATGCTAATGATACCTTTGTAAGTGAAAAACGATGAAAAATTTTGGGTTTCTCAGCCATTAACTGATACAATGTAAAAAAAGAAAAAAGGATCCAAGAGAGAGAGGCCTTGCTGTTGTGAATGCAACTATACCCATTATTATTCATAGTAACGAAAAGGGCTGTGTAACTTAGTAGAGTAAGTGTGTAATGCCAGAGTACAACCAATATTAAAAGTACAAGAGCACATACCTATACAATAATTACTATTAATTACAGACTACACCTGAAGTTTTCAACATATACATTAACATTACAAACACAAGAAACATTTTTTTCCAAACACAACATTCACAGATAGCAACTTAAGTTTCTCTTGCATAAAAAACTTACAGATCGGATGTCGTAGTCTTCATTCAGCAATGTCCCTCCATCAACATCAATGATTGCCCGTTGTTCAAGAAGGTATTTCTAAAAGCAATAGTTCACAGAAAATATTTAAATAGAAATTGAAGAATCATGACATTGTATTTGTATGGAATATTTTCATAAAAGAGTTGAGTTTATTTCAAAATTCATGAAAAATTATATGTCAAAATTAAAATAATACATCTTTGCATTTATCAATAAAAGACGCAAAATATTGATAAACAAAGAGTCGGATCATGCATGAACACAATTGTATGATTGATGCACACACCCACAAGAATTTCAAGGAGCTAAAAATTATAAATAAAACAACAAAAGCCAAATCCCACTAGGTGAGCTATAAATACAAATATATAGTTAAAAAATAAACAAAAAATCAGTTCAAGCAACTGCCAACAGCCACCTGAAAGCTGATTGTATCATTTTAAGAAAATACGATAACCCACGGACTATACTGTACTAGAGAAAGAGTTCCATTAAAAGGAATGACAAACCTCGGGTATCATGTTTGCCACACAAGTTATGATAGCTGAGATTGATTTTTCCTGACATAAAAAAATATGGCATACATTTCAGGTGAAAGGAGTCAATCAGTAGCATTGAATCTTACAAGAATGGTCAGGATTCAAAAAGTAAGTCATGTTGTATTTCTTTTAGGGGAACATGATTATTAAGAGGAGAGAAATAAACATGGGGATAAAGCATCCTCTTTTACAAAGTTCAAAAGAAAAACAACAACGACAAGGAAGAAAGGTATGACACCAACAACAATCCCACACTACTAAATTGGCTACATGGACCAAAAGATACCAGAGAGCTTTATTAGTAAAACCATTCACATAAATTCTTCTTTAATGGTTTCAACTAAGGTCGACTTAGGTCTTCCACTACCTGTTTTAAAAAAAAATTGCCATTTGATCTTCTTTTCTCAGTGGAGCCCTGCTCAAACAAATCACATATCTACAAGAGATAATTTGTCTAAAATGAAAAATTACCAAACAACACCATAAGCCAACAAGACAATTCTTTCCCAAAGTGATGGTGAAAATAAAACATTACACAGAAGATTCTAAAACATATGTCCATTCATATCATACTAAGCAAAACACTAAGAACACTCCACAATACCATAAGCAAAAGATTTGCCTCTTAATTTCTCCTGAAATCCCCAAAAAGGTCAAATGACTTTGAAATCATCAGACTCATTTCAGTCATGTGACTTTCAATAAAAGTTTTTAATACAAATCATTGATGCAAGACCAGATGCTCAATATTTGCACCTATCTCCTATATTAAATACTCCTCTAATTCAATGTTCCCCATACATATCTACGATAGAAAGATCAAATATCACCAAAATATATTTCTTAGCATTCAGCATTCACCAACAAAAATGATTCAATAATTATTTCAAATATAAATTACATCAGCCATTGAAGTGTAAAGAAAGCACTTACCCTTTTAACAAGTTTTGATATCATTTCTAGTGTCATTAAAACCTTCCTTCCATGGGTAAGCTCACTCCTACAACCAATAACAGCTATTGAAGTCATCATATCAATTAGTTTATAAGACTAAATACAACAGAACAAGAATACGGAAAAGACATGTCTATGTACTGGCTTCATAAACATGCTTCACAAAGGAAATTATCCTCACAGATGCTGCAAGAAACAAACCATATTAAGTCAAGGGATAAGCACAAAAACAAGAAATATGCCCTAAATAAAAAAGCAACCCAAAATTGAGAAGAAATATTGCTCACATGAATATTTCCATAATATCGATATTTTGGAGGGACAAGTATACTACTATTTTTTTAAAAGTCAAATAAAAGCAGGTTGAAAAAAACTAATTGTCTTTAAAAGAAATGAACATTCTAGAAAATCAGATGCATCATGCATTTTCTTGCAGAGAAACTGAACAAAGTATTATTTTTTTTCAAATACTTTATATGACATGATAAAACTCAGGGAAGAATCTTTTACCAAACCTTTTAAAGGTACCAGAAATCTTTGCACTAAAGATGTCACAAGCAGCTGATAAGAAACTGCATTTTCTAATAGTTGATATTTTGTTGATATGGTCAATTATCTGCAAAGGGATGAAATGTGTATGCTGAAACAATATCTAAGAACTAAAGAAAATATAGAAAGCAATCATGGAGTCCTCCACCAGTCATGTATTTTCAAGCTGAAAATTTTTATAAAACATGTACCCTTGTTTTCTTATCTTTCTCCAAAGGTAGTAAAGCCTTGAAAACTCGATTATATGAGCCATCATCACAACCAGGCAGTGCTGTTCGGAGCATGGCGATGATAGTTCTGACTATCTATTACAAGAAAGCACAAGTAACTTATGCATATATTCAATGGGAAAGATACAACCATTCACAACTCAGATAGTTAAAAGATTATAAACGAAAGTTTCAAGGGCTTGTGAACTCTAACAATCAACTAACAGATATCTTTGTAACTTAATTCAGTAATACATTTATTTCTCTGTTAATATATACATGCAGCTGAAAAGGAATTACTTGGAAATAAATAGAGGGGAGACAAGAAAAAAAAAACTAGCAGATTAGGAACACAATGAAAGCAGATTGACATATGCAATTAGCCTAACACAAAATTAACACCAAAGGAGCAAAGAGTACAGTATTGTATGCAGTAAAAGGAATTACATGGATATAAAATCTCAATGTTTACAATAGTCATAAAACAGGTAAGGACCAACCTAATACAAAACTTCAAGCTGTTAGGGGAGACCATAAAATACAAGGAATAATTTATATTTTAACAATAGCCGATTAGAAATTGTTAGAAATAAATACACTTTTATCTTAATTGAAAAGATTACCTTTCTCCTGTAAAAAGCCACACCATGAATGTTAAATGGTATTTTCCTATCACGGAAAGCCATTTGGAAGGCTTTCCCCGATATCTGAAACAAGAAGGGAGTAATAAAATTCATTCAGTCAAATATATGGCAATCACTTTTGTACATATACATAGTTACAATTGCAAGAAATATCACCTGCCTACGGTAGAGAATTGCAATATTGCCATAACTGTTAGCTGATGAATTATTTGAGGAAATCTCTAAGATCTTGTCAACAATAAATGCACATTGTGCATCCTCACTGTGACACTCCTTTATAACTATCTGCAGATTATTAACAAAGTTATTTTAGCTATATAAATAAGAAAATTCACAATTCAACGCATATTTCAGAAGAGTACACAGCAAGAACCTTGGATCCAGAAGTGTTGTCAGTTAGAACATTCTTCAGCTGACATCGCTTGGAATTATTTTGAATAAGAGAAGATGCAGCCTCAACAATGCAACGTGTTGATCGATAGTTTTTGTTAAGCCTAATCTGAACCAAAAAAGTTATGCAAGTATCCAAATGAAGATAAATATATATATATATATATATATATATATATAGAAGCAAACTTCTATCTCTAATCTTCAATTGCAAAATTGAATCACAATTTTGACTTTAATTTAAAATAATTTTGTCCACTTTTTCATATTTCTCTCTCTCTTTAATTACAAAATATATTATTTAATTATCATACATTTAAATAAATATATTTATATAATATTAAATTATAATTAAAAATTGAATATTGAATATAAAATGATAAAATATTTATTTATGATATAATAATTAAAATTTTTACCACAATATAAAAATATTTTATTAAATTAATAATTAAAATATCTTATTATATATTTCTTTAAACATAATAAATTAATTTTTATCCAAGAGAAAAGATAATCCTTTAAATAATTTAAATATATATTTCATTCTTCTTTTGTATCTTCTTTCCTATTCCATCAACTCTAGATTTTTGTGTTCTTCCACCTATGGAGGAATAGTTTTATTATCTAATTCAAGGATCAAAAAAGCACAACATTCTTAAGAATGGTTTGCAACGTTTGTTCTCAATTTGAATTTTCTATTTTTTTCTCTAATCTATTTAATTTCATGAACTAATGGTATTTGTTCTAACTTTACTTCAGAAGTGATTGATTCATTATTATTTGGTTAAAGTGTATGAGTCAATTTTAAAAAATTAGAGTTAATTAAGTGGTATAACAAAATTAACACGTTTTGATTGAATTCTAGAAATTTTCTGAATTTTTATTGATATTGTATTAATCAAATACATAAAGGTTTTCATGTGATCTTTTGGTTTGGATTGAAGTTTCATTCAAATTTTTAAAGCCACCAAATTAGAATATTATTAATTTTGGATTCAATGATTGAGTGTTATTGTTTTCTTCTTGATTATTGAATTAGATATTTTCATTAATTAATTAGTGTAATTGTTTTAAGAATTAAATATTAAATGATTTATGAATATAATATTGTTATAAACCATTATAAATTTTTTTACACTATTAACCAATTAGAATATATAACATACATAAATTTTAAAGTAATTATTCTGAAAATTAATATTTTCACTAATAAGATAATCTGTGATTAGATAATAATATGAAATTATATTATCATGTCAATAAATTTTAATTAAATTATAATTTATTAATAGAAGATATATTTTGAAAGTTAATTAATAATAAAATTTATATTTCTTTTAATAAATTTATTATTATATATTATAAATGACATTAATTTTTTTTAACCCGAGCATAGTGCGATAATTAAATTATGTAGCATAAAACTTCGTCAGTCAAGAACAAGAGATACCTCTTTGTAGTTTGGAAAATCATTGCGAAAGGAGATAAATCCAGAAATATCAGCTCCGTTGAAACTGTAAATGGACTGCAAGGAAAATAAGACAGGAGACCAGTGATTACAAGGATGATCTTTTAAATGCAGAAAGAGAAAACAATACAAATATCCAACCACAGATTTATCATAATTTAGGAATTAAGAAGAAAGTACTCATACCTGATCATCATCACCAACAATTGTTATTTTTTTATGAGATGCAAGAATCCTTAAAAGCTTGTATTGCATGGCACTAGTATCTTGGAACTCATCTATAACAATAGCTTTCCAAGAATCCTGACATTCTTTGAAAACTTATTCACAGTTTAAACAAACATATGTTAGCCCAACTAACTGTAACAATGGAAGATTTAACTGTATCTTTCAGAAAATTCATACCATCAGGAAAATCAATGAGCAGTTTCACAGAACAGCTGATCAAGTCATGATAATCCAGAGCATGACAAGATTCTAATATGTTGTTGTAATTCTCAAGAATTTCAGCCTGATTACAATCCAGAAAAAGAGTCAGAAGTCCAAAAGCAGAACAAGGATTTCTGTCAGTATGTGCATGCACATGTGGAAAAGCCCTGTATCAGCTTACCCCTATTTCATTGCCCATTTCACGATATTCTGCAGACATTTTTCCTGAAGCTTTGGCCTGAAATGGTGTACAGTTATTGCATTTCAGGTTGAAAATTAACTTTGAAACATAAGTAAATAGAAGCAAGAATTGAAGGATCCTTATCAGGCATTATAAGCGACAAAGATTAATGTAGCTTTTAAGAAATGCACAGTTATACCATAGAAACTCCCAAATAGAACAGCTCAACTTTCCAGCACTTAAACTGGATGAACGACAAATTATCTCAGGTAAAGATGAAAGAATTGTTAAGGCTTTGTGATATTACCAAGACTTTATTTTATTGTAAAAAATTGGTTAAAATATATATTTGGGTAAGTTCCTGAATAATAATTGATTTTTCCAAAAATCTACCTTGCTATTAAGTCACAATATAGAATCAAATAGTTAATAACAAATGTTTCTCAAATTATGCATAACTAGTCAAAGAAACATGAGGACAGGAAGCATCTTGGGCTTGTCAAATATAAAATTATTATGCGCTTTCAACCTGAGCAATTTTATAAGAATTGAGGGAGGTTAATGTAGTTTTTGCAAAGTAAGTATTTTAAAAAGAAGTTAATAAACCATATACCTGAGTGACAAACTTTTGCCATTTCTTTGCCTTATCCTTGAACTGTTTAGGGTTCTTTAGATCATTGGACAATTCACCAATCAATAATGCATCATCTTTATGCCTACTCTTTCCATTTTCTAATAATCGGATGGCCTCAATAATTGCATTTCGCTGCTGTCCTTGTCCATATATTAAGAATTCAGATGTACGACCAAGCCTGCAAATAGTTTCAATATTATTCAAAAATTATTCTAGAAACATGAGTTAACAGGTTTTGAACATAACAGATAGCTCACTAAAATTAAGACATGTAATATATGCATGCATTGTGGTCAAGTACTAGGCAATATGGCTTTAAAAACAGAAGTGGAATACCATTTTTTTAGCACATGTTAAGTTTATCTTAAATATTGTTCTTGTATTTCTTTCTCTTTTTTCACTAAGACAGCTTCCTTTAAGACTTGACATGGCTTCCCAATATTAAGCATCCACTACTTGATCCAAATTTTGAAAATTATTTTCACTTCAATGCATGTGAATGAATGAACTAATGAGATGAAAAGTTTAGCAGTATTACAGAGTCAAAGCCATTATTTCTACATAATTGAGGAAAGAATGTACTGTTGTCGGGAAATATGTTTAAGAAATACAAATTAAAATGTATTTAGTGAAGAAGTTTTTTATTCTTTATCAACAAAATATATTTGGCATGTATCCTTAATGCAAATGGGTTATCAGGTCCTGAATTCATTGATGGGTTATGAAATATGACAAAAGCCACAGTTAGCATTCAAAATTCAAATAGCAAGGAAATCAGCTACAACTCTACAACTTTAGTACCTAAAATACAAAACAAAGCAGCACACTAGTTGTGTCTCAGAAGTGGTAACTAAAGCAAAATTAAGGAGAAAATCTCCATCAAATTCAGAGCTACATACTTTTCTCCATGTGAACGACACAGTTGCAAGGAAAATGAATGAAATGTACTGATAGTAAGTTCTTTAGCTGTTGCTTTCCCAGCTATAGCTCCTATACGTTCTCTCATTTCAGAGGCAGCTGCTGTTGTAAACGTCATTGCAAGAATGTTTGATGGACTAATGCCCTGCTCATATTTAGCAGAAAATGGAAATTATAAATGATAATTTGAGCAACAACAATTAAATATAAAGGGTAAAAATACGAAAGTTCATAAAGATAAGGAAAGATAAACAAGAATCAAATTTAAGTGCAAAGTGTCTATATCTTATGGCACACAAATTTTGCATCACCTCATTGAGCATCATCAATACACGCCCAACCATTGTGGATGTCTGGTATAAATAAATAAAAATACAATTCAGCTCCAATATGAAAATCAAAAACTCAAAGGAAAAAGAAAATATTAACACTCAATAGACCAAGAACGGAAGTTGAAGAAGACCTTTCCACTTCCTGGACCAGCTACAATCATTAAAGGGGTCGAAATATCAGTGCAAGCTGCTTCTCTTTGCCTATCATTTAGGGATTGCATGTACTTTAAATATTCCTCAGGCATGGTGCTATTTTGTAAATTTTGCCTGCTTGTATCCACTTGCTCTTCTTTAGGATCTAACTCAACCCCAGGGCTAAACAGAACACTATTTCCTATGCCTTCACTAACCGAACTACTAGATCTTGAACTCAAATTAACATCACCAACAACACCACTCTCACTTGCAACTTTCTCACAACCGCTATGTTCCAACTGCTGCTCCGCCGCTTTCTCTGCAGATTTCTGCTCACACAAAATGTCAATTTGCTCCAAAACAGACTCATCAAAATCATCATCAAGGAAGCTGATTGTGGAAAAATAATCCAGCTGTTTAAGTTTAGAGTCTTCAGATTCTTTCCTCGGAGTTTCGAAATATGATTGACACATGTTCTCATTCGCAGCGCCGACTAAAGGAGCAGTCACTGTCCTTGCACTTAAACTGCTGTGAGTTGAGTCGCATGATGAACCACACTCGTCCCCTATTGCATTGGGCCTGTTCAACGACACCTCCGCAAGAGGTACTCTCTTCGCAACTGGAACTGAACCAGCATCATTCGTAATCTTAATTCTATCATTTGCAATCTTGATTCTTCATATAGCAACAGGTTATGCAGTTTTGAAAAACGAAATTAATTAGCATGCAAGCATTTTAAAATGTATTGATTGTATTTTTTTTCCTTAAATTTTTAAAAACCTAATTAAACAGATAATCGAATTTGAGAAAATTAAAAAATCGAAAAGAGAAGAAAAAGGGGAGTTACTGGTGCGAATGAGAGATGAAGGAATCAGAAGGCCTTTTTAGAGGAAGAAGGGGCTTTGAAGCGCTGAAATACGCGCTGATTCGGCCACTCTGCTGCTGGTGTGCCATTTCGTTGCCGAAGTGAGTGTTGCTTTGGACGTACATAGGATTCAGGAAGCGCCAAAGTTTTATATTTTGAATAGGTTTTTCTTTTTCTTTTTCTTTTTCTTTTTCTTTTTACAAAAAAAAAAACTTCTTTTAAAATAAAATATATGTAACCGCCTTAAATTTTATCTTATTGTAAATTTATATCACAAATTTTAATGTTATTACCAGACGTAAAAATAAAAAATGAATATATAAAAAGCAAAAAGAAAATATAAGAAACTTGATTTTTTTTTATTGCTTTTGCTATTAAACTTGATTTTTTATTATTTGAATAGAAACACAAATGTTATGTAAAAATATATTTACTTTCAGTGAATCATTAAAAAAATGTTATAATAAAGAGTTAAAATGTAAATATACAGAAAATGTTATAATACAGAGTAAAAATGTATTAAAAAAAATGGTATAATAAAGAGTAAAACTGTAAATATAAACCTACATCCAGGTGTTAAATTTTGAGTAACAAAGCGATTAATTTTTTCAAACAAATATTTACTTAGATTTTTAATATTATTTTTTATTTATAATTTAAACAAAACACAAAAATATTTTTGTATTGTGCCTACCTTCTTTGTTCTCAGTTTGCCTTTTGAAATAAATAAAATGTAAAGTAATATTATTTAATCTTAAGCATGTGCTTGGATAAATAATAATTTACGTATCTTACAGAATTTGAATCATTTAAAAAATATAAAATGATACGTTTCCATTTTTGTCGTTAATATTTGTTTTTGTTTGATCAGATAACTAATTATAAAATTAATATAAGTTAAAAATAAAATCTCTTCTATGAAAAATAACTATCAAAGAGAAATAATTGTTAAATTCTTAACGTTACCAAGAGAATAAAAATTAATTAAAAAAGTATATTGACATAAAAATTTTAATTATAGTAAATGCTTATTTCAATTTCTAAGATTTATTACATTATAATTTTTCATATAATTTTAATATGAAATTTGTCTCAAAAGAAGAGGAAGAATTAAGGTTCTACGGCTCACAATTTGGTAGAACAAATTTATAAATATGATTTTAAGTTGTACAACATAGCAAAATTCATGAACTAAAGCCAAGTTTTATTATTTTAAAATTACTTTATTTGGTTAAAAAATATATAATTGTACAAATATTAAGAATCATTATTCTTTTATTTCAACTCCAAAATACTTTAAACAGAATCAAATTAGGTGATTTAAATTTGTATATCTTTTCCTTTAAATCATTTATCAAAATGTACAGTGAATCGTAATTGTTATACTAGACCTTAACTTTTAATTTAAATAAATTATATCCCATTTACTGATTTAACTTATTGTACCATGCCTTTAACAATTTTTCCTTTGCAATTAATTGTTAAGTACTCTTTATCAGACAATTTTGAAGTCAAACATGTTTTTAGTTCTTAGAAATACATAATTAATTATAATCTTCAAATTTTATTACTATTTTTACTTTTCATCAATTTTATATTTTTAAGTAATTATTATGAAATATATTTAAATATTCTATATTCCGTGCCGTCTCAAATAATTTTATTTAATTAATTTCTGATTAATTTTACCAATATCATGTAATCATTGTTTTATTTAATCATGTTGGAAGTGATACACATTTTATTTTATTGTATGGACAATGCATGTTGTGTTTGATACAGGTCAAAAGCTAAATAAGTAAGCGATACTCATTTTATTTTATTTTAAAGTCTCGTCTCCTCCATGATATGTAAGTGCAAATTTTATTTTAAATTTCCTATAGAGTTTGGTTATATATTTGACCGACAAAAAGACTTCGGACAGAAAAATTCCTATTTTGATTTTAAAATATCATAATTATTAATAAAAAATTAATTTTAACAATTTCTTATTTTGATTTAAAAATCTATGTAATGTTTATAAATGTGTATTTGTCTATGCTAATTTGAGAGAAGTTATTCGTGACTTTAACTAGATTATTAGTAGAAGAACTTTGTATCGTTGCATTGTCCAAAGGTAGATTTGATGCATTGTGCAAAAAAAATTATATTTTAATTTAACTTATTTGCTTCGATATTCTTTCCATAAATTATTTAAAATATTATAAGAAATTAACACTTTTACTTCTTTACTTGAGATTTCATATTTATACTAAAATCACTCTCTACTATATTATAAACTCTTTGACAATTAAGAAAATATAGGTTCATGCATTTCTATAGAATGAAAAATTTACAACTTGCTTTAATGCTAACAATTAAATTACAACTCAATATAAAAGTAATATTTCCTTGTGTTTAGCTAGAATAAAATGAGTTGATTGTATTAATGAAAAAAATATCTCAATTTTTAAAATTATGTTTGATATTATAAATTTTATCAACCTGTTTCATTTATATAAACAAGTATATTAATCTTATTTTTTGAAGTGTTGGGTTTGCTAGAAGGCTGGTTAAAATTTTGAATTCACCCTTAATGTTGATGAGAGTGTTTTGGGAGTCTAATAAGAACTTATTTTGATGCTTTTGTTAGAAATATGAAAAAAAAAATCTGGCTTAGAAGAGCTTATAGATTCATTAGCGTCTTTTACAATACTTATATTGAACTCATAATCATGCTTCAGGAATTAAAAATAAATTAAAATTTAAATATTAGACATCTATTGTGTTATTCGTGCAACAAGAATCACGACTCATAAACTTTATGTTATTGTTTTTTTTAATTTAACATAAATTTATACTAAATTTTATTCTTAAAAAAAAAAAAAAAAAAATCAACTGTGTTCTAACAAATCATTATCATATATTATATGTAAAAACAACATATATACATAATTTTTAGTTAAATTATAAGTTTCTTCGTAGTTTCAAATATTGAATCTCACATTTTATAGACTTGACATTACTTAAAGACTAATGTTAAAAGTTTTATATTTGAAATTGTAATTTTTCTCTTTTTTTCTTTGCTTATTTGTTACTTAAAAAAAAAAAAACAAGTTGATACTCACATTTTTTAAATTAAACAAGCATAAATAACTTATTTAATCATCATAACAAAAGAGATAATATAATTATTCACTTAAAAAAAGATAAAAATAATATAATTTAAACAATTTTCTTTCAACTAATTCAATATATTAATATTTATTGATTTTTCTATATAAATTATATAAGTTATTAATTCTGAGAAAATGTATTAAAATATTTTTTTTTATTAAGGAGAAAAAGTCCACAAACTAAAAGAAATATTAAAATAAACAAGAACTACAACTAATATAGATCCTTCTTTAAGAGTTCTAAGGCTAAAAAGAAGAGCCTAATATTTAGCATCAAAGCAAATTATATATATATTTTTAATCACAATGGGCACAAAACTTTATTTATTTATCTCTAATAAACTTTCATACATGACTGTCTATATTATGAGCTACTCACTTTAAATAGACATTAATTTTATTTTTTTATATCAATGTATCTTTTAATGACAAATACTTTGTACATAAAGTTTATCTATTTTTATATAAAGTTAAAATTAATCGATATCGAGTATTTAAATAACTACATTGTTTTATACTTTTTTTTATAAAATTTAAGATTAATTAATTCAGTTGTATATTGTCAAATAAGCTAATTTAAAAATTGTTATATAAAAATAAAATTAATTAATACTTAGTTATATTATTTTATATTAATAAATAATATATTTTTAAAATATAAAAAACATCAAAATTTAGACGAAGTATTTATAAATATACATTTATAAATTTTGATCTTCATAACTGTAAAAATAATATAAAATGATTTAATAATGAAATGTATTAATTTCACATTTTATGAAAGTTTATTAAAATTATAAATGTTTCAGTTTCACCCATGAATTTCGCTTTTTTATATATAATTTATATATAAAACTCATAAAATTAGTTTTACTAATAAAATAAAAATGATTTTAACACCTTTTAAGAAAATTTATCAATTATGCTTTAATATATAATAATTAAAAAAAGGATAGAATGAATGGTAGATATTATAGTTAAATAAAAATAGTGAAAAATCAATACCTTCTTGTTCCCTGTGTTGTATTGTCTGCCTAGATTTGTTTGATAACTCAACTCCACCAATCATCGCTCTCCTTCTCGCGCCAAATACAAAACCACCACCTTCCCCTTTCTCGTTCTGTCTCCTCTCACTCTCACACTCACAGGTAACCATTCATTCAAATTTTCTCCATTCAACTTCGTCCATCCGTGTTCATTTCCGATCTCGTTCGCCCTTCCTTTTTCATCCCCAATTAATTTCCACATTTTACTTCTCTCTCACTCGTCACACAAACATTTCATCAACACCGAAAACGTGCATTGCATTGTTTTGTCGGTGATTGTTTCTCTGATTTGATTGAATTTTGGTAGGGTTTGTGCAATGGCGGATGCACCAACGAGCCCAGCGGGTGGAAGTCACGAGAGTGGGGGCGAGCAGAGTCCACGGGGTTCATCGTCTGGTGCGAGGGAGCAAGACCGCTACCTTCCCATTGCTAACATCAGTCGCATCATGAAGAAGGCGTTGCCACCCAATGGCAAGATTGCGAAGGATGCTAAGGACACTATGCAAGAATGCGTTTCTGAATTCATTAGCTTCATTACCAGCGAGTCTGTCGCATAACTATACATATCAATTATTTTTAACTCAAAATTTTTTTTCCATATAAAAGTTGCATTTTTTTGCAATTGGGGGATGTTTGAACGTTTGACTAGTGGGAAACTGAATTGGGCGTGGTTGTTTGGGCGTGCAGGGCGAGTGAGAAGTGCCAGAAAGAGAAGAGAAAGACCATTAATGGAGACGATTTGCTATGGGCGATGGCCACTTTAGGATTCGAAGACTATATTGAACCCCTTAAGGTGTACCTACAAAGGTACAGAGAGGTAATTTTTCATTTTCCCTTTCATTATTGATAGAGTTCCTCAGGATTTCCTATTTTGGTTGATGCAAATAAAATGCGTGGACGTGCGTGTGCGTGTGTTAGAACTCGAGGAGACAATTGGAGTAGTCGAAATTAAATCCTTTTCTGATGCACCTGGTTCTCCTGAAGTGTGGAATCCAGATATGCTTTAAAAAATGAATGTACTTTTCAATCTTGAGGTGTGGGTTGGTGTTTGGTTGGTTGAGTGAGGTGGGTGGGGGTTGAGGAACATTTTTAATCGAGAGGATCCATAAAATTCTCTTCCTTCTCCTTTCCTTTTTAATGTTGAAGTTTTGACATTTCTTATGGCTTTATTAGTCTGACTTTTTTGTTTTTAATTTTTATTGGTTGGTGATTTTGAAATGTCCACAATATGGCAGTTGGAGGTTAGTTAGTCGTCCCCTCAGCTTATTGTGTTATTTTGTTATTTACCTTGGACTATTTTGCCAATGGAAGCTAAAGTTCGCGAACACAAATTCTGATAGGGTGACACTAAAGGATCTGCTAGAAGTGGCGACGGATCTGCCAGACGAGATCAAATTGGCCATGCAGGTCAAAATGCTCAGGTGTGTTTGCATAACATTGGGGTACTGAAGAGTTTTTATTCTGGTGATGCTTTGTTAATTTAAATATGGTTTGGTTCATTAGTTAATATGCATTTTCTCTGTGCTGTTGGTTTATGTATATGGCAGCTTGTTCATCAGGGTTCGTTGAACTATATTAGTTCGCAGGTATTAACTCTCTTTCTCTGTCTCTTGCGTGCATGAATGCTTAGATTATTATTTTAGCAAACACATTCTTGCTCAATTATGAAGATTCAAAAAATAATGACACACTCTTGGTAAAAAAATATCTAAATTGAATTTTATGATATGCTTTTTATGTTATGAAAAGCCTCTATCCATGTTGTATTGGTTCTGGTTTCTTTTACGAGGATTGATATTCACTAGCAAAAGTTCAGTTTCATGGAAATTTGATCAGATTAGCGTTCCCCTCCCCCCCCCCCCCCCCCTCCAACGTTCTTGATATCATAATTAATATAAAGAGAAGTTGAGAACATAGCAGAAACAGAGCAGATGAGAAAAGAATGCATGATTGCTTGATCAATTGTTTACAGAAATTGTACATTTATTCATAGGAAAAATAATCCTAAAACCAATAATTGGAAAAGAATAAATGTGTACAGTATCAGCATAATTATCTAGAAAATATTTTTTAGTCTAATTATGGAAATATACAATAATTATGAGAGAGGATCAGTTGCTGAGTTATAGGTAGCATCAATCATAGGTTTACAACACTTCCCCTCAAGCTTGTAAATGAATATCCATCATTCTCAACTTACTTGAAAGATCTTGAAAACACGTTGTAGCCAGTCCTTTTGTTAATATGTTAGTTAGTTGATATCCTGAGAGAATATATATTGTCTTAAGTCCAACTTTTCTTTAGTAAAATTCCTATCTATTTCTATGTGCTTGCTGAACTGGATTGTGTGCTATGCTGATGGCAGATTTGTTGTCACATAAAAGCTCTATAGGAGCATTGTATTTAATTCTTAGATCATTAAGGACAGTCTTCAGCCATATTAACTCACAGCTTCCATCAGCTAGAGCTTTAAATTCTGCTTCAGTGCTTGGCATTGCCACCACACTTTGTTTCTTACTTCTCCATGTCACCAAATTTCCTCCCAAAAACATGCATAAACTAGCTGACTATGATATCAACATAAGCAATGTCAGGTCTAGTATGTGTTAGATAAATTAGCTTTCCCACAAGTTTCTGATATTGCGTTTTGTCCACAGGTGGACTCTCCTCATTGTTTCTGATTCTGTGATTTTGTTCTATAGGTGATCTGATGGCCTTACAACTAAGCTTCCCTGTTTCCTTGAGGAGATGAAGAACATGCTTTTTTTGTGAAATAAAAATACCTTGTTTCGAATAGGCAAACTCAATTTTAAGGAAGTACTTTAGTTTTCCCAAGTCTTTCATCTCAAACTAAATGGCTAGTTCTTCCTTCAATTGCTGTTTTTCCACTTCATTATCACCTCCAACGATCATATCATCCATATACATAAACAAAAGGGTTAGCTTGCTACTTTGTGAGTGTTTTATAAAAATTGTATGATCTTGATTTTGTGTGTATCCTAAGGACACCATGGCTTGAGTGAATCTTCCAAACCACGCACGGAGAGATTATTTAAGTCCATATAGAGCATTTTTAACATCGTACTGGTTTAGTTTCCATCCAAGATGTGCTGCTAATGAAAGAATGATTCAAACAATGTTCATCTTTGCCACCGATGCAAAACTTTCTTCATAATCAATCTCATAATTGTAAGTGTGTCTTTTTGCAACCAACCTTGCCTTATACAAATTATGGGTGCCATTTGAGTGATATTTAACAATATACATCCACTTGCAACCAACAACTTGTCTATGGTCTTTCTACAATCTCCTAAGTTACATTTTTCTCTAGAGCTTTCATTTCTTCATTCATGACTTGAACCTGATTGTCATATTTTAAGGCCTCCTATACTGTCTTAGGGACATTGATGAACTCAATAGTTAAAATAAAATTTTGGTGCTGCACAGAAAGGTGTTTAGTAGACACTTATTAAGATATAGGGTAGTTGACACAAGAACGCTTTGCTTTTATTAAGACTATTAGTAGGTCATTAGGATTAGGTTCATAATCATTCAATGAATCTTCTATAGACTCATGATTAGATTACTTACCTATGGTTTGGATGATTGAAGTTGTTGTGGGACAGGTTTCTTCCTCCTTTGATACATCAATGTTGGTTTGCTAGCCCTCTGCACTTCAATCTTAGGTTCAAATGTTTTCTGTTCTTGTTCTTGCTCATGACTTGGACTACAAGGAAAAAATAATTGAAGAAAATTTACTAATTCAGCTTCTTAATCACTCTCCTCCTAAAGCTGATTAGAGAAAAAAGACTTTGTTTCACTAAAAGTGACATTCATAGAAACATAAACTCGATGACTTGGAGAATGGTAACATTTGTACCCTTTCTTATTTAGAGCATACTCTATGAAGACACACTTGATAGCCTGAGAATATAGTTTTTCTCAATTCTGACTATGGACATGAACAAAAATAGTGCACCTAAAGACCCAACACTGAAGACTATTCATAACTGGTTCAGAAGGATACAAGTTGCTCATTATCTGTATTGGACTTTCTCCATTCAACACACGAGAGGACAATCTATTGATCAAGTAGGCTGTAGTCAATACAACATCTCCTAGTAAGACTTTGGTACTACCATCTAAAAGAGAAAGGCTCTAGCTACTTTCAAGAGATGTCAATTCTTTCTTTTTGCAACCTCATTTTGTTAAGGGGTATTGACACAAGTCAATTCATAAACAGTGTTTTTTCTTTAGAAAAATTGGGTTAGACTTTGGTTCACATACTCATGCCCATTACAAGTGCAAAGATGTTTAATTGTTTTTCCAAATTGAGTTTTAATCATGCAATAAAAGTTGAAAACTAACTTTGTGACTTCAGATTTATCCTTTGTTAAGTTTATCCAGGTGACCCAAGTACAATCATTAATGAAAGTTATAAACCATTTTGTATTAGAACTGTTAGAAACAAGAGTAGGTCCCCATACAGCAGAGTGGATGAGATTAAAAGGTTCAAAGCTTTTATTAGAATTATTTGGGCAGTCTTGAAGTATAACCTGTCTTGTTTCTTAGCAACTCTAATCATCCTCCTTGAGGCAAGATCTTGAAAAAAACAATGGGAGAGAAAAAAATAACTGCAAGTTTAAATCTTAGGTAAGTTTGTGAATTGAAATTAAGTTATTAAAAAGTTAGGAACATGTAGAACATTATTTAATTGAAAGAAATTTTGAAGACAAATATTACCAGATCCAACAATTGGAATTAGGGACCCGTTAGTAATAGTGATATTGTGCTTAGTGGTTAAGGTAGACCTAAAAGAGAAGAATGAGATGTTATGTGTCATATGATCGGAAGCACCATAGTTTATTATCCATATATCCCTAGGTACAATACATAGAGTATTAAAGGATGAGAAATTAGAATTCTTAACATTCAAGACAATAGAGCATGTACTGGAAAACTTACTTGAAGAAGAGGCAATGAATGCTTGTAACCATTCTACCTTAGATTTGCTAAGGGCAAAAATTTCCTTAGGCGGTGGTGTATCTGTATTAACATTGTCTAGATCGGACAACATCTTATTAGTTTAATCAAAACTAGCACCTTTTAACCCTTCAAAATGGCTAAGAACCTTGTCCTTTACATGTAGCTTGAAATAGGTCTACTTGGTGTGGCTAGTTTTCCTATAATATGAGCACCAATGATCCTCTCGGTTGGGCTTCCCAAAAGAATTGCCTTTGGCTGTTTAACCCAATTTCAACCCTAAGGAAGCTTGTATTGAGACAATGGTGGTTGGGGTGAGGCTTCTAAATCTTAACCTATGGCCACAATGCCGTACTTCCAAAGGCCAACGCTGAGTCCTCTTCTAACATGACCGCTTGACGACTTTCCTCACCAAGGAGAGTCTAAAATACTTTTGTAAGTGATGGGAGTTTCTCCTTACCCAAAATCTGAACACAAATGGGACACAAATGGGATCATATTCATAGTTTAGGTTAGAGAAAAACTTAAAGATCCTACCTTTCTTAATGAACTTTGTGAGTGTGTCTGAATCATCGCTGCACTTTATCTTCAAGTTCTAATACTAGTCCAACTTTATCCAAAGCCCATTTAGAATCCCATAGTAATCAGTAATTGAGTAAGTTCTTTGTTTTGTATTAAAAATCTTATTTTCCAACTCATAATAGGCAGCAACATCCTGTTTCATAGAGTATGTTTCACGCAAATTATTCCATATCTCCTTAGCATTGGAAAAACATGCAGTTCTTGCTGATTTCTGGAATCATAGAATGCCATAGCCATGTCATAATGAGTGCATTTTCATCCTCTCTAGCCTCAAGCTTAGGGTCAGCCTCCCCTGGCACTTTCCCTTCAGTGTGATTGATCTTGTTATGCCCCCTAAGTTTGTGCGTATGAATTGAGCCTATTAGAGGTAGTTACATCCATCAAGACGATATGAATTTTGTCATATGGGAAGATTATTCGGGCCCAAAGCAGCTATAGGTTGAGTTGTAGATATCTGGTCATTGTCAGCCATGAGAAGAGAGAAAAGAAAAAACTCACACTGAGGTGCAATGGTCCACAATTAATGCGGTCTTCAAAAGAGTTACCACAAGTGAGGCAGTTTCAAATTTAGCAGAAGCAGAGCCCCCAATATTGGGAGCTCTAATACCTAGTTGAGAACAGAGCAGATGAGAAAAGAATGTATTTTTGCTTGATAAATCGTTTACAAAATCTGTACATCTATTTATAGAAAAAAATAATCCTTAAACTAGTAACTGAGAAAGAATAAATTTGTACAGTAAGGGTATAATCATCTACAAAATATTTTAAGCCTAATTATGGAAATATACAATAATTATAAGAGAGAATCAGTTGTTGAATTATAGGCAGCATCAATCACAGGTTTACACCACATATTTATGACAAGAGAGATAAACCTTAGTCAGTGTAATAAATAATAATGTATGATGTCAGTTACACATGCTCCTTTTCATAGCAGAGAGGAAGAGGTTGTTTTACTTCTTTTTATTTGTTTTTTAATTAAAGAAACAATCATTAAGACCAAGAAGAGTTACAAGGACTTTGGTGGATAAGGGATACATGAAGAAAATGAAAAAAATAAAATAAAAAAATCAATGGCACAAACCTACCCAATCTCCATGCATATTTATTTGTTAGGCAAACCCCCTTGAAAAGACATGGTGTCTCTTCACCCTTAAACTTGTTAAGGGCTAGGAATTTGTTTATGGATTCTCTCTTGCAACTCTGCTCTTGTCCTTTCTAAAGGTGATTCAATTGCCTTTGCATTATTGACATGGCTTCTTTAGGTTCCTGGATACTTTTTTTTTTATACTGGATGATATCTTATCCAACCTCTAGTTGTGTAATCTGATTTTCTCTTTGATAAAAACTTGTTCTAGCCCATAGAAGAAAAGAAAATTGCACTAGAAGATAAGATGAGCATTTTCATATCCTTCAAGGCCTAAACTACTCTGGGATACTGCAGTTCTTGTGGCATGCTTGTAGTCTTCTATATTGGTGTTATGATGGAATTTACTTTTCAATTATGACCTCTAATTGAATTCATTAGCCAGAACAACCTTATTTTCTTGTTTTCATTTTTGCAGCATATGTTTACCATATTTGTCATCAGGCAGTGTTTTCAATTTTTTGGTCTGATCAAATTTCATATTTGGTGGTTTACCGACAGATTTTGTCTATCTTATATGGCATATGATCTATGTTTTCTAATTAGGATATATTTATAAATTGGTACTTGGCCGCTTAAAAGCATTTTTGACACTTCGATTGAAATAAGCCAATATTATTTCTGACCAATAGTCGCTGCTAATGCAATTTTAATTTTCAATGCATTAAGTATAATATCTAAGGCTTGCGAAGCCTGATACCTAGAATTACTGATTTCTGTCTAGACATACTTTTTTGGAAATCATGTTAAGCCTTTTCAAGTTACTAGTATTCTGCAGTGATGGCAAATCATTATGGAGAGTGAAGGTAGGAAAAATGGGGTATGCAAAAGGAATATTAGGATTATGGAAATATATCGTATTTGTATGGAGATACACTCCTTATCCTTGTAAGCTTGGTTATCTTAGTACCAACAAGACTTGCCATGGTTGATAGATGGATTGGTGCTTTAAGCATGTTGACTATATTGGCCACGTGTATGAAGAAGGATTTGTTGGGAGTGGCTATACCATCATTGGTGATTTCTCTGCCTCAAAAGGGAATTAATTTCCAGCTGTAAACTGGGAGATATCATTGATAGACCCACACTAAACAAAGCGTGATTATAAGATTGTTCTAGTCATTTGGGACTTCAATTGAACAAATATATTTTTATGTAAAACTTGGATCTATATACTCCGATTTCTAAGTCAATGCTTAATGATTGATTGATATTGGGTTGTTTTATTCCCCCTCTCTGCTAATATCCCTTTTCTGTCTCTCGTTTCCAAATCTCTTCTCCCCTCTCTATTAGTCTATTTTTTTTCCTCATCATACATGAGTGTGAAGTTTCAGAAACATTATTACTTTTGTCATCTACACAAGTCCCCAGATGTGTTCACAAGTGAGTTATGATAGGGTTGAATGATGGGAGTACCTTATAGAAGATATAGAAGTATATAATAATTCTATAGACCTCTCTACGAGTGAACTGCAGGATTGGGCTAATTATATAATTGGAATCTATGTGACCACTGACAATGGGAGGTTATAGATTGTTTCTTTCTTTTGCAAATAGAGCTGAGGCATAGTTAACCTTTCACCACTAAATCCAAGAGAAATGCTAGGGACGCATTCTTTTAACATATTTTTTTTTCTCGATTATTTCCGGTTTTTTGTGGTGCCTAATTGGAAATGACTTGCTAATTACCAGAATCTTAATGTAGTCCTTCAGCTAATGTCGAGGATGATAATTATCTCACATAAGCTAAAATAAAATTCATAACGACAAGAAACAGATGACTCAGTATTACTATTGCATGTTTCATCCTCCTCTTTCTTTTAAGATCTAATATGCACGGCTTGTTTTGTTGATTGTAGTGTTTGTAACAGTATAGATAGAGCATAGGAATTCAAATCTTTTTTCAAGTGAATGAAGTGTGATTTCTTTATTTTCAGTTTTTATGCTAAGAACATCTTCTGCCTCTGTTTCACTTTAAGACTAACAACATTTTTAATCTGCTGGAATTTGCAGGTGCAACCACAGCATCTGGTTATGCCATCAATGCAAAGTCATGAATAGATTAGACGTTTCTATGCATCTCTTTTATTTCACTTCAATGCTTGTACGAATGGCATGGATGGAAACAACGGTTTGATGATTTATAATTTAGGTTCTTGAATAGAAGGCATGGGTGTCAGAATTTCGTTGCGGTACTCGTGGATTTTTTATAATACATTTAGCTGCCTTACCAATTCATGGGAGAGATATGTGTGGGGATTTGCATGTGATTCACCATGTAGCTTATCATGGTGAGAAGCACCTGCTTTGAGAATTTTCTTTAGATTACTTAATATTTGCACATGCTGCATCTATTAGCCAAAAAATAGTTTGCTTTTCTTTTCCTTAATGAATTTAAATTGTTAACCAGTCAAAGCACAAATGTTCTTGGACGTATTCCTAGCTTCAGTAGTGATCAGTGAAGCTCCTTGTAGACATCTCGAAGACTCATAACAGTGTGATAGAAACCTAAAAGTTTGAGTAATGATGTATAGATTATATTTTGTATTTTAAAAATTGTGCACCATTTGATATATGAATGTATAGTCTGACAACAGTGTTGCAGCTTTTTTCAGCACAAATTCATATAGAATCAAATGGTTATTGTCTCTATCTCATTAAATGTTTAAGATTTTATTTGAGTAAGCTTTTACAAAAATACTTGTTGGAGTAAAAAATAAAGAGATAAAATGAATAATTCTATTTTTTTATAAATTAAAATCAATTTATGTTTTTTTATTTTTATTTTTTAGAAGTTTTCTTAATTATTTTTTTAATATAAAATGTATAAGTTGATTTTAATATATAAGAAAGGTTTTATTTTTTCTCCTACAAATATTTCTGCATAAACCCACTCACACTAGGTCTAAAAAGGAAGATGGGATATCCTTAGTTGATGTGTACGGTTGTATCATTCATGTTAGAGATGTTACACGTTTATTGTTGATTTGTGTTTTTTAAGATTACCTAAAAGATTTCAAAGGTTATTTTTTGTCATGTAGCTATTTCTTAGTTCAAACTTCAAAAGGATAAAGGACATTATAGGACATTTTGATCAAGCTATTGTTTGCACTCATTCAACAGAAGTAAACTGTACCGCATAAAAAATGGTATTGCATTTAAGTTTTTGCGTGTCTTTTTTTTTTTTTTTTTTGTCTTTTTGAGATTTTGACTAGACATCTAAACTTTATAAATTCAATGTTCCCCATAGGCCCATGTATTCAGTTCATCACGGGAATTTCTTAATTTTGTTATATGCATGTTTAGATTAGCTTATTTTACATTTATAAAAATTTTAATCATTTTTTTTTATAAAAATTCAAAATAATTAAGTTACGCAGAACTAATAAGAATTTGGATCCTCTGCAGCCCGTGCTGGTCCAGCAAAAAAAAAATTGCCTATTATGAAATATGTGATTGTTAAATATAAAGTAATCTGTATAGAACTCAAGACGCATTTATTTGTTTCAAAAGATTTTAGATATATAACTGCTCAAGACATCATTTTATCACCTTCTGTAAAAATTATTAATAATACATAACATATAGCCAACCTAACAGACCTATTAATTTGTTTATTAGATTAAAATTTGAGAGGAATCGCAGATATCGTATAAAAACACTAAAAAACTTTCAAGACAGAAGTTTTTCCATATACGCTGTATTCATGCGTGTTCGAAATATAAATCATAGTATTCATTCCTACATTATTCCTCATCTTTTGTTTTGGCCCGTGAACCTGACTTGTTAACGAACAGTGTACTACGATACATTATCTCTTATATTTAAAAACAATGCTACTTTAACACCGAAAATGGGAGTCTACACTAGACACCCAATATATTTGGATGATAAAATATTTTTTAAAATTTTTATATATAAAACTGCTTAAATAATACTAATATAGTAAAAGATAATATAAAATAATTTTAAAAAAATATTTTAACACCCCAATATATTGGGTTAGAAACTCATTTTGGGTGTTAAAATAGTATTGTTCAATATTTAACAACCTTTTCCATTAAAATAGACTATCCAACACACCTAACGACTTACATGCTCGACATTTTAATCATAGTTGTTTTTGGAAATTTACACAATCTTCTCACACTGCGTGTTGTGCCATATCAAATGCTCTCCATCTCCACATACCCCAACACCGGATTCCTTCTCCTCTTTGTTAGCTGGGTTTTAAGGCACACGATCGAACAGGAAGAACAATTCATTCATAGTCTTCTTACATTTTTTAATCACAAACCTCCCATATATTTGTATTGACATTTAAATATTTTTCCATCAGTTCACCCATATCGTATTAATGAATGGAGGTTGATACTCTGAGAATAAACTGCACACTCTGCACAGTAATTAATGCCTTTGCTTTGAGGGCACTAGCTAATTTCATAATTTTTTTAAAAAAATTATTTATGCAAGGACTACGACTGAACCTGAGATCATGAACAGTCATTAAAAAAAAGATCCTGCTAGGCACTAATTAAAAAAATTAAATAAAAATATTTATTGGAAATTACATTAGTGTGCATTAAAAATCAACCGAGAAATGCATTGTCACACTTGTTAATAAAAAAAATACTTTCAATATCTTAAATACAGTAATCCGTATGAATAAAATTAACCTCTACCCCTCTAAAGTAAAAGCATATAGTTACGGATAACTATTATATACAGCATTGATAATGACATAGAACCAGTACTAATCAGACTAGAGTTTACAAGGAAACTGAAGATGTAACTACAAGGTACAGGAAACTAAGGAAAAGCATGCCAAGCTAAGAAGCAATAAGAGTAACCTTCAACTTGCCCCTCCAAAATTTACACGAGTCATCATATTAGTTTTCTAAAATGTTTGATTATCAAATTAGTCCTATAAAGGTCACCAATTATGTCTTCTAAATATTTTATCATCAAGTTCATTCTTCAAAAATTTAATCTATCAACAAATTAGCTTCTCAAATATCTAAGGTGTCAAGATTAAATCTTTGAGCAATTTACTTAAAAACAAAAATTGTAGATAACGAAATTGACCATTTAAATATTTGAAAGACTAATTTAATCACCAAAAATTTTAAAGAACTAATGCGGTAATGCATGTAACTTTGGAGAACCAAGTTGAAGGTGTACTCAAGCATTAAAATAGTGCTCCTAGAACCCAAAAAATAAATAAATTAAAAAATAATAGATGACCAGATGAAAGGACATTCTCGTTACCTCCTTTGACAGCCATTTATTAATGAGTTAGGTCAGCACTTTATTCAGTTAAGTATATGCTGCCACGTTGTTTTCAGCACTCCCTACAATGAATCGCAAATGTTATTTATTTTTGATAGATGATCGCATTTGAAGCAAATGTCAAAATTGTGCCAGACCAAACAAAAGACGCATAGTGCAATGTTAACAAACATGGAAATCCTATGAACATCAAACTATTTTCAACTCTCTACTGTGACAACTAAATTAGGAGCCCCCAGACTAACCAAACGAAGTAAGAAATGAAATCAAATTCGTCTCTCTACCACAGAAAAAGGATTGTTTACTTATCAACATTTTTGAGCCAATACACAACTGAACTTTAAAATGGATTTATCCAATGTTTTTGACACCACTGCTCCTAGACTGAAAACTTTCACTTTGTGCGACACATATATCTAAGAAAGTAAATAGAGCTAAAAGAGTATGCTTTGACATCATGAGTGCTAAAAATCACTAATTAAATTTGTCCAAGTAATACCGTTGTTTTCTCCCTAATTTTTTTAGTAGTCTCAGACTGTTGATGCACCTTAATTTCCATTTGTTTTGAAGTTGTGGGCTATTGCTGGTCAGCGGACATGCTACCTCAAAAAACATTTTACTGGCACTAAGATATTTATGGCCTAGTAAAGTAACTAAGTCAATTAGGCCCCAAATCAAAACTAGAGTGAAAATGACATGATTCCATTAGGATAGTACATTGTTGCTATCACATCAACCCTAGGACTTAAGTGCGCCTATTAAAGTAATCAATCACCAAAGGTTGCAAATAATAGCAAAAAGTTACTCACCAAACAATTTAGACCGTATTAAGTTCTAAATTGGAGCGATCAAGATGCATCTCCTGGTCCTGAGTTGTGGGAAAAGTTGAAGCTTTGAATAATGAACTTGGAGTATAGTTAAGTTTGTAATTTACAAGAACTGCTCCAAATATGTTGAACTTTTTAGCACTACTGAAAGCAACCTCTGCATCAGCACACTTCTTAAAAACCACTCTAGCCTGGCTGCTCCCCCTGTCAACTTCTGTTTCAGATTCATCCAGAGGTCCAAAACGCCTAAAAATCTTATTTAGGCTTATTTCTGAGGGAACAGGGTCCAACTCAGCGAAGTTCAAAACAAGTTCAGCTGGGGATTTCTCATCTATAGAGTCTATACAACCAGAAGGCTTTTCAGGAACCTCAGCATGATTAATGTCAGAACACTTTTTCCTGGAATAGGACCTACGAGTATAAACTTGAAGAGGTTTTTCTGGCCCAGCGGGGGTATGTTGACAATCTTTTCTGCTGCTTCTCTGTGATTGTTGTTCTTCTGGACCACTCTGGATGACCATATCAGTCCAATATGTGCCACTCAGGTCATCAAATTCAAATGTTTCAGATGATTCATTAACAGGCTGTTTCTTTCTTTTAGTACCAACTTTGTTTGTTGGTAAAATTTCTTTTCCAGAATCACTGGCCACAATTATTGAATTCCTGAAATCAGAGAAAAAGCTCACTATAACATTCACGAAACTATAATCTCCCATGGGTTCTTGTGCTACCCAATGAAGTAAAGATAGCAAATCGTCTAGAGATGAATATTCCATTGGAACAGTCAAGCTTGACTTCTGAGTCTTCACAAGATTAAAGGAGAAGACATCAGATTGATTTTCTGAAAATCCATCAGCACTTCCATCTACCAATTGAGACCTGTTTCCAGAACACTTCAACATAGAGGGTGGCCCAGTAAGTTGACTTGCAACCCTACGAATACATTCACCAATTTTAAATGATTGTTTTGTGATATTTGAAACTTTAGCAAGGGAAATTGTTTTTCTCCCATATTTCTTCCCGGAAATATTAGCACAGTGATCAAAAGTCCTTCTTTTGTTGGAAGAGGTAGGGGAAATCATATTATCAGTGACTTCATCAGACCGATAATCACAATGTGTAGAATCTGGAGTCTCATCTGCTGGTTCTGACAAGCTGCTTTTCTTCTTTTCTGGATATTTACCATCCTTCAAATTGTGTTTACGTTTGCGAGAAGAGCTATTTATTGCTTTTAAATTTCTATTACCAGTTTGAACATCTTTTTTACTAACATGAATCGTATGGTTATTAACTTCACTCAAATTTTTATTAGTATCATTAATCAAGACATCAATGTCATTATTCAAACCTCCACAATGTTGTAACTCAGGTAAGTAAGAGCAACCCTTTAAGCGGTAGAATGCAACCAACTGAGCCTTAGCCATTAATAGCTCCAATCGATCGAAGCCACCAGTTGGAAACTCGGATAGTGTTTTCAAGTATTCCAAAAGCTTCTGAGGTGAAAAGGAACTAACATTTAGAGATTCATCCACTCTTTGTATGAAACTTAGTTCTTGTTGAATCCCAGCGTTTTCCACAATCTGGATCTTAATCCTGTCATAGGTATCTTTAGGTATACAGGAACATGCTAGACCAAATTCTACTCGTCTTCTGACTTCATCCAAAGTACAATCTACAGCATTATGGAATGCTTCTGAATTGCTCTGCTTTACGACACTCGAGAAATGAGTCCTAAAGGGCTTTAGCTGGGATGCATCATTCCAGGCAAATGTTCTATCCCCAAAATATGCAACCAAATAGCGGTCCTTTTTGAAATGCTTCTTTGCCTGTGCAGATGAATCCAAGGGATCAAATATCTGTCCTGGCCACCATGGATGGCTTCTCACCTTGCCCCAAACCAAATCAGTCACAGAAAATTCTCCTTCCTTTTCTGTTGGCAGCTGATAACTAGCCAGAATATTTTCTCCTGAACTCTTATTAGACACATGCTTTGTGACTTTTCCATCTGTTGTTTTTCGCTGTTCAGCATCAAATTCTTCATCTTCAATATCCTGCTCTCCATGTGAACCAATCTTCCCAGAAATGCCAACTTGGCCTTCAGCACTTTGCGTAACATCACTCATAGCTTCTGTCTCCAATGTTTTATTTTCCTCCCTGTGATCAATGTCCTTCTCGTCCAGTGTTTTCAAGGTTGCACCATTTCCATCCAACTCAGATGTTTCATTCTCACTCTTACCTTCTAAGGACTTCGCAACTTGAGAACCCTCACATGGAGTCCCAGCAGCTCCTCCACCAGTAGGATTCACACCTTTAACCTCCTCAATTGATCCACCAATTCTCACATCATCATTCAGCTCAGCATCACTCCCACGAGTGCAAAAACTATCCCCATCCTTTGGGTCCTTCCTATCGCAATCCCGAAGCTTCTCTAAATGCTCTCCTAGGGTTTCACCTTCACCAGCCATGTTCTCATTAAGGTTCACCATGGATTCTAAAATTCTACAAGTGGACAATTTTTACACCTCTGATTCTTCCATGGAAACTGCATCTAAATATTGCAATCATGTTAGGTAAAAAAAAAACTCTCCTCAACCAAAAAAACTGGCACAAAGCAAGAAACCCATATAGGATAACTACATAAAATGACCTATGGATCACACAGATAGTAAATAAAGATTCAAAACTCGTAGAGGAAATGAACAACAAATAGTCATCAATAAAAAGGAAGAAAAAAAAAGTGAGGTTTCGTGAAGTACCAGGTTAGATCCTTGGGAATGGAAGTGAAAATATGCTCGAGTCTTGGTTTCGTGGACAGACTAGTTTGCAACTTTGTAGGTTGGTGTCTTTTTCACTGTCCACCAATAATATAGAATTATAGATATTGGTCATCACTATTTCTCTAATAAAAACACAACAGGTGTTATATATTTCATCTAGGCAAAACCCTGTCAAGTGTCAACCTTCAACATGGTCCTCGGGTTCATCTTAATCAAATTTTGCAGGAAATGAGTATTCTGTTTTATATATTACATTTTAATATTTAATTGGATATCAGTATTACTAGTACTTTTTTTCTGTGAAGATTGTTACTTGTACTTTACATTAGCGTATAGAAAACTTTGTTCGGTGCAACAAAAAGAAAGGCAGAGGAAAGTTTAAAATTTAAATTAAAGAAAAATTTTGATTTTCTTTTTTATTTTTCCTTTAATTAAGCAAAAAAAAAAAAGTATCGTCATTCGTATTTTTTCAATTCTTTTCCTTTTTATCTTAACTAGTCAGTTTTATCTACCTTCTTTTTTTTTATATTCAAGTTTTGTCTACTTTAAAAATAGAAGTCCGTGCGACTCAAATACGAACCTTAGTATTACAATTTAAAATACTGTACAAAAATTGTATTCAAAATTATTATATAACCATGCCACTTTTAAGTTGGACCTGGTCATATGGGCTGTGTTGGTTAGAGGTTTTTTTTTTTTTTTTTTTTGAGGTGACAAATCATGGGACGGACTTTGCTGGATCTGTATTCTTATTCTTTTTTGACCTTTATTTCAAGGCACGAGGTTGTTTGACTTTTAAAACACGTGGTTTAGACCAAAACAGAAATTGATAATTGTTTTCTCCCATAATTTTAAAGTCTCTAAAATAATCAGACGATATAAGTGAAAAAAACATAATTTCAAAAATATAGTTGTAGCCATTTATTAAAATTTTAACGGTTTACTTATTAATAACTTAAAGTTTATTATATATGCACACGTATTTCATCAAAGTCTTTACTGTTGATTTTATAGTATAATGATCATAACTATATATTCTAAAATACATCCCTTCACTTTTAAGGAGATAAATCCAATTACGTCACAACATGTACTGAAACTTGATGGGTTGCTGCAGACTACCTCACATTCAGCAATTATTATTACAAGGGGCAGTCTTTTTACAGCCCGCACTTAAATTCCATAAATTTAATTTCTATTATAGTAAATTGTTTACTTTCCTTTTTAAAAATATTATATATATATATATATATACTATTTTTAAAAAAGGAAACAACCATACTCTAAATTTTAGAATTCTCCTTTCTAAACTTTAATCTCTGAAATGTATTAAATTCTCTTTTAAAAATTCGAATTTTAAACAGAAAAAACGATGGTGTGAATTGAAATCGTCATAAATGGCCATAGGAGCAACCAGCACAGCATTATAATACCTGCATAAAATGTAATAAAATTAAACTGCAACATGAGATCGAAATTCTCACAAGAGATTAATATCTAACTTTAAAATGGCTATTATACAAAAATCTCTTAAAAACATGGCAAAATTTTTCTGTCTTCAACTACTACAACAATGCAATTAGCACGTAACACTTGATGACAATATCATGATCAGTGCGGAGAAATCTCATGATAATCTTCAATTAATGCCATCGAAATTTTAACCAAGGAAGACCGTATACACATGAATTCAATATGTTGCTACTCCTTTTGTTGTCAAGCAGTGCCTTTCTCTAGCCTGCTTCGGCCAACTGATTCTAGCAACAGGCACCATTGGTAAGGAGAAACTAGTCCCTGTAAACCAACATATACATTGGCCTCAATAAACACGTCTATATTGGAAACTTGGTTACATCAAAACAGTCAACTGATGCTGGTAAGGTATACAGGAATAAAAGCAAAAGAGATTAAGAAATTTTATATGGCTATAGATATTTGTAGGCAGTGGTTCAAATCAATCCTAGTGCAACTACAGCCAAAATGGTATACACAATAAACAAGTAGAATACAGATGCATCAACATTGCAACTTGAGGATAAATGTTACAGAAGCTGTTGGAGAAACATCCAGTAAATTTTATCAGGAGGGGCTATAACTAAATTTTACTGATTCCAGAGCAAGGAAAACCTATGAAAGCAGGATCAGTATATCAGATCCTATTTTATGGCATAGCATTCAGTATCATATACTGTATCTTGGAATGCTAAATAAAAGTCAAATAACTCAAAAAAGACACAAAAACAGTGAGCTATAATATAGTTATTTGTGATTCACAATGCACTGGTGCAACAATGGTTGACAGTGCGGTTGCTGATAAACAGGTTTAGAATGTTCAGGAAATTCAGAAGTTTATTTTTCCAGACCTACATTGCTAACTGCTATATATATGACATCAGTAAAAGGGGCGCTTTATAGTATACAAAGATAAGAACATTAATTCTTAGTTATACTCATAAGACGGCATTCATAGACCTTCCCATGTCTCATTTGGACCATTAGACCACTGAACTGATGACGAATATTCTGAACCTATAATTCAGTGCTATCTAACAAAACAAGAGGAGGTGTGACAACACTATCTGACGAAACAAGGGGAGGTGTGGCAAAGTATATGTATGTTTGATTAGTTTGTTCTGTGTTTCAAATAGTTTATGATCAAACTCTTGCCAATTACCCTAGTCAACCTAACATGCACCGTACTCCATATATTAGACTTAGCTCAAAAATAAAACATGGAATTCTATCAAGTTAGCAACAGATAAACTGGCATATATTCATCAACTATGATAGCATATCATATTTGGACGAACACTGTACAAGATTCTATAATTAAATGTAGCATAGAATGAGAGTTTACTTACCAGTACTTTATCATCCCATCCCAGCCACATGTCGCTACCTTGCTCTGTTCCAGGGGATGCCACTCACAACCAATGCAAACACCTTCATGACACTTGAGAGTTCTGAAGACTTTGCAACTCTTCCAATCCCAGAACCAACACTTACCCTCACCATCTCCAGACATAACAAAGCGTCCATCTGGCGAAAAATTGACTTGACATGCATATCCGGCCACAATATGTCCAGCAAATCTCTTCTTTTTGTTAAGTTGGAACTTCTCCCTGGTGCTATAAATAAGTATCTGGTTATCCAAGCTCTGTGCAGCAAGCCAATTGGCATTGGGGTGAAGCGAAATGGATGGCATAGAGTGCATGTGGGGCTCACTAATATACTTTATAACCACAGGAATACCGAATTCCCAAACCCTAAGGGACTTATCATCACTGGAAGTAACAAACCTTCTGTTGTTATCCACAAACGTAATGGTATTCACAGCCCCCAAATGCTGATCATACTCCTGAGTTATCTGCCCAGTATTCATATCCCACTGAACAATCTTCTTATCACTCATACCAGCCAACAGAACATTCTGCTTATCCTCATCGGGATTAAGCTTCACAACATAAGGGATTTTCCCGGTGGCAAAAGTAGATATCACTTGCCCCGTTTCTGTATCCCAATACTTGATATTCTTGTCATACCCAGCACTCAAAAACTTAGTGCCATCATTGCTAAAACAAATATCCCTAACAGCTTTAGAGTGTCCCATGTAAGTCCTCATACACTTGCCAGAATTGAAAACATCCCAAATTTTAACCTTTGTATCCATGCTCGCAGACAGAATCAAATGACCATACTTAGGGAAAAACCGAATAGCAGAAACTCCTTTGGTATGTCCACTCCACGTATGAACCAATCTCTTAGGTATATAACAATGATCATTACTAGCCTTTGCATCCTTAGGAGGTGCAATCCAAGACCTACCCTGATAATCCCTTTCCTCTTTTCCATGAAAAGTACTCTTATCTTTAACAACCTCAGTTTTTTCCCCTCCAAAACCACTCTTCTCTTCCCCTTTCTTCTTCGCATACTCCTCCGCGTACTTCTTCTGCTCCTCTGTCAACTCTCCCTGCAACCCTTCCTTCTTCCCCGCCCAGGGACTCTTCTTATTCTTCAATAACCACGATTCAGTGGCCGGGTTTTCAATCTCTTCGCCACCATCGTCATTGTTGTCTTCGTCGTTCTCTTCCTCCTTCTTCCTCTTGAGCTCGATTCTGCGCTTCTTCTGCTCGTGGCGGGGGATGTTGTAGACAGAGATAGCGTTGTTGTCACGAAGGGCATCGAGGTCGCCGACATAATTGACGCCGGCGGAGGCGGAGGGGTCGGCGGCGTAGCCAAACTTGTGGAAGGTGTTGTACTGCTCGTCGAAGAGGAAGGGTTCGATTGCAGCGTCTTCGACGAAGCCGAGCTTGTGGTTGCGCATCCCTTGGGCGATGCCGTCCTTGGCGTAGGGGTGAGCCGGGCCCTGGATGGGGGCCCAAAGCTGGTCATAGGTGGGGTTGAAGCCCACGGCGTGTTGGGTTGGGTCGATGGGCTTGGAGAGGGCTGAGGTGGAGGTGACGGTAAGGGCCAGCATGGTGTCGTCTACTTTGGGGGCGCCGGAACGACCTGAGAGGAGGCGCGGTGGGGAGGGTTCCGGGGAGTTAGGGTTTTTAATTGGGGAGTTTGGATCGTCGTCGTTTTGGTCGTCTGCATATTGGTGAAGTAGATCCATTGTGGAGAATAATGAGAGGAAGAAGGGGTTTCTGTAGGGTGTGATTGGGTCAATATAACAATTAAACGATTATGGCAGCGATTGAGTGGGAAGTATGAAGAGCTTTTGCAATTGCAGCTGAGTGCTTATTGGCTCCTCGTTTAAATTTTCGCCTTCCGTCATTTAAGTTTTTAAGTAACAATCTGGATCAAATTTTTGTTTGATTAAATAAAAAGTATTTTTCATATATCTGTAATATTTATATTTTAATTATATTTCTTATTAAAATATTCATATAACGATCAAATTAGTCTTTTTGTCGTAGTAGTAAACGTTAGGCATCATTGTCATTAAAATTAATTTTTATTGATTAATATTTAACAAATCAACGAGAGAACAATGAGTAACTTCTAAGGAATCAAGAGTGAAATATAAATACACATCTTTTATCTTCTTAACATCACTTGCAAGAGAATGAACTCTTACGTCATTAACCATAAGCCATCACAAGTATATATATATATATAGAAACATGAAAAAATGAGTGGAGGAATGGAAACATATACAAATACATTAAATAATAGACATACACTAGTTTCCCGCCATGAGCAGGTAGTGTCTAAAATATGTAATATTTTATTTATCGAAATTTCTGGCTTTTAGCTTCTCAGAGAAGATAACACAAAATTACAACAAATATGTGGTCAGCCTTGGTAAGTAAAACTGAAATATCATTATCGATGGCCTCCCTCATCCACCGCGCACAATGTCTGCCTCGCTACCTCTTCTCCACGTCACTGCGACTCCCTCTCTCTCTCTCAACAAAACCTTCTCACCACTTCCCAAACCCTATTTATTCACTTTCTCCCTCAAAGTCAGTTCCCTCATTTCCCACTGCTCTAATTCCGATCTCGAAGCCCACCGTTGGCTCCGCGAAGAGCAACGATGGCTGCGTGAGGAACAGAGATGGCTCCGCGAGGAGCAGCGCTGGGCTCGCGAGCGCGACCAGCTTCTCAGGGAAATATCCGACCTCAAGCTCCAAATCCAAGCTCTAGAGCGCCGTTTCTTGACGCACGATCTCGCTTCTCCCTCTTCCCTCTCCGACGCCGTTGCCAATGTCTCGTTGCTCTTGCAGGTCTTGAAGGACAAGAATTTGGTTCTCGAGAGCGGTTCCAGTGCGCGGAACACGGTGCTCGAGGAGAAGCAATCAGAAGAGGTTTTCGAAAGTGAAAAGGAGGTTCTGGTGGTTGAGGAGGCCGCTGCTAGGGTTGAAAAGAGGAGCGCGTTGCGGAAAGGTTCAGAAGGAGAAGAGGTTCGACAGATGCAGGTTCGGGTTTCAATTTCTCTGTCTTTCTTTATTCTCTTTTGTATTTTTTTTAAACGATGTGTAATTATCTACTACTTCGGGAGTTGATTTGTTCCGATTTGCGTGTGGATAATTGGTGCAATGCGAAATCTTACTTTGTGTTGTGAAATAACAGGAAGCGTTGCTGACGTTGGGGTTTTACTCTGGTGAGGAAGACATGGAATATTCCAGCTTCTCAAGTGGAACTGAGCGTGCTGTGAAGACTTGGCAAGTTAGTTTTGTTTTGTGTAATATACGAAGCTTTGATGCGAAGACGAGAAATATTATCTTCAATTATTTTTTTTATTATGCTGTGCCTGGAATTTTTGGTTCTAGTGATTTTGACGAGTGTGTGATAATGTTTAACAGGCGGCATTAGGTGCCCCTGAGGATGGTATCATGACAGCTGAACTTCTTGAAAGGCTATATTTGGAGATAAGGACTAGGGACTTGAGCAGTGCAACTGAAGACAAAAAATCTGCTACTGTTTTACCAAAGGTATGCTGGTTATATCAGTTGTACTTGTTGGTCTCTCTTGTGTCTTGAATGATAGAAAAAAGGAAGAAAGATATACCGTGTTGAATTTGGGCTTTAAGCCCAACTCAACCCCAAAAGCTAGTTAGTAAGTTAAGGATTGATTTAGCCTTTATAAGCTCTTGTTTAATCATATCTATGGTTGATGTTGGACTTTAATATATATATATATATATATATATAGAGAGAGAGAGAGAGAGAGAGAGAGAGAAACATGCATTATTTGCCAGCTATAAATGTTAAGCTCACAATGCTTGAACTGGACTCATTTAAATAATCAAGCTTAATTTAAACTTAAGCTTATTCGCCTAGCTAAATAAATAAATTTGAATGAGCATTTAATGAGTTGGGTTTAAATAATTTATATATAGCTCAGCTCATTTGCACATTTACTTTAATAATTCTAAGTCATAACTGAACAGGTTTGTTTGTGTATTCCCGATGGAAATCTAAATAAGGAGTGAGATATATATGCTAGGGATAAACGTAGGAAATTTACATTTGTTTTGGTTTGGATTTTATTAAGACATGATTTTGGATCTTTTTCTTCTGTATTATTTTTCTGCATTAATTTTATGACACTTTCACTGAAATTTTAGTTTTTGATAGCGTGCAAAGGTATTTTCCCTAGTTTAGCAAGGACAAATCCTCCTAAAAGTTAAAGCATTTAGATAGAGACTTAGGAATGATTATATCTAAAACGATGAAGAGATGAAATATTCAAGCTGTTGATTTGTATCCTTATCATTCTGTGAATTCTAGGAAGATGAAAATGGAGCTGCGGTTACTTCTGTGACAGAGATTTCGGAGGTTCAGCGAAAAGTGGTAAAAAGTGATAAAGGAACAGAAGTCTCCCATCGGGGAGTTTTTCTCCTTGGAGAGAATCGGTGGGAAGAACCATCAAGACTTGTTAGAAGTGATGGAGCAGAAAGGAGCAAGAACAAGGGTGTAACAACAAAATGCCTTCAATGCCGCGGGGAAGGTCGCTTGTTGTGTACAGGTATGTAATTGTCCTTGATTTCAAAAAGACCAGTCGTTATCCCATAGTAGGTTGATTGATCATTGTTCTGGAAGACAAATCTCATTGTTAATTAAATACAGGCTCCTAGAAACATAGCATCTCTCAAATAGTGTCATGTTTTTTCAAGGATATAAGTTTTTCCGATCACGATATTAGCTTCGGTTAGATTGACTTCTAAATGATACTGGTTTCCTAAATGTATTATTTATGATCAACTTTGGAAATCTCCCGTCAAATTCCATTTCTTTAATTGCAGAATGTGATGGAACTGGTGAGCCAAACATTGAACCTCAAGTAAGGAATTCTTAAGCAGTTTAAGAAAATTAACTTGTTATTTTCCTGTGATGCACAAGCTCTTGCGCTGACCAGTGTATTCTCTAATGCAGTTTCTGGAATGGGTGGATGAGGGTACAAAATGTCCATATTGCGAAGGCCTAGGGTATATCCTTTGTGATGTATGTGGAGGGAAAACTATGGTATAGGTATGAAATACATTTTTTTCATCGTTTCATACAGGTATATATATTGCATTACAAATTTTTTTATACCTATATTTATTATTTTCTTTTCCTGATTGATAAAGACGTGTAATCCAAAACAGTCTTATAGTGAACATGAGTGCAACCATTAAACAGTAGTGTGTTAATTAATAATCAAAATTGAGAAATAGGAACTTAATATTAAAGATATTTTGGACTTTGCAGCTTATAGAGCTAAGTAAATCTCTACGGGGAAACCTCTCAAATTACAACATAGCTTGAACGGTTCGTGCACTTTTAAACCTCCAAAATGAAGTCGCGTGCTATTCTGAGTATATTCTAACATTCATCTTTTTTGTTGTCCTAACTATGTTTTTAACAAACTTTATGATTTGTTAAATACTAAGTAATTGAACAAACACTTGATCATATGAGAACAATATGAGTACTTGGTTATTGCGAAAAATATATGATGATATGATTATAAATTAGTTTTTAATAATGTTGATCAATTATATATTAATATATAGTTTTGATGTTTTTAAAATGAGAACTGTTCTTATACACACACGAAGTATGAGATGGTCGCAAAAAAGAAACATCCCAATTAAAGTTTGTAGTTAGTATCGATTAATAGTAACTTTCAAACGTGTCATTATACTTTTATTGTCCAGATGCGGATGTAATTAATTATCCGTTTATTTGGAAAATGTCAACCAAAGATCAAGATGTGCGAGCGTAGTTTTTTTTTTCCCTTAATTGTTGTCGATCCACGGGAGGAACACCCTTTTTTGGTTCAGAAGTTATATATCACAAAAATTTATAACGATAATATATTTTCATGATGTCAATCCATCATGTTTGAAATTAGATATAAAATAAATATAAATGCTGTTTCACTGATAAATTATACAGCTACAGCGATAATCCTCACGAAGTTAGGAGCACCTTTGAAGTATAAAACAAGAAAAAGCGAACGAGTTTTCGAGTTCATCAAAAGATTAAATATCAGTTCAACGAATTTAACAGCATTCAGTATTTAGCAAAATGCAATTTGCAATAAATAATGCAGTTTTTAAATGTGTTTACGAGTGCCTGTGAAGCTTTTAAATACATTTTTTAAAATACTTTAAATTAGTATAAAAAGTATATTAAGAGTATATTTGTTTTCATTTGAAAAAATAGTTTTATTTTTAAAAATAAAATATAATACAAATTTGTATTATATTATATCTTTTTAAAAAATAGAAACAAATCTATTTTAAATGTTTATATGATTTTAAAGTAATGAATGCTTTTATTTTCAGTAAAAAATTTCTATTTTAAACTTTTTTTAACACGTTTTTTAATAATAATAATAACAACAACTTGAAAATTCAAAACTGATTTTATTTTAATTTGAACCTTCTAAAACTTTGCCAGCACCAGCAATGCGCTTTGTCAGCAACTTAACGGCAACGAATTCTTCTGCAGCAGATGGCTATATTCCCGTTTCCCACCCAGAGGAAAAAGGAAAGAGTCAAGTGATGCAATTTGGTAAAACAACTTTGAAAACAAGTGATGTATACATTAGCCGTCCAAATAAATTATCAAGCTTAGTTATCGTCGCAATAACCAAGAATTATCTCTCTCCGTGTGGTAAGGTGTACGAATCAGTTATCCTCATTTGGATTTTATTAAAAACTCCTTATCGAAACAATTTAGAGCAAGGTCATTTTTAAATACTTTCCCCCAATTTCTAAGGTTCTCGTTAATCACTCCTCTTCCTTTCCCTCGCCCTTCTTTTCTGGAGGACAAAACCTCTTGTAAAATTTACCGGATATATTCAGTTTCACATTTTAAAATAATATTTTGTTTTTACTACTGAGTTGCTCCTCTTCATCAGCATGGTCAGGCAGAGAATGACTGCTACTTATTCATCCAACGACAAAACAACTCCGTCAAGTGGCCGACGGCTACCATTTTCTGGGATCTTCCACCGTCTGCCAACTCACCTATCTTGTCCGCTACATCCACTTCTCTCGCCTTGTCTTCTTTCTCTTCACTCTCTCTACCAACCACAACCTTTTTTAGCTCATCAATGGAGTTGCATTGTATTTGCTCCACCTGCCAAATTTACCCGCTGATGCCCGTGACAAGAAACCATCCACAATGCCAAGAATGACACAGATAGTATTCTTGAGGCAAAAAAGTTAATGAAGATTCAACGATAGTGAATTATGTCTTCAATCAACATCCAGATCCGACATCAGCATGTAGAATTATAATTTTGCATCTGCATAATGACGACGCTGATATCAATTGCCAGATGACGCAAAGATCAGTTTAGCACAACCTCAGGGTTCGACCAAATAGATGTAGATGTAGACAGCCCTAAGGTTGCTGCAATGGTCAAATAGCAATTGTTAAAAATGTCATAGCACATCCTTCATCATATATATTCACCTTTCTCTGAACCAAAAATGACGAATGACCATTGTCAGTGCACCTACGTCATATATTTAACATTATCGTTATTAATCATTAAAAAAATTTAGAAACTAGAATGTGCTATATTTAGATTATATCTTGAGAACTTCAATTAATCAGAATGTACAATACTACAGTTACAGTAAAGGTAAAGTATGTTGTTTAGACTATCAAGCTACAAATTACAAGTTACAATCGAACCCTGCTTATTTCTAAAACATTATCTCCTCATACCTTGGCCGCCGTTACCGACGGCTTTCTATAGGAGAGGGTTGTGTAAGGAAGAATGAGAAGAAGTTACCTATACAAAAATTTTATGCGCTTACATGTTAACGATCAGCAAGCACAATGAAATACAGAATTGCTAAAGCATCTTGCTTTTTTAGCAATCTTTCTCACACCTGTTTCATTATGAGAGAATCCTCCAATAACAGGAGATAGGTGGATTCTGTCCATGATATTGATTTTAGGGGCCTCAAGAATTGCCTGAGGCCGAGTTAAGGCATATTGCATGCCCCAAATTGCCAGTGGCCTCATATACATGAGGGACCGGTAGTGCCCATCCATTGTCCATGCCTCTGGAGTTTGAAACCAGTACCTGTTATGGGGACAGAGAATGAATGAATAACTTCCTAATAGAGAAAGAATAACGCGGACAATTAAAGACTTGTCTCATTAACGAAATAATTATCTACTGAACAATATGTAAGAAATAAAATAATTGAAAATTGTGTGATGTGAATATGAATGAAGTACATTTTCAGTATGATTGTATATTTTGTGAAATTCACAAATATTTACAAGCATGCAGGTGAACCACAAACAATTATGGATGACAGTGGACATAAGAAGTTACCCATATCCATCTTCTGACCAGCCTGCTAGAAATATTCCCTCAGCTGTTGTGAAGGCCTCTTCTTCCATTCCCGCAAATATCATTGCAGCAGCAACACCATAGGTCACACCTGTCCATATTTCTCGAGACTGCATACAGGTCTCATCCACCTTACCGTTGGGATGCATGCCATTTACAGCACCCATTCTCCCTCCTTTAATTTTCATTACATTGAAATCATAAACCTTTCGGAGAGCACTTTTGATTTTGAGATCATCAAAAAGGGAAGGTAGCCCTGAGGATGCGGTATACCATTGCCCAGCCAATTGATCTGCTTGAATGGATTTACTGTTACCACTTGATCCACTGTCATAGTTAAAATAAGAACCATTCCATAGTTTTTCCTCAAATGCTGGCTTAGCCTTTAAAAACTTCCTTTTGCATGATTCCGCAAAATCTCTGTCACCTAGTTCATGGGCCATAGCAGCTGCAGCTTGAAGAGCAGCAAGCCAAAGACAACCACAGTAAGCACTCACACCATGGACTGTCCATGTATCATATGTTTGATCAGGGAAGCCATCATTCTCAATAAGACCATCACCATCTCTATCAAACTGGTCCATGTACTCCATTGCAGCACGAACAGCAGGCCACACATCAACTCCAAATTGCAAATCACGTGTCGCAGCAAAATCTCGATACACTTGAAGCACAAATTTTGGGTTCAGGTCCTTCCACTTGCTGGTATCATGGATGTTATAGGCATTCATTTCATACCACGGATCATGTGTCCCCAAATCGTGTGGGACAGCGCCATAAACCTTGCGAATTCCCCAGTTTCCCTCTGCAAGAAACTTTACTTTTCTTCCATCCTCACACAGGACAGCTTTAGCAAAGTCACGCTGTATGTTTAATTCAATACTAGGAAAGAGCTCAAGAAGGGCAAATGATGCATAAAAGTGCACATCATATGTGCACCACATGATATATTCCACTCCTTCCAAATACAAGAACCTTCCAACATCATCATCATCATCATCATCATCATATTGCTGGTTCATCGTTGCTAAGGAATGCAGAGAGCCAGTGGAGTTTCCTTTCCTAAGAGTATCCGCAGATTCATTTTCATGAGAAACATCTCCACATTCTTTTTCATCAACATGGTTATGTACTGTAATAGCAGCAGAATCATAGGTACTATTTGTTGTACACTCAATAACTTCCCTTTTTCTGTAGTTCATTTTAGCTTCAGTTTCTTTGACAACTGCATTTTCCAAGTCCCTTACCTGATCCCGGTCCTTCTGCATTTTTGGAGACAGCAAAGAAGAGTCTGGCAGAAAGATTAAAGTGGTCTTAATGATTTCACTAGGATTAAACTGACATAGGCAGCTCCAATGACAAACCAGACATTCAATAAAAATTAAACAGCAATACAATAAGCTTATATTTTACACATACCAATCCAAATTGTTCCTCCAGCAACAAGAAAGTAGAGCTCATTAAATAATGTAAACTTGTACCTGTAAAAATAAATTTTAAAAACATTATGTATCCTCTCCTAGACTGAAGCCATGTGAAGAAGGGTTGATTTGATAAAGGACAGCTCAATAAACCAACATTTATTAATAAGTTAAACTGACAGTTACCATTCTGGTAGTGTCTCATCCTTAAGAACAGGACTCTGCCATTTCTCAATCTCTTCTTCCCACCGATTGTAATCTGTTCAGAATTCAAAACTTAATAAGGTCTTTAGATGCCACCGATGAAAGCATCAAACCACTTTAGAAACATTTGTAGCTTTTTCCCTTTTGAAACATGAACAGTAATGCAAAGTAAACCACAGGCCTGAAGAATATCAATTTCAATAAAATCATACAACATACGTGTCAATGCATCATGGGCCAAGTCCACTGCAGCTTTCTCAGAAGTCCCATAAAATTTTGTATATCTCCTGCAGTAAAATAGAATCGAGTGAAATTAACTTATTAGAATAAAATCATATAAAGTAAAATTGGGTTGTTGGTGTGCTGCATGTTCTGGAAGCTTAAAATAAACAGGAAATATTACTATCTTACTATATCCACAAAACCTCCATATACAAAGTCAAAGACACATCTCTTTCTCCATAAACATCTGAGGGGTTTGAAAAGTTTAGATGTCCCTCAATTAAAGCAAGAGTGTTGCTACTAATTTGGAGCTCTGTAGAGCTTTATTTAGGGTAATGTTTTACAATGATCATGTTGTACAGTATGACAAAGCAAGATAATCTGGAATAGTAGTATTTCAGAGCAGGGGAGCAAGAAAGCCTTCGTCAAGCTAAAAATAAGAATATTGAGGAGTACAATGGCCACTTTCACCATATATGCCTCTAAGGTAAATGAAGAGTTTGATCACTTGGACAATATACCATTAAAGGAACAACCACTGACATTTGAAAAGGAATGTACATGGAGAAATTAAACTATTAATTACAAAAGAAAATATTTTATTTGCCAAATCTTGTATCCACTAACTGCTTAAATCACAAGAGTTCTTTTGGAACCAGATGGGACAGGTTAAAAATTTCCTGTATGCTTAGCTACTCAAAGAAAGAGCTACTCTACTAAAAAATAAAAATATCATTGCAACTTTGCTAAAGTTAAAATGCAACCCATGCAAGCTTCATAGAAAGTAGTTAAATCATACCATGAATTGCACCACTTGTGTATGCAGATGCAGATATATACACGCAACTATTATTTTTTCAAGATACAGAAAAGTTGCTCATGGATAAATATTAACTACCGAAAATATTCTTACATATCATTGATTACCTGTGGAAAGTGCTACCTTTCACGAACTTTACTTTTGGAGATGACCATGCAAGACTAAATGCAACAGTGCATTTTCCATGGGGTTCCACCCATGTGGAAGCTGAAACAGCAGCACATAGTGTCTCTCCAGGTGATGAGGGCATGCTAGGTCCAGAAGAGAAATTCTCCTGGTCAAATTGCCCATCCTTGAAAATATAACCATTTCAATTAGAACTAACTGTGTATAATTTCATACTAAAATTTGTTTGGAAGAAGGTAATAGAGATCAATAAATATCATTTAGAAACTCCCAAAACAGAAGTAAATAGTACCTCGACCATTTTATGCCACATGCCCTTTGCTGTCATGCTACTTCCTTCGGACAGCCCAAAACTTGGCAAAACAGAAACATTAACATTCTGTGTCTCACATGCAGCTATGGCAAAAGTAACAGGAGGGTTTCCTTTTGCTGTCCTGCAATATTGGAATGACCATAAAAATATATCACACCAAAATCATCATTTACATAGCAGTTTAGAAAACAAAGACCCCAATTACAAATACATACATACCTACAGAAAAAATATTATTGCATAGGAAAAAGAAAATGATAGCATTGAAGTGTTTACAATTCCTTAATTCATGTTTACAAGTTCATTGACAAATCCCAAACCAAAATGATGACCCAAAGTGAACAATCTATTTCAGAACAGTGTCTTTATCTTCATCTATTTTGGAGATAGCATATTAATCCACCTTGCTAGCACAGTTCCCTCAGTTGCACTTCATTTCTTTTTCTAATGAAATTGTTTTTTTTTCCCTATTAAAAAAAAAAATCAAAAGTTCATACCAGGAATAATACCAAATGAAACTCGAATGTTGTCATTTTCCAAAAGAGATGATTACCCACTATTTTTATTTTTATGAAAGCAGAATTGATCAGAAAAGAGTACAAAGAGTGATGATAGCTGTCTAGCAAAAAAAACCAAAGGACTGATAAAAAGAAACAAGAAATGGAATATTTCAGCTCCCAAGAGCAGCAAATTCCTTTCTACAACAGGTAAACACCCCAACCCCCACCTATACAAAACAACAGTGAAATGAGCACGGCAGGTCCTCACTTTTCCAAACCATACATGTTAACGGGAGAAAAAGTCTACAAAAGTAGCAGCGGAAAAAATCCACAGATAAAGCAAATAATTAGCTAAAAATTGCCAACTCAATTTACACTGTAAGGGGAAGTGGATGTGTGGGAAGGTGAACTCTGAAATAAAATCACAAAATTGTCAAGAGCAAAAAACGAAAACCTTTTCAACAACACGGTTGTGTAAGTATGAAAATTTTCCTATAAAAGTTTTAATAGGCTATAAGAGCTTTCTTATTAAGATTAAGTTTATGTGTTTCTATTTTTGCTAACTATTTTGCAACTACTGGAAGAAAATACATCCCCTAACTTCTGCAACAAAAAACCTTTTAAATCATTGCAAAACCCCCTTTGAAAATTTACCATGTAGAACCAATGTTTAAAGAACCAAACTGGTAACTGAATCAGCAAAAGTATTTGTTTAAGGTTCAATAGTTCACACTGTGGCCAAACTAGTAATATATATAATGAAATTAAGATAAATTAATTTTAAATTAATGTAAAACGATCATATTATATGTTTTGAGCAAGAAAAATTCAATAATAAAAATATAAATGATAAAAATTTGTGCACACGAGTCTTTACGATATGTCATTAATTTTCATTTAGTTAAAAATAATAATTTTTGAAAAATAAAAAATCACTACTTCAAACCAGTTTTTGGCCAGTTCTTACTGGTTTTCTGGGCTGAAAGGACTGGATGACTGACTGGTTCCAAGTTCAACCAGTCAAACCAGCTGGTCCTGTGTTTAAAACAATGCGTAGAAGCAATTTTTATACAATCCATACAAAATTCATTACTCTCAAGTTGATTCTGAATTAAGATATATAACTAAAATATATGCCATTATATCTAATAATTGATTTTCCTGAAACCAGTCATGCTCATTATTGATTTCTGTATTTATTTCATTGATAATTTAAACTAAGCACGCTCTCAATATAAAGATATAGCATACAAAGACTTCCTGAAGTATAATTAACTCCCCCCTTCCCCATGCCAGTAGACCATATTTTTAATTAATACTAGACTGTCATTGATAAAAACCTAGTTTATGACTACTATGAACAATACTAGTTTTTACTTGTTTTTTTTCTTTCAGAAATCAAATCTTAATACCACAAAAAAATATTATATTACCACAGCATAAAATTGTGATCCCAAATCACAACTCATTATGAAGTTTGAATCTTTAAAAAAAGAATCTTCTCTTTCCTGCTCTCATTATCATTAACATTAGACAAGCCAACAAAAGAGCTCTCATAAACAGTACTAGTCTAGGGAAAGGCATCTTTCTAGTTCATATCAGGCTCAGCTTGTTAAGAAAGATAACAAGAGCACCTTTGGACTATTCAGAACCTTTTCATTGACCTATTAAGCATTTGTGTGTAAACAAAAAGAGAAATCTGCAAACCAACCGTCATATATAGCTATAAGGTTTGATAACTTGCTTGTGATAAAGAAGTACACCAGCGACTCCATCTTCAGCTCTGTGAATGAAAATAAAAAAAGGAGTTAAAAATATTTTTTTCGGCTTCTGAGATTAGCATACTGATATCAGATTAAAAGAACAAAAAACTTACTGAAACGGCTCATTCACATGATCTCCTGACAAGTGTGAATCTCCACCAATGGAATTCTGCAGAATATTAACATCGATGGTTATTTAACCATGGCCTAGTCATTGTACTACACCCCCCCCCCCAACACACCAAATCTCATATGACAATTGAAAAGAAAATAATATCTTACCGCCCAAGTAAATAGAAGGCTGACTTTAGCTCTTTCCTTACCAGTGTTTACCAACTACGAAAGAAAAGTAAAATTTATTAATAAGCCTGAGAATTATACATTACTTTGTATCAAAACACAGTGAAACTAAACATGATCGTTACAGGATAACATGAAAAGAAAGCTCTATGTGGAAAATGTATAATATATTAAATTCGTCACTCACTTTGCTTAGTGGAATTCATACAATGAATTTCATTAAACAAAGTAATGTAAATAAAGCACATAACCATAGAGGGAGCTTTCAACTTCCAAAGGGATTTACCAAGATGAAACGTGGCTCAGTTCAGCAAATGAGCAAATGATTTAGAAACTTGGAAAAATAAATTTTTAAAACATCTGAGAGGGGTCAAGAGTTGAAGTCAAACAAAGCAACTGATTTGCAGCAATCAAACAGTCTTATACAATGCATCCAACCCAATTTTTCATGGGAGGACCAACCATATACAGGTGAATTGTCACTACGTACAAGAGGGCACTACTAGGTGTTATGCTAATTTGACATAAATAGAGAAAAATCCATTTAAAATTTTTGGGGCGTGTTTGAAAATAGTGCTGCTTGATTAAGTATTTATTTAATAAGTTATTTTTAAATGGTTGCTTATGCCATAAATTAAATGATGAAACCGATTGCGATAAGAAAAAATCAGCTTATTTTGATAAGGTATACCAAGAAACTTATTGAAATAAGTTGAAAACAGCTTATGGGAATAATAAGTAGTTCATAAGCTTTTCCAAACAGAATCGTTACCTAAGAAAACTAAACTGTAGTTACTAGTTTGTATCTTGTACAACAAAATATATCAATAAAAAGGTAAAAAAATACCAGCAAACAATGGTAAGAAAGTCAGCCAATCCACTTTTGAACCAACAACTTTAGGTAGTAATAGTAAAGAAAATTACACACCGTATAGACAAAAACGGCAACAGGTAGACTGCTTTCTCTATAATTATGCGGAATGAATGGGGATATCTGTCGGCAAGATATTTTTAGTTCTGGGTCTGGCTCACCTAAGATTAATAAAAAAGCTATTAAACAAGAATTAATAATGACCATAAACATTTAATAAAGGAAGAAATAAATAAATGATGATACCATCATAAACTGTCCAGGCTCTTGGAAACAAAGCATGGTAGGTTGAGTGCTGGCCATTTAGATTCCATCCCCATGACGATATACCCTGATCATCAGCTTTCCTACTAGATCTGAAAAACGAATAAACATGAAAATATTGATTACAAGTATTTAGATGTATGAAAAGCACCCAAAAATTCCAAAAGCTAAGCAATATTCAGATTATACTCATTGCCAGAGAGACAGAAAGAGTAAAATTGTGCTAACTTGGCAACTAGGTTGCTTTTGTCAATCTTCACGTGGGTATTAAACAGATAGCAGTTAGCAGTATATTAGTCAACAATTTGTAGAATATTATGTTAATCACTACTTATTACTTAGAAACCACACACATTCATTTCTGCCAAGCCCAGCAATTATTTTCATCATCAGACCCTTTTTTCCAAAATGAAGATGGGAAACGTTCTGCAAAACTTTAGTTGTTTTTTTTCCCCACATATAACCCAGACTTCATTTAAGCAATAAAAGGTCAGTCAGACAATCATTGGACTGCAATAAAATTTTGACTGTCAAATAAGAGAATTTTTTTGCGTAAAATGATAGATATTAACTTCTCAATCATTATCACCCAACTGAACATCAGATAGTTCTGTGAAAGGAATTGGATCTAACCGTATCAATGATATTTGACATTGCCAGGGGTTAGTATTCTCTTGTTACTAGATAGTTGAGATAAAATGATGCATAAAAATGCTAATTAATGTTTCTTATTATGGTTATAAGAATGTTTAACTAAAAATAATGTAAGAATGTTATATTTTTGAAAGATTGTTTTTTAAACTTCTACACATGTCACCTTACCTTAAACCTTCATGCTGACCAGGAGCCAAAACAGATGCAAAATTTTTGTTTCCTCCATCTCTACTTATAAATATCTGAAACATAGGTAAATAAACCAGATATTCTGAATATAAGCAGCAGTTCAGAATGGCCATAAACAGTAAATATCATTCTAGTAACAGGGGAAAAACCAGAGGTTTTACCTCTAACACTATCTATCTATGAAGCAAAATACATGTGAAGTAACAACTAGTGAAACTAGGAACTAAGAGTATGTTTGATTACTATTTTGAAAACAATTATCTGTTTTTAAAAATAAATTTTAATACAAATTTGTACTAGAATTTATTTTTAAAAACAGAAAACTGTTTTTAAAACAGTAATCAAACATACCCTGAGTTCTATACTTTTGTTTTCTTCTTTTCTGGGAAAAAGATCAGGGTTCTATCTGATCAACAGTACAGTTTGAGAAGAATATAGCACATCAATAGTAAGTGGAAAAACGGGACTCACAGAGAACTGGTTGGCCATGACTGGTGACGCTTCACATAAGCTAGGAATAATTTGCCATTGTCGGAACTCACCTCTGAACCCTCTTGATATGCTGCCACTCCTGCATAGGTATACAGTCATATTCAAATTAATACAAGAAAAAGGTTTGTCTATTCCAGAAAATTACTACGAAAGGCCAAAACATATTTGTAAAGAATAACCCATTAACCATTTGAATGGTATACATGATTAAATAGTCAAGTGATTAATTGTTAGCTTTCAATTGGATTGTATCATACCCCATCCCTCCAAGTGGAACTCCTTGAGATGCAGATGGCTTGCAACTTTCTCGAGTGAAAGGATCAATAGGTGCTTTCTGCAGCAATCAGGCCAACAAACTGAAGTCTGGAATCTTAAGTTTTAACATACTAATATATGGGTTTATGAACTCAATACACAGCCACACACAGAGGAATCAACGAATGACCATAAAATGAAAGGAGAATTTCAAATTTACCCTTCCATGAGAAGCCTCTTCTCTAACATATGACCAGATCCGTATACCTAATCGAACCTGAAATTTTACAGCACAATAGACAGTCAGGAGAGACATACATTTAAAAGTTTTTAACAAAATAATAATAAAACTAAGTGCTTGCTTGGTACAACTTATTTTGAAGCAATACTCAATTGTTTTTGTCAGCTTCTTGAGAAAGCTTTTGAAAACATGCAATTATTTTTCCAAAAATATGTTATCCAAACATACACTGATTAAATAAGAGAAATATTAACAACACACTATTTATTATTAGAATTTATTAAAAACCACAATAAAAACTCACTAGTGCTTTTATAATTTTCAATAAATTTAACAAACAATTGAGAATGTGTTAGAAAGCGTGTTCTTAGCACTCCTCACTATATAAATAAGTATAAGCAAAGCATTTCCATCCATTAAACTAGTAAATCCATGTTGAGAATTGTTAATTTCGGAGCCACTTGCCATCTTTATAGCCTCCATAAAAGTTACTCTAAACTCTTTAAGAAGATTTGCATGGCTGTTTAATCTCCTTCTCCAAGCTTGTACAGGGGGAGCGGCACTATCAAAATCCAACTGCAAAAAGTATGACAAGGACACAGATTACTTCAAGCGTAATTAATTATCAACAGTACATGTGATGCGGCACCACTCGCTGACTAAGCCACAATATCAGTTTAATTCACATTCTCTTCCTTTCTTATTTTTTTCTTCATCATTATCAAGCAATAGGTAGATCAATTTCCACGAAGAAACACACCATTCAGAGTTAAAATCACATGCAATCGCAAAGTTTTTAGATAAAACGCGCGGAAGAGACCATGAAGCCAATTCACCAAAATCGCAATATGACAAGAACATAATCGCAGCGTTGTCGATCAGCTTCAGAACAACCAAATATGACAATAAATAAAAATAAAATAACACATACCAGCTGTAAAGTGGATTTACTGATATACTCTTCAGGAGGCCATGAATTCTTCCGACAATGAAAAATATTGCCGCTAACCATTTTGCGAAAATCGTTACAACCTCCACAACACAGAACCGTCTCGGAACAATAGATCAAGATCAATCAACAAAAATGAATAAATAAATTAGCACTTAGCTAACCGAGATCCTGCTCACAATCGCCACCAAAATATCGAACCAACACGGAAAAAAACCAAAAAGAAAAGAGTGTATGTGTGTGTATGTTTGTGTGTTTTTGAAGTTGGAGTGAAACTGTTAAGAAGGAGATCGAATATCTCGTGACTGTTAGAGAAAAAATAGGGATCGAATATCTCGTGATTGCTATGAGATTCGATTCGATAGCTTGCGGAGCAGAAGGGATCGAATGATGCGTGGCGATACGAGAAATAGCCGCCTGTACCACCGAGTCAGTGACTCGCTCGTTGGAATTCTAACTCGGATCGTCAGGGGAGAAAGAAAGAGAGAAAGTTTGAAAGTAAAAATAAGAAGCTCTCTCGGCCACTTTTTAATTGTTTTTTATTCTCTCTCCCTTAATTAATATTTTAATTAATATTTTGGAGTATATTTGGTGGTGAACAACTTTCGTTAGGATTGAAGACCACATCACCGCTCTCGGTCTCTTTCCCTTGATCGCTATTAAATAACGGTCCACATTGATGTCGGTATCGTAGACTTCACTTTTCTCATTTTTCTCTTCCATTATTTAATGCTTTAATATAGTAAAACAATGGCTGCTCAATGTAAATAAATAAAATATTAAGTGTCTTCCCCGTGCCACAATGGCGATTTTCAAACCACAGAAGGACGGGCGGTGGCATGGGGTTTGTTGGATTATGAACATTGGACTATTTTCATACTTAGGGGAGGGGGAAAGAAAATACCAACAATTTTGAAATTTTTGCTCCTTTGACGTTTAGCTAAGGTCTTCATCAATTAGATTGAGTCAATTTTACGAAAAAAAACATAAATTTCTATTATTATCTTAAAAATATTATACTTTTGTTACTTTTTTCAATAAAGTTTCTTATGTTTCGATGCTTAAATTTAAAAGTTGGAGTTAATAAAAAATTATTTTATTAATTATCATTTAATCATATTTATTTTGAATTTTAATTTGAATTTATTTGATTTAAATTATATTTTCTAAAGATGGTCAAATAAATTTTCATTAATATCTCATACATACATACATATATATATATATACACACACAAACACATATATTATACAATAAAAATATTAGATTAAAAAACTTATAAGACTTTAAATTTAATATGCTTATGAATACATTAAATATTATAAGATATGATATAAAAAATAAATTAATATTATTATTTTATAAACATACACTTTTATAAGTATTAATTTAAAACCTTGATCTATTTAATTTCTTCAATTTTTTAATCGTTTAGTTTTCAATTCCTTCCATTTATAATTTTTGCAATCTTTTTTTTTTCTGCAATATAATTATAATTTTTGGATTTAGGAATACAATTTGCATTGAGTTTCATCAACTTTTCTAGTGATGTTAATTATTGTTAAGTAAATGTAAATTATTTAACCTTTTATTTTATAAAATTTTCCAACTGTTAAATAAAGAAAATATTAAATATATTTTATCCTTCAAGCATATTAAATACATGTATGTTTTTATTTAATGCATATTTTATTAAATAGCAGGAGGATAAGCAGATATAACAAAATTTTAACATTTTTTAAATATATTTTTAATCTTAAAAAAATTATTATTTTCTTTTGTCTTTTATTTCTTTAAAAAAAATTCTAAATACTATTTCTTTGTTAACAATATATATATATATATATATATATATAATATTGTAAATGACCCTACGTGTTTATTTTATATTTCAATCTTATGAATTAATGTGAATAATATATAAGCAAATAATAAAACAAGTTAACAAATTATTAACAAAATAAAATAATATTTTTTAAGAACCAGATAAAAAATTAAATAAATAATTGTGAATAATGGGATGAGTAAAACTTTATATAAGCGTAATATTTTTCACCTCACAAGTGTATGACGTCTTCTCTATATCTCACGTCACACCTCCTTTCCCATATTCCTTTTCCTCTCCAAGTTTCGTACTTGGACAGCATCTTCCGATAGTTGTATTCCATACATAATTTTGGTGGAACTCTTAATCTCCACTAATCCCCTCATTGGCTTCCTCCTTTTGGAAGATGCTTTTAAGGTGGTTTTTTAAAGTGAGGGATTGTGTCATCGATTATTAGAATATTGTTTGATTAAGTTTCAGATAAATTTATAATCTAAAAAAACTAGTAAGTAATTTGATTGGCACAAATTTATCCTAGGTAGGTTAGATAATGAATTTAGACTCTGTTATTCAGAGTTTTTTTTTTCAGAAATTAGGGAGTCAAATTAGAAAATTTAAGATAATGTGACCATTTTTTTAGATTCTCACGGTGATAGAAGGACCTAAAAAAATTCTAGTTGGCTATTTTTAGATAAATTCTGTTTTAGATGATTGAACGTTGTTACAGATATATTTAATATATATTTTTCTTTTTCAATTCCTATACTTTTGTGACCATTTGAGAAATTAAAAAAAATAGTATACAACGATATTTTTAGTTATTATTAATGTAATTTAATATATTTTTAAAAAATATTGATTTATTAATAAAAAATATTTTATTCCTCCCGCGAATATAAAGTTATCTTAGGCTTATGCTATTTCTAGTTCAATTATGTGAATTTTCAGGAAACAACCTGTTGAAAATTGATAAATATATTGGGTAGTTTTTATTTTAGAGGCTCATTTTCAAAGTTGCATTGCAGTACCCTCTATCCAAGAACAAGAGCCATAAGAAGCTAGATCAACACGCGACTTCTACGTGAATACACTATCAAATATCATTAGGTGCCTTTCAAATTTCCCAAATTCAAATCAAATTTGTAAGACAGATCGTTTCAAAGTTTCAGACTTTTTGATCCCTAATCCACCGAGTTTCTGAGGTTAGAGTTTGCGTGCTCCATTACTTGTACATTTGACTTTTATTTTTAACTGTTATAATGCTTTAAGATTTTTATGCCTACATCCACTGTACTCGTGCAAGAATTGCACAGATGTATCAACTACCTATACCACTAACTTTCTTGTTCAATTGACCATAAAAGAAAAACTGATCATTATCGTTGCCTTCAAATGGAGCAATCAAACTATGGTAAAGCTTTGATCCATAGGAATGGAAACAACCTTGATGCATAACCTCTGGTACTGACAATTCCACATATATAGTTGCAACATTTTAAAATGGATAACCCTCCCTGAGCCAGTGCAGAAGTTAACTAGTCTTCTAACCTTTTAAAGGATTCAATTTGGAGTGGCCTCAAGCAGCTACTGAGTCATCGCGGTGACCAATAATGGCAATTACATGGACCATCGTGCTGAATTCCATTTTAAAAAAAAATCATATCAACCATTTAGGCATTTAAGATTATTAAATTGCATTGCGCAAATAACATTTCGAACTTATGACTTGGAGTAAACTAATTAAATTAGTTGTCTACACAGAGGGACTTTCATGTTGTCTACAAGGAGTAAATGAGTTTACGAATGCATTGATGTCAAAGCTAACTTAAGTCACAATACAAACAAACTTTCTCTCGAACAAAACCATGGAAAATGTCAAAATCAATGCCAGTCTATTATTCCCCCAAGTGTGGTGGATCCCACACCCTCCCATACTTCACTGAAGCCCAGTTCCTCATTGTCAACACCTTCCATGTCGTAGTCCCACCAGCCCCGACCATTTGCATCTGCTCATAGAAAAATGTAAATAGTACGTGTAGGATAGATTTCAAACCCATCCTCTATCACAGAAAATATATATATACATGTAAATCATACAGTGATTATAAAGAGGTCTTGGCCTTTTATTGCTGGAGTCATTTTCAATTTGTCCTTTTGGCTTCAACTTTGATTCACCTCCAAGAACTACCACACGCTGTCGTGCTGTTTGGTTTTCTTTCTCACCTATTAACGCATGGAATAAAGTGTGTCCAAAGAGGAAAGAAAAGCAACTATTTAATGAAAAAAGAAAAACATTTCCAGAGTTCTAAATATATTTTGATTGTTCGATTGGAAACCGTGTCTCCATCTTGATGTTGAAAGTTTTTCAGAGAACTGCAAACAGAAAAAGGAAGTACCTGTTTATCTTCTTTGTTTATTTATTTATGTCCATTTAATCTTAAACCTCCGAAGTAAATAGCTTCGTGGATTATCTTTTCCGGCAAGTTTTACATTCACATCAATTATCCAATAACAGAAAATTTCCCTGGGTGAAAATTCCCTTGATGTAACATCAAATAGACAACTATCTTCCTCTAATCCTCTGAATATTATGTAAATGATAAATATTTCGTCCAAGCATCAAATTGACAAAAAAAACTTATATCTCATCTAAAAGCAATGCAAGGGTCTCACTAAACGCAAGCATCAAACTGAACCAACTCACAAAACTTAAGTCATGCTATATATAGTAAAGTTCCAAAAGGAAAGCTCATGACACGTACAGAGGAGGGAAAATGAAATCAGAGATCCAATGGTACTTGGTTTTCCAAAGCTTGAGTTGAGTTGTGCTTTCAGTATACACGTATTTTACGACAATTTCAAGAAAATAGATCGAAACACAGGTCTTTTGGGCAAAGAAGCTATTATTCAAGAAAGGGTCAGGCAATGATACCGTAACTGGAACAATGGTTTGAAATTTCCAATCAGAATAATAAATAAAAATAATTAATTTTAACTTGAGTTTTCTTAACTTCAACTCTTTAACACTGAATTAAATCATTTAAAAATAATAAACATATAAAAATGCAATATATATTTTATAATAAAATTTTGATATTATTAAGTGCCTAAATTCAGTCCTGAACTGAGGTTTAATATGTATATTTTAAAATTTTTAACAATTCCTAGCTCAAATTTATTAGGATGGGGAAGGCAAACCTTCAAATGAGTTTTTCCTTTTCTTTGACTCGTGAATATCTGCAACCGAATTTTCTAATTCACCAACCCCAATCTGACTAACAAAGTCTCCTTTGTCTTCTTCAGTATGCTTAAACCTTTCAAAAATCACTTTATCACTACCACAGTTTTTTTCCCTTTCAAATTGTTTGACATTTCCATCCTTCTCACCACCAGATATTCTTAAACTCAGAGGTGACAGAAAAGGCGTCGATTTCCCCTTTTAAAAATAAACAGAGAATCTCATCAGAAAAATAAACACGTCCTCTTGAATTGAACGATTTTAAAAATTAGAAGACAGGTTAAATTATTGGTAATGATATAGACTCGCCTCTTATTTTTTTAAAAACGGAATTAAAGATACTTTTAAAAAATAAGAAGAAAAAATAACGTAAAATTACCGGAACCGTTTGAGTAATATGGGAAGATTTTTGCGGCGCGCGATCGAGGAATTGAGAAAGCGAGAGACGCGCGGTTTCGCTCTTGCGTGAAGCTTGATCTTTCGCGCTTCCTTCAGAGCTGGTTCCAGCAACAAGTGTCATCATCATATAATCCAGCAATTTCGTTTTATTTTATTCTTTCGAGTTAAGGAATTGAAAAAAACAAAGATGACTTACGCATTGGATGAGAAAGAGCGGAATGTTGAAGGAATTGATCGCTGGCCAAAAGCCCTAATCGACGCTGACTTTTTTGAATTCGTCTTTGAGTTCATTGCATTTAGGATTTGGATGAGAATTTTAATATGTTGGTTTTGTTTTCAATTTATATATATGGGAAGAATGAGTGTGTGTGTGAGAGAGTGACACTCGCGAAACTTTTCCCGGGAAGAAAGGAGAAAGTGTTTCGTTTTCTAAGATTCAAAATTCTTATTGTCCGCGGCAAAAGAATGGGCTTAGTATTTGGACCGGTGGCCCATACCCAATTGAACTGTACCGGGCCAGTCGCCTGGTGGAGGAGTGGGACATTTGTCTTCTCCTAAACCAAGAACGCCATAACAGTAACACAAAAGATTAAACAATTATTAATGCTGAAACAAGACGTTGAATATAACTACGACTTTGAGCATCGAAGATATGCGGTGGACATTAAAGCACAAGTTTCTTCTACGTTTGACTTTTTTGTTGTTGAAAGGTTTGTCTCATTTCGAATGGGATAATTTAAATTAGATTTTTTAATCAAATTTTAATGTAATTGTATTTTCAAGACTCATTTTTTTTAATTTATTATGTTTAATTATAATTTAAAACCCTATATTTTAACTTGTATGTAAGTTTAATTGCTTGCATTTAATTTTTTAAATTAATTTTTTTATTTAAAAATTTTATTTAACAATTAATAAAAATATAATGGATGCGTGACATATTATTTATTTTTATAAATTATTAAAATGTATAAAGTATTTAAATAAAAATAGAAAATAAAATTTATAAAATAAATTTTTATTTAAATATTTTATATGTTTTTTCGTGTGAATTTGAATAAATCACTGGTGTATTACATCCTTGTTGTGTTTTTATTATTTATTAAGTGAAATATTAGAGTGAGTGGCTTACTTTGAACATATGAAAAAAATGTAAAAAATAAATGTCAATAATTAAAATTAAAAGACCTAAAATTAGACATAAGTTAAAGCACAGAAACTAAAAATACCATTAAGCAATTAAAAAACTAAGCAATAGATAAATTGAAAAAAAAAGTATTTATTTTATTTTAGTTTATCACTGAATCCCAGATACGTGCTTTTGACCTTTAAATTAAAATTTGGCCACATGAATAGCATTTAAGAAACAAAAATTCAAGATAATGGCAAATCCATTCCCACCCCCTCTTTTCGTTCAAAGGTGGTCGTTAGACTTTGAAAAGTGATTGTAGATTTAAATGAGACAATTGAAAATTCCATGTGGTCATTGGGTTACATACTTTTATTTAACTATATCTTAAACAGCGTTATTCATTAACATTTGTTATAAAGAAATTTCTAGAGTACGGTTAAATTATGGATAGCGATTATTGGCACGCATATGTATCTGTTTTATATTTACATTCCCTTTTTATTTATTTGTAACAACGATTACATAGAGATGTTCATCCAAGAAATATTTGCTATGGGTGTCTCACTTTTTAAGGATAAGCCTTTCACTGGTACATACCGGCTAGTAGCAAAGGAAAATATAACGAAGTGTAGACCGGCGAACATATAAATAAATGGCTTTTACTCATTTCCAGCTTATACCTCTACACTACGGTTTCTATACAAACAATGCCAACCAATTTGAACATTTTTTTACCATCTTTGGTATTTGTATTCAATTATTTACAAGAAAAATGTATGTCTCATCGATTCCCAATATTATGTCTCTTTTTTGGCAGTGCGGATGACATGTTGCGAAGCCTATTTTTAACTTCTGTGAAGGATGGCCTGGCAGCAGGATCAGGACTCCAGCACTCTTCCATCAACTTTTTCCATTCAGAATCACATCGTTTTGGAATAGGAGGCCTCAGCGTATTATTCACAATGCCTCCTTCATTAAATAATTTATAGTAAACAAAGTCATCATTAGCATTCAAAAAAAGCTTCCCAAGAGAGTGATAAGAATACAAAGCTTAGATGATGAAGCATTATGCTCATTGATAGTTTGGAATACACTATCACACCTAAGTAATATTTTAATAGAGAACAAGTGAATTGTGTATCAATGAAAGCTATTTTAATCAAGTTTCAGGGTCTTTGGCTAAATCGATATTTCCTAGGAAGTTTTAAGCATCAAATGTATCAGAAATTTTGCTGCTGTTTAATAGTAAATGTTTAACTCCACACCTGTTTGCCAGGTAAAAATGACTTCTTTTTTTTTTTTGTTGGGTGGGGGGTAAGTGTGACAACAAGCACTATGTTTATTAAGGCTAAGCTGCAAGACAGAAGAGACAATCTCTAGAGGATTCTGGTAACAAAATCTAAGATGAAAGGTGTAGTTTTAAGTTATGCCTGGGAAAACCTTACCTATGATAGCACCACAGTGCATGTTAGCATAGGGTTCTTCCCCGGTCAAGATTTCCCACATTGCAATGCCAAATGAGAAAATATCAACCTACAGGAGACAAGAACAGACAGGCATTCTCAATATTACACTGTTCAGGACAATGCTTGTTCTATCCACCAGATGAAGTAAAGAAAGTGATTAAGATAAAGTTCCTAACCTTCTCAGATACCCTACAACTGTTACCATCTAGTAATTCAGGTGCCATCCATGGAAGAGTTCCTCTGACACCACCAGAAACAAGTGTGTTGCGTTTAATTCTCGATAGGCCAAAATCTCCGACCTATAGATCAGACATCCACCAGGGAGGTCATTTCAATTACACATTACTAAACAGATATAATGAGAAAAGCTAATAATCCGTATGAAAATTAGATGACAACTGGGATAATTTTGTAGCAATAGTTGGGAAAACTTTCTTTAATGAGCAATATAAAACAATAAAATGATTCCAATGGTAGCAAATTTTTCTTTTCATTTATTGTGACAAGAAATGTTTAGGAGCATAACTTGTTTAAAACCTCAGATGTCAGACAAAAGTAAATAAATGTTACTGTTTCTGCTGCAAAATACCTTGCATACAGGTCGTTCAGGATCACCCAGATTGACAAGTAAATTATCACACTTCAAATCAAAATGAACAATATTTTTCAAATGCAAATATTCCATGCCAAAGGCTGCATCCATTGCAATCTGGAGCCTTTTACGACGGTCAAGCACTCTGCATGAAATATAATTTAGAGTCATAAATTCTAGATCTAGTTAACAGTTTGCAAGTTAGATATGCCTGGGTTAACTTACTTCTCCTTCTTCATGAGAACATTCCTCAGTGATCCATGCACCATGTATTCTGTTACTGTTGCTAATGTTCCACCTGGGCCATCTGGAACTACCCCGTAAAATGCCACGACATTTGGATGGTGAAGAGTTGACAGAATCTGTGCCTCTCTCCAAAAATCTTTAGTCTGAAGAAACAGATGCAGAAAGCATATAACTGAGGAGCATTACCAAACAAGAGGTTTTTATGTGAATTTACATTAATGGCATATGAGATTTTTCAAATCAATGTAATTTAATTCCTCGTTCACAATGGCAGCACCTTTCCATACATAACGTCATACATGTAATTGATCAATATAACTTTGACAGGTAAGTAACTAAATAAATAATACTAGAAATTCATCTAGCTAATAATTTATTGGGACTTACCAACCGCTCTTGCTCTGACAATCTACCGGAGAAACAACTACTTTTTATTCTCTTAATTGCAACATCTGTTCCTCTCCACTTTCCATGATAAACAGTTCCAAAAGTTCCAGATCCTAACTCTTGCAGTTCTTCAAGATCATCATTCTCAATAATCTGCATTGTTTCATATGAAGCATTAATTTAAACACAGGTATACATGGGGGGTCTTCTAATCCTACTAAATCAGCTTAAAGGAGGGTTCAGTAAAATTTAAAATAATAATAAGAAAACAAAGACAACTGGAGGAAAGATTGGATTACAGGAGGAATTAGGCTTACCTGGATTTTCTCATTTGCAAATACCTCAATAGTCTTCAAATAATTACCAGCAATATAATTTATAATTGTGTCATCCAATAATTGTATTTTGTAATATAAAATGTTCGTGTTAATGTAATTTGTTATAGCACAAACATATAATGATAGGGTGACAGTTTCTGGTTTCCAACATACAACACTCTCATTCCTGTGGAATGAACTTTTTAAGACAGGCTAATTTTTTTGGAAATACAGCCCCGCTCGCTTAAAGGGCCTTATCAGACAAATGGACAAAGCTCAATTCAAGCTAACCACCTCTTTTAAAAGGTCAGGACAGGCATTCCTTCAAGTCTAAGATAGCAATCAAATCATGACCTTGTCATTTCATGATAGAAAAGGTTGGGTTGCTTTCTTTAACCCTAAGAAAACACAGCTCACCAACAAAATTTTTAACCTAAATGAGGCTGGCCAGGCACAATTCAGGATGGGCTGGAGAGTAATGTTCACTCTAACCTGACCTTGCCGGATAATGGAAAACCTCTTTTAAGGAATTTTTTAAGGCCCAAAAAACACAATCCAGTCAAAATGTTAAACAGTTTGTCCAATTGAGTCAATTCGATTTTACAATACTAAATGAAAACAAACAGTTTGGCTAAAATAATAATGAATTGTTTCAGGCACTCTTCAATTTGGTTCAACCGTCCTTCTAACGACTGCCTTATTTTTCTGAGATTAGGGAAACATGGCCACCTCTAAAGGTTTTTGGAAGCTGAATGAACCAGTTTGATGGTTTTATTATCAGAATTCAGAGGTGAAACAAAACAATAGCTTTGAAAAATTATGTATCCAAATCAGAGTTCACTATTGGTATGACTTAAATATTTCTCTTTACAAGCAAACATCATATTTAGAAATTCAACTTTGACAACACAGTTCAGAGTGCACAACATTTATCATCATCTTCGTGTTAAAAAATTAGTGAGCAAACCATTTCATTACAAATAGAGGCAACAAGAAGAAATTTTTTATCAACCAAGTAATATTAAATGAAATTCAAACATTCATAAAATATTGAAAATAGAAATGATAATATTTATCTATAAACCAAACTGCAGTTCCCCACCTGTAAACCATAAATGCCAGACTCTGGTTCATCAGTTGCTGTATCACCAGTAAGCTTATTGAAGTTTCCACTATCAGCTTTTGCATCCTATCATTGCAGACAAGAACCACACATCAATTTTATAATCAGTTATCATGAACCATAAATAGCAATTTCATGTGCAGATTCTCACCTTACTTTCAGATTCTGTATCATCACATTCCATCCCTTCCTTTTCAGAAGATGTAGATTCAATTTCAGCCTCTTCATCTACATTTGAGACAACTTTTAAGCATGACTGGATACCTGAAGAAATATAATCAATTGCTCCCTTGACACCAGCTACTGATTCTGGCTTGTTGACACAAAATTCATCCATGTATCCAGAAGACTGTTTCTTAATGACTGTGTTATCTTCCTTTTGGTGCAGGTCACGTGCAGGATCTTCAACAGGGATAACAGCCTCTCTTAGGGAAGACGAACCCTGGTCTGTATACTGAATTGCAACATGCATATGCTGTGATTATTATATGCAAGCTTGCAGTTGATTTGATAAATTCAAAAGATATATACTTACTGTGCATATGAGCTCTATGTCAGTTTGGGACCCAATAGGTTGTAACTCAAAAGAGCCAGGGGGCAGCAGTTGATTGTCTTCTGTCTCCGACATACCATATTGATATTGCATTGATGAATTTTGGCTCCTCATGGAAAACTCAGAAGCAGTGGGGTCGAATGGTAAACCATGTGACTGCCCCCTCAGGTTTCTTGAGGATTCTAAAGAGAGAATCAGTGCGGTAGAAACATTGTATTTGCTACTTTGTAAATCTGGTGAAGATAAGCCAACACCACGTGGGGAGTAGATGTACTGTAAATGTTTCAAATCTATGACACTTTCTTGTGACATAGGTCCAACATTTTCGCCAAATAAATCATTGCTTTTATCTGCACATTGCAAGCTCGCTTTACTAATATCTGACACACTCTTGAAACTATCAGTTATTCCAAAAATGGGCAAATTTTGATACTTAGCCAAGTTTTGTTTTTTATCATTTATCTCTCCAGGATGTATTGAACTTTCTTCTAAAGAACTTGAATTTTTTGGCGAGGGTAATTTGTCTCTCTCAACACTAAGGGGCAATTGCAACTGAACTTTATAGTTCTCATCATTCTCCTGAAGTGTTGAGTCAGAACATGCATGCAAGATTCTGTACTGAGATTCCTCTATATTATCAGACCCTGAGAATAAACTGGATGACTCGTGAGGATGAGAGACGATCTTGTTAAAAAGATGTGAACCTTCATTGGTACATAAAGGTCTCTCAAAAATCATATCAGTTAGACTATATGATGCAGAAGGGATAAACTCTTTACTGTTATTCCGTCTGTGAAGATGAAAATTATCACTAGGCTTCCTGACCTGGTCAGACTCCACTATATATTGATTTTTAGGATGGGAATTCATGTGAGGCCCTTGAGCAGGATTGTTATAGTATGCAACTGGATCAACATAATTGGTATTGTCTACATACAAAGAGTTGTCACGTGGAATGTTTTCTGTAACAAAGGGAATACTGCTTTCATTGACAACATTATATGGTTTATCCATAACTAGCTGCGCATTAGAAATTTTAGGATCTTTAGGCTGTACACAAATGGGAGATAAAGGTGGCGTTTGGTTAAATGACTTGCCTGCTACATTCAGTGCTGTTAAAAATTGAGGACTGGGTTTTGAGAGTAGGCCTGTGAAATTTGAAGTGATTGAGATGCAATCCTTCATCTCTGAAGCAAAAGCAGACATGGATGAGTCCCTGCGGTGATGTGGACTGTTGTAATCAGATGTATTTCCAAACTGGCTTGTAAGGCTAGCCAAACTCAGCCCACTGGAGTTCTTTTGCGAACTTGTATCCAACATACCATTAACAGCAACAACATAATGATAATCTGCATCACTTGGATGATTGACTCTTGCTTCACTGGAACTTGGACTCTCAGGTTCGTTTGAAGGTATGAGAAAAATCCTCAGTCTTTGAGAGCCTCCAGCTCTTTCAAGCTCTTCATACTCCTCAATCATATGATGAAGATCCTCATCAGAACAAACAGATATAAGAGCATCAAGATCCTCTCCAGGAAGCTGATATTTGATCATGTGAGTTTGACTGCAAATAGCAGAAGTCTTCCTCATAAGTTCCTCCCAGGTGATGTTCTTCCTGATTGATATAATCCGTGTTTCTCCACCCACATATCTGAGCTTCCCATCATTTGGCCTTGGCAGTATTCTACCTCCAAAACTACACAGAAACTTTATCTTCTTATAGAAAGAGCCTTCAGAGAATAATGATCCATGGGGATGGCATGAAAGAGGAGACTCCATGACATAGATAGATGGAGCATTTGGTCCTGAATTAACTTGATCATAACAATTTCCCTCATAAAACTTACCTGAGGGTTGTTTGGAAAAAGTACTTGATACTTGTCTGATACCGCCACGTTCACATTGGTACGTGTTCAAATTATTAGGATAAGCCCTGTTGTCCACTTCAGTAGCATACCCTCTAGTTAAAGCAATATCTGACAGTTCAGAATTGCTATCAGAATCTGTTCTTCTTAGCCCAAGAACGTGCTTTAGATCCTCATAAACAAGCTGATAATTATTATTGTTGTTGTTGATATTAAAATCCAATCTGTTTGGCAGGTGTTGGTCTGCATCTGTTATGACAGGAAATCTCCTTAAAGCAACCCGGTCACGTAAGAAATCAGCTGAAAATTCTTCACCAGTCTGTGCACATATGTTGTCTACATCGTTATCAGAAGAGATTCTGTCACTTAAACCAGCACTCACCGTATTTTTATATTGCTCGCCTGAATTACATGGATCCTCATTACTCATGGTGGAAGATCATATAGTTAGCTCAACATAACCACTTTCAGCACTAGAGATTGAATTCCAATGTCTATCCACATTTAACCAGTGCTTATCCTTCTCCTAATGTAAATTACCCATTCAAGTCACAAATTCGAACAGATAAATCCTCTATCCTGTCGTTTCAACCAATTCTCAAGATAACAATTTATCTAGCTCAATGAATTGCCAAACCTAAAAATTGTGTACAGTTTCTCGTATGTCATCAACCCGTGTCTTAATTGACATATTCTGAAGGTGACATAACCACCAAATCCCTCTAGAAACCATAAAGTCAGCAGATAAACTTGTATAATTATGTTTGCCCACCATAAAAAACATGGAGAACCAACAAATTTCCAGGGAATTCTACATAACCACCCCATTAACAATCATAAGAGGAACAGGAATGCTCGCCACCGTGATTGATATCACCATGATCACATGCTACTTCCTGTATATCTCCTGAAAAGGAACCTGCACCCCAGTTCCGTAAAGGAACTTAAGAATTTCAACTCTGCATTAATCGACGCATGAACAACCAAAAACAAATTGAACAGAGAGGAATAAAAGGAAACCCATTTTCAGATACAATGACTTATTTCAAATTAAACCACAAGAAGCAAGGTGTTACAGCATTGTGATTTTTTTAAAAAAAGAGTCTTTGGTATTAAACTAAACATAAAAGCAATGGTTTTTTTTTTAATTTTCAAACGGATACCTATTTGTTTGTCCATAAACTGAAATTTGAGCTCTGGATATTGTTGTATTGGGAATGCAAGGTTTTGGGGTAGGGTTGGACGAACCCAAAAGAGAAAAATGGGAGTTGAAGTTTGGTTTTTGTTGAGGAGAGAGAGGTATTTTGTTGGTGACGCGATCGTCGAGAGAGAAAGAGAAAGAAGAAAACGTTCCATGAGGCTCGGAGTTTCCGACGAATATGTCGGACACACTGTTTGCTTAAAATAGCGCACGAGAAAGGATTGGGGACAGTGGGTAAAAACGAAGGGCTACTCACTCCTCCGTCTCAAAACATTCTTAATTCTTTTTGAAATTTTTATAACGTTCAGATGAAATTTAAATTTGAAATGGATGATACCAATAATAATGATAAAATTATTTAAAGTATTATACTTAAAATTTGTTTTTTTTTTTTTTTGAATTAATAAGGGTATGAATGACATTGAATTTGGATTTAATAGATATCCATAGGAAAGCTGTAATAGAAATATATTTGTTCATTAAAAAAGTTTTTAGTTTGTGTACAAATAATTTCCTATATTTTTAAGTACATATACCATTTTTTTTACTATATTATGATTAAAAGTGGATTTTTTAATTAAGTTAGAGAATAATATTTATAATTCTTCGTAATTATAATTACAAATTATATTATCTGTGAATTATTTTGATTAAGTTACTTTTTTTAATTGACGGATTTTCATTTGCGTTTTATTATTAATATTAGGATTGTTGTTTTATTAGCTTGCAAACGAATGGATATTAAAATATCGCATTCAAGTTTATTAAAATGCATATACTAACTAAATTTGAGTATCGGTATATCTTATAGTACAAACATTAAAATTATTATTTACGCAAGTATAAGTTGGATTACAAACACTTTTTTGAAAAGTAATGTGCGAATAGACATATGTTGTAATACCTTCTATTAATCAGTTCAAGTTAACTAGTTTTTAAAAACATTTTTAAATAATTTTATCACTATTAACAATAATGGATATTTAAAATACAATAAGTAGACATCCATGCATTTTAGATTATTTAACATTTCAAAATCTATTATTACTTTAACACACTGCATTCAAATATTTTTATTTAAATGATTGATTTAATAATCTTATAAGAATGTTTAGAGGAATTCTTTTATAAGTTTATTATAAAAATATCTTAAATAATAATATTCAATTTTTTTTTATTATCATTGTTAGATAAGAAGTTTAGGTGAATGGAATATAGTAAAATATAACGAATCAAATATATAAATATAATTTTAAAAAAATTATAACAACTATATATTTTAAATTTAAATGAGAGACTAAAATTATATTATCAATAAAATATTGAAAAATATTGCTAAACATTGATAAGTGAAAATAAAAAAATTAATTTAAATATGCAATTGTTATTTTTGTTTTAGTATTTTTAACTTTTTGTTTATACAAATTCATAAATTTTTAATTTTGGTTTTTCAGTTATTATAGTCAATTAAACAATTATTGTATAGTATTATTATGGAATCACATTAATAAGATAGACTAAAATGAAAAAATTTGACAGAATTTAAACAGAAATTTCGTAAAAAATAAAAACAAAAAAATAATTTAAAAAAAGAAAAAGAGCGCGAGCGAGGATAGAATAATGGCTCAATTTAGTTTTGCACGGGCGCGAAAAGCAGGGAGCAAAAAGGTAACAAACGCACACTTAAATCGTCATACACAGAACATTCAAAGGGAACAGAGACCAGAGAAGAGAGAGTGGAAAATGGCGGAAGGTAGCTCCAGCACCGATATCCAGAAGATACTCGCAGCCATTAAATCATGCGAGGCAAGCTACTTCTTCTTCTCTTTGTTTCCACTTGTAAACTATCCTTTTATGTGGTCACAGATTTTAGGGTTTTATGTATAGATTGTGGAGGATCGCATTCAGTTCTTTACCGATCTAGGACGTATGGAGTTGAAGAACATGTCTGAGTCCGATTATGCTTCCGTCATGAACTGCCTCGTAGTATCCTTGTTTTATGTCGTCACAACTCCATTGCTTATATATTATTTCCAACTACTTTATTAGTGATGCATGTTAATTTGAAACTCGTGCAAAATGTGTTGTAGCTTTCTAATCAATTAATTACATGGTTACGAGTTAGATACAATACACATGCGCTTAATATTGAACATTCATATGATGTTTAACTATTGTATGTTAACGACAATGCAACTAGTGTTATGATACATTGCTTCAGTCTTTTGGTCTTCAAGCTTAACTGAAAAGAATAGACACACTTTCAGTAATTGTTGGTTTAATTTTCCTCTTATTCTATTGTGAAGTTGATTCTTTTGATGGTTTTCGTTCGTGCTTATGCTTGAAATTATAATATTGACGGCAATCAAGCAACGTGTAAACATTAGATTGATGCTTGTATAATTTTAAGGATAGGGAAGTGCTAATTTACTTGCCAAGTGTATGTTCGGAAGAGGTTTGGCGGGAAGACCGTAATTGTATTTTAAATTAAGAGTTTATAATGTTTAAAAAAGAAAATAAAAGATTAACACATTAAACTTATACTCATCTATCATTCTATTTTTTTTATTTAAAAATTTATGAAATTAGAGAATGTTGATTGGAAATAATAATTTTGCCCTTTGTTCCCTTCCCTCCAAAGCCTAATTCCCAAACATATCCGAAGGAAACTTTATTACCTTAGTTATTATCATACTCTTATGTTATTTCAGAGCCCTATTACTTGTTTGCAGTCGTGATTCCACCTTAACAGCAAGCTTGACTTTTTGGGAGAACTTCACATGCTTGGATGTTACCCAATGCATGCTAAATAGAAGCATTCTACAAGTGGCTTTAAGCTATATAGATTTTAACCTATCCAGTTGCCTACCACAAATTCTCACTGTTGGAGTCAAGGTATTGTTTTACCTTTCTGTTGTTTTTACTTTCTCTTTATCCTCATATATCCTTTAACAGTTTTTTATGTCTCCTAACTTTTCTGGGAAGATACATTTGTTCTTACAACATAATCTCATTACTAGGCTAGTATCTGGTGTGGCAAGCATCTAAAGATGAGTCTTCTTTCAACAGAAGAATCTCAGGAAGGTGAACATAGCTCTGTATTTTATCAGGTAGGAAGTTCTTTGCCATAGACTGAACTTTCAAATAACCTTGAAAAGGTTTTTTCACTTTACAAGAAAAGAGCTTCTTACTTGGGTATGACTTAGTTTGGATACACTTCTCAACAAACACATAGGACAAGAAACTAAAGAATTAAGAGAGTAAAATGAATCAAACATCTCCCATAAGTTGAAATTAATTTATGAATCTTAACTTATGGAAAATTAAATGATGTAACTTCTAAAATAGATGAGGTACATAAGTTGACTTTAACTTATGAAAGAAATTTGATTTATTTTACTTTCAAATTGATTCAAGTTTATTTTCCTACAAGTACTGAAGTGTATCTAGACTGTGCCATATATATATTTAATATTTTCCCTTTGATCATTCTGTATATTTTCCCTTGATTAGTAATTTGGAATATATCTTCTCTTCATTACTTGCAGTAAAAGTAAGTCTTGCCGGTAAGGTAATAGTATATTTTTAATTTCCCCTATGCCCAAGACCTGGGAAATTAGATATTCAAGAGATGCCCTTGACAGACAAATCTAATTGAGGTTGAGTTTCCTTTTATCTATGTGGGGAAAGAAGAGATAATATTTCTATCATGTTTTCCTGTTATTCTATCGTTTATGTATTTTTTTTCTGTCCATGCAATATTGCTTTGTGCTCAAAGAGAATTACTTATCTAAAGTAACATTGGAGAATGAATGTTCATAGAAAACAGTAAGAGGAAAAACTGAGTAGTCCTGCTGTTCAACTTACTGGTTGTCATTATTGATGAAATATTGAGAAGTGAGCCTAACATGTATTGACTAGCAACCCTGCTAATACACAACTTTAGACCTATTCCTTGCAAATACATAAAATAAAAACTTTAAGATATTTACTATAACTAATATCCTAGATGATGCGATGAAGAACTGCACATTATGTGACAGAGCCTAAAAAAGGAACAAAGGAACCTCTTAATGCACCATGAACCCACAGAAAATGGGAAAATAAATCGTTAGCAAAAGCCCAAAAGGATGGGAGAGTAAACCTATATGACTCAAGTTTTCTTGATAAAAGCTTGTACTGACTAGCTCTTTTTTTCCTGCTGGATAAATGCAATATTCAGCTAAAGACGTAGAACACTCTGGAGAACTGTTCACCTTTTCATTTTGCTGAACAGTCCATAGTGTTGACAACTTTTTTTTACATGGTATTGTTTATTTGATGGGGTATCGAGAATGTGGTTGCTCTTAAAACACACATTTCTATTTATTTCTAAAGCCCTTTGAGCAAATTGCTTGGTTTTCTGCCTTCTTGAAACATTCATTTGATAATTTTTAGTGACATCAATTTTTACTTAGTTATATTTATGTTGTGCAGCTTCTTATGGAGATCCTAAGATTTTCTGCATCAATTTTTTCAGCTTTGTTGAAATTCACTGATTTTGGTGACAAGGAATTGATGGGAATGGTTGAAAACTTCATCTTAGAAGCATTAACTCTGACTAAAGATTCTATATCAGGTGCTAAGGTAATATGTTTCTGTGTGTGTGTGTGTGTGTGTTATCGGTTCTAAATAAATGATTTAGGATTTAATTTTGATTTACTTAAGGTATTTTTTTCATTTAACCTTATCACTTATTTCACTGATTGTTGATCAAAATTGAACTCGATGATTTATCAGTCCTTTGATGTACCTCTGAAATTTTGATCCTTGTGAAATGCTCTAAATTTTGATGAAGTCCTTGAATGTTTAAATATATGATTTCTGTATTCTTATTCCAGTGATGCTCTACAGTAGTGAATGTTGGGTAGTGAAGTGCCAGCAAGAGCAAAAAATACTGTAGCAGAAATGAAATTTCTTCAATTCATAGTTTACTCGGCAAAAATTTGTATCTGTTTCTAAGCATGGTTCTTTTCTGATTCTAAGCAGCAAATTCAATCATTTGGATCAGAAATACTGAAGGTTGGACAAATGGTCATTGATGCTGTCATAAAATTATGCAAGGTGCGTTCTGAATCAGTAAACTGGGAGGCCTGTGATGAAAAATGGTTGAGGCTTGACAAGCCTACTACTGTGAACCATGCTATCAATATAACAAAATGTACAGTAGAAAAGCTGTCTCAGATTGGCGTCCTTGCTGCAAGTGATGGTGGCAATTCTGTCAACATCCTTAATGTTTCCTGGAAAGGTGTTGTTTCCTTGCTTCAAATTGGTGGTGGACATTTAACAGAATTGAATGCACCAAATATAGTATTAACTTTGCTTGGATTGATAACTGAGCCTCTGAAATGTGCTGCAGAGACTTGGTCTTCATCACTGAATGAACCTGTTTCTGTAACTGAAGCTAAGAGGATCTTTGTACCAGTGAAATTTTATCTTATTAATGCAATTAAAATATGCTCACTGTATACTCATCAGGCCTATACAGTGTACAAGGAAATTACACTCTGTGTTCTCAAGATCACTTCTTTTTTTATTTTTGTAAGCAATAAAAACTTTCTGAACTGTGCGTCTGTGGTTATCACTGAATTATTAGAGGAAACAACGTTGGATCTATTATTGTCATTGCTAAATTCTGATAAACTGAAACTGGAACAGAAGCTTGAGGTGCTGGAGTGGTTGTTCATTAATGAAGGGGATTCTCATTCTGGCCTTAATTGCCCTACCTTAATTGATTGTAACCTTGCATGGGTTGTTAAACTCTTCTGCAATAGTTGTGAAAGTATGACCAGAGCAAGAATGCTTATACTTGGTCGAGTTGTATTGTTTATAAACTTCCTCAGATATTCTCCTGGGCTCAATGAAGATTTGAAATCAGCGATAACTCAGAAGCTTCATTGGCTTTTGGATGTTTTAGTTGAGGATGATGTATATTCTCACATACTTGTTTTGCAACTTCCTTTATTGTATGGCTCTGGAAAAACAACTGAACTGATGTGGCAGCCAATGTTTACTACCTTCTTACAAGCATTCAAAACCTTCATGATTGTGATCTCTTCAAGTAATGCTTGGTGGGAGTTGGAGTCTTTCTTACTAGAGAATTTCTTTCATCCTCACTTTCTCTGCTGGGAGATTGTGATGGAATGCTGGTGCTTTATGCTGCAACATGCGGAAACACAAATGGTCAACAGCATCATTAGCAAACTATGTTCATTACTAAAGCTGCTGGCATCTTCGGATTCAGTTTTCCTTCCTTGTTCTTCCTTCAGAAAGTTGGCAAGGTCAATATGCTTTCTTCTAACCTATGGTGCACCATCAATAATAGATGAGGTGTACATGTCTCTTGTTGGTGATGGGCGATCACAGTTGTCATCAATTTTTTGTTTGGCTCTACTTGTAGAAGGTTTTCCACTAGATTTACTGACGGATGAGTTGAGGAACACTTCCATTCAAAGAATTGTGTCTGATTATTTTGAATTCATAGACAATTTTGATGAAGCATCATTAATGGCATGCTCCTCTGGTTTGTTTGGTGGTCCAGTTTTTATTCTTTCAGCTTCTTTGCAATCACTGTAAGTATTTTGAATCTGTTGTATTCCATTATTATAAGTCAAAAGAAAGTATAGTATAAGTTTCATAAAACAAACATAACAGGCATTCCTTTTATGCTATAAATATGTGTTGATATCTGTCATTGTTAATTGTCCAGTCTGCATACAGCAGGTGTAGACATGTATACAAAAGGATTTTGATTTGTTCTGAATAATTTAGTCTTTATATCAAGAATCCTAAATCTTGCAAGCAAAAGTCCGAATTGAGTTTGATCATAATTTACTGTGTCAGTTCAACCTTTCCATTTATACACTGAACCAGAATATTACATTGGTGCTGGCTTTAAGGTTAATGTTCCCATTTTCTGCAGCCAAGTTGGGCCATCTGATATTGATGCAAGGACCTTAAAGTTTTTGGTTTCAATTACTTCGAATTATAGGAGTTCCGTGGACAAAGTAATCAAGGACCATTGTCTTCGGCTTTTCAGTGAAACTCTAGGGATCATCTCACATTTGAAACATCTGTATGCATCAAATGATATTGAACAAGCCATCATAGAGATTGAAAATATCTTTATCTCTGAGCCTCCGGCCCTTTTGTACAAATGCAAACCACACTTGGCTCAATTCTTGGCAGGACTTGTACACATGGAAATTTCAGAGAGTGATGATGATGCAAAGAGCTGTGCTGTGTGGGAATTATATCGCTTGATCTTGAAGGAGCAGCACTGGGCACTCGTTCACTTGGCAATAACTGCATTTGGATATTTTGCTGCTCGTACTAGGTGCAATCAGCTATGGAGATTTGTTCCACAAGATGCAGCACTTTCATATGATATAGTTTCAAGATTGGAGACAAGTAAGGAAACATTTATGGCTGAGTTTAGAAAATTTCTTAATAAGGAAGTTGCTCTTCTTACAGTTGCACCAAGCCCTGAACAGCTTGAGCTGCTAGGAAGAGAAGGTTTTGTGTTGAAACAGATGGTCCAAAAGATTTCAGTAATTGCTGAAGAGGGAGAGAGATGTGAAAGCATGGAAATTGATGACAAGAACCAATCAAATAAAAAAAGGAAGCTTCCTGATGGAATTAGCAGAGGGGTAGAACTGCTGAAGAGCGGTTTAAAGATTATTGGGGACGGTCTTTCTCAGTGGCAGCTAAATCAATTTGATACCAGTGAATTGCATGTAAAATATTTCACTCAGTTTTCTCAACTTGAATCTGTAATTACTCACTTTGAGGAATTGGCTGGGAGCGGTGAGGTATGCTTGTGTTCTATTCAAAGTAATTCTCGAGGTTGATCATTCATTGAAGCCTGTTCTATTGTAGAGAAACAGATCATCTTCAGTAAAATTTAGTTCCTCCTTACTCCTTTTCTATCTTGTATTATAGTGATTAGCATTTATGTAGCATTCAAATACAAAATTTCGGTCAATGTCAAGAAAATGCAAGTACTTAAGCCTCATAGCAATGTCCTCGTTTTAAAATGAGGTAATTTCCCCTTTTCCTCCTTAATTTTCTTTTGCTTTGAAAACAACGTTAAATAAATCGTATAGTCATTGAGTTATTTGAGAGTTTTTAATAGATCGTTATATATAATCGGGTTTCCAAAAATTTATAGATCATTTTCCGTTGAAATTTTAGTTAGTATTTTGCCAAAATATAAAATTTTATTTGAAAAGTTTCAAATAGCTTCTGGAATATGTTGTTACTTCAATCATATAGTTGGTCCTTGAATTATTTGATATTTTTCTTATAGGTTCCTATATTTTAACATTGTTTTTTTGTGTTGTAGTAATTAGAATTCTACAGGATCTTCGTGGAATTCTGAAGTGAATGTGTTAACACCAGAATTCCTTTGCGTTTTAGGGTCAAAAGGTGCATTTTTTCTTATTTTTTATGTTAAAGTTGAAGTTGTTTGTCCATATTGCTCGTTCCCATGACTTTTGTTTATTGTATTGATAGGATGTTAAATACACGATCTTAGTCAAATTAATAAGACTGACTACCTTCGCACCTCTAGGATCCACAATAGAAGGAAAGTTCTCTCGAGTACACTGACAAGTGTGGCCATTCATTCAACTTGGACCTGATCCCTTTTAGTTTTGGCGCAAATACTGATGCTCCAGTTTATTTTTCTTTAAACAAATTGAGATTTGCTTAAATAAATCATGTAATAAAAATGTGAAAAACACACAAAATTAGCCAATCCACCAAATCTTGGTCCCACCAAACCATTCCATTCGACACTTTCTTTTCTTTTCTTTTCTATCATCCATTCAAATTTATGGATGGATCTCCCAACATGCTTGCATTTGGAGGGAGATTCGTCGCTCCGGATTTCCCTTTCCCCCAATTTGTTCCTTTTCCTTTTTCTTAATCCACGCTTACTCTCTTGATGAATATGGATATCTGCCCATTAGAGTCTTGAATTATGGGAAAAATTCTGTTTCAATTACCTTTTCCATTCCGCTATTTTGCAGTATTACTTTGATTTCTGCTTCGACAAATTGGTACTGTTTTGTAATTACTTGCCTCTCTTGAGCTGCTTTGAGAAAGCCTGATGGGTTCAAGATTCCCACCTCATAAGCTCAGCACTGGCTGGTACGTATCAGGCCAGCCTGAGCAGCCAAAGAAAAGCCTCTGACAATGAGCTTAATTGCCATGCCCTATAACGGGGTTGACATCAAGAAGTCACGTGAATTAGAGAAAATGTTTGATATTCCCATGGATGGTTCGGAATCTAGAAAGTTTGCTCCATTGAATAGTGCTCCGTCAAGGACTGGATCATTTGCAAGTGTTGCTTCACTCTGGACCTATCATGCAAATTTGGAATCGGCGAACCATGATAACACAGGATTTGCTTAAGCAAAAAGGAATTGAACTGGTATATTCACGTCAAAACTGAAGATTTGAATCCATTCAACTTTGCCATCATATTGGCCACTAAACCCTTACCTAACTTGAACAAATCTCTGTCCAAGTTCATCTTATATTTCTATAACCTTCACTTTAAAGATATCTTTCCACAACCACAAGAAATTTGATTACGGACCCCAAAGCCAAGTCCACATGTTAATAGTTTCCCCTCCGTAGAATCTCTTTTGATTACTTAAGCACTAATCCTCAACAACTCTGAGATGCTAACAAATTTTCTCTATGCCCTTCTGCTCTTCAACGTTGTTGTTAAGGAAGAGTGCCCCAACTGCAGAAATCTTTAGAAATTGACGCCAACCATATTATTGTATTCAAAATAAGCATGGACTCACATAAAGGTTTTCCATCATGAACAAGCACTGGGGTTCTCTTGTACACTGGATTGTATTGAAGAAGCTGAGGACACTAGTTGAAGCGATCTTCCTCTATGTTCTCATACGGTATACCCTTCTAACTTTAAAGTCCATGCCACCCTCAAAATGAAGGGACTTTACCAAAATCCGTGAAGCTTCATCTCTACCATCCTAGATTGTGTTACTTTTCTTAACCCAACGCTAGTCTCTCTTTATATTGAGTGATCCATGGAGTTTAATTACTTGTTCAAGAAGCTCAAATTTCATGAAATAAAACAAAGTGAAATAAAATTAAATGAAATGTCTATTGCTAACAAAGTCATTGTAGGACCTAACAACCGTTGACGTTTCCGTCGTCCTTCGTTTTATTCCTTGGAGAGTGAGAACGTGCCCTTTATTTTTCTCTCCTCACCAACAATTTTTCATTTTACTCGATGATCTTTTTTGTTGCTCTTAATTCATAACTATATAAAGAAAAATGAATAATCAATGTTAAAATTAGGCAAAATTTTGTTAAGATCACGTATCTGTTTTATAGATTCCATTGTCGAATTTGGAGATAAAGCATAAGGAAAATGACATTTTTGCATGTTTGATTATTTGGGGGAAAAAGTTAGAAAGTAATAGAATAGAAAAAAGAATGGTGAAACAGGAATATGCTCTCTGAATAACGAGGGAAAACCCCAAACCACAACACTGCAAAATATTATCAGCTGAGTATAATTTTTAGTAGAAATCATGTTGTGATAATGATTCTTTAATGTAAAAGAAAAGAAAAGGAAATGTCAAGGTATAAGCTTTATTTTTATTGAAAAAATTAACTTGGAAATAAAAAATAATAAAAATAAATAACTAAATTCTGCTAGAACATTGGTTAACATGGTGTAAGTGTTATGAATTAGTCAAATAAAATCCCGTTTTATTTGGGACTCCTTCACTTTAATCCGTTAGAGGTGTAGAGTAACTCTTTATTTATTGTATTTTCTGTTTTGCCTTGTAGCGTATGGGCTATTTAATAGCTTGATGCTTTCCATTCAAAGATACAAAATATTTTCCTTTCAAAATCTCTCTCTCTCTCACAATTACTTTACAGTTAAATTTATCATTTGGTATCAGAGCCTCGCAAGGGACTCTGTAGAAGTAGCAGTCTTCTCAAATTTAAGCAACGACAATGGGTACAAAGGGTACTTTTGTTCAACCAGCAGTGCCAAGATTTGATGGTCATTATAGTCATTGGGCGATGCTTATGGAGAATTTTCTTTGATCAAAGGAGTATTGGGTTGTGGTGGAAAATGGAGTTTCTGTAGCAGTAGAAGGTGTCACTCTGTCTGAGGCACTAAAGAAAACTTATGAAGAGCAGAAATTGAAGGATCTTAAAGCTAAGAACTATCTGTTTCAGGCTTTAGATCGTTCAATTTTGGAAACTATAATCAACAAAGATTCATCAAAGAGTATTTGGGACTCCATGAAGCAGAAATATGAAGGAACAACCCGAGTAAAGCGTGCTCATCTCCAAGCTTTGTGAAAGGAGTTTGAAACTTCTCACATGAAGGAAGGAGAATCAGTGAATGAGTACCTTGCTCATGTTCTTGTCATCAGTAACAAGATGAAAGCCAATGGTGACGATTTGAAAGAAGTTGTTGTGGTAGAAAAGATTTTAAGGTCCATGACAACAAAGTTCAATTATGTTGTGTGTTCCATTGAAGAATCCAAGGTTACAAGTATACTGTCGATTGATGAGCTACAAAACAGTTTGCTTGTGCATGAACAACGCATGAGTAATACTGTCCATGAAGAACATGCTCTGAAGGTGACTCAGAGCAGCCAATATGCTGGTCCTGCTGGACGAGGAAGAGGGCGTGGGAATTTTGGAGGTAGAGGTAGTGGAAGAAGCAGGCAAAATGTTGATAAGGCAACAGTGGAATGCTATAATTGTCACAAGCTTGGCACTTTTAGTGGGAATGTAAAAAAGGGGTGGCAAACTTTGCAGAAAGTCAGGCAGAGAGTGCCGAAGAACACATGTTGTTGATGGCTTATATTGAAGCAAAGGAGCAGCAAAAGACAGATGTATGGTTTTTTGACTCTGGGTGCAGTAATCACATGTTTAGCAAAAAGGAATATTTTTCTGAGCTTGATGAGAACTTCTTAGATTCAGTGAAGCTGGGAAATAATTCGAACATGGTGGTTAATGGGAAAGGCAACATCATACTTGATGTAAATGGAGTTATTAGCATTATCTCGGGAGTTTTTTATGTTCCGAAATTGAAGAACATTTTGTTGAGTCTGGGACAATTGCAAGAGAAGGGGCTGAGCATTTTATTTCGGCAAGGAAAATGCAAAATATATCATCTAGACAAAGGTTTGATTATGCAATCTAATATGTCATCGAATCGGATGTTTATCTTGCATGCCATCTCCTTGCCTGTAGCACTTACTTGTTTTAACACAGTTACGGAAGATATAGCGCAGCTGTGGCATTGCAGGTTTGGGCACTTAAGTTTTAAAGGCTTACAAACTCTGCAACAAAAAGGAATGGTGGAAGGTTTATCACTGCTTAAGCTGCCCTCTAAGCTGTGCAAAGATTGTCTAGTTGGGAAACAACATTGAGATTCATTTCCCATGAGAAGTTATTGGAGACCTTCCTAGATTCTTCAGCTTGTTCATGCCGACATTTGCGGACCAATTAAGCCAGCCTCAAATAGCAAGAAAAGGTATTTGTTTACTTTTATTGATGATTTCAGCCAAAAAACTTGGGTTTATTTTTTGGCAGAAAAATCAGAGGCTTTGGCTGTTTTCAAAAGCTTTAAGTTACATGTTGATAAAGCAACAAATATGTCACTCAAAGGGTTGCGCACAGATCGTGGTGGAGAGTTCACATCTAGAGAATTCAATAACTTCTGCCATGCGCATGGAGTGCAAAGACAATTGACAGCTGCACATTTACCGCAACAAAATGGTGTTGCAGAACGGCAGAATCGAACAATCATGAATTTGGTTTGTAACATGCTATCTGAAAAGAAAGTGCCTAAAACCTTCTGGCCAGAAGCAGTAAATTGGGCTATGCACGTGTTAAATTGCTGTCCAACGCTAGCGGTGAAGGACAAAACACCTGCAGAAGCTTGGAGCGAAATCAAGCCATCAGTCCAACATTTCAGAGTCTTTGGTTGTGTCTCTTATGCTCACGTACCTGATAATTTGAGATCTAAACTAGATGAGAAAAACTTGAGGTGTGTTTTACTCGGAATCAGTGACGAATCAAAGGCATACAGGCTTTACGATCCTATCTCACAAAGGATTATAGTAAGCAGAGATGTGGTTTTTGAAGAAAATGAAGCATGGGAATGGAACAAACATGAGTCAACTGCTATTTGCGAGCTAGAATGGGAAGATGATGACAAAGTTGTTTTAGAAGAATCTCCCGTAGAAGATGTTGCTGATGCACAACCGGAGGAGTCTCTCGCCACTAATCAAGAGACTTTTGAAGGTCTTGTGGAAGGGAGAAGTAGAAGGTAATTAGCTTGGTTAAGAGACTATGTGTCTAGTGAAGGGTTGTCTAATGAAGAGGCTATCTTTTATTCAGCATTTTTTGCCTTGTATATTACTGGTGCTGACCTGCTCAATTTTGAAGAAGCTGTGAAGATTGAAAAATGGAGAAATGCCATGGATACAGAGATTAAGGCGATTAAGAAAAATGGCACTTGGGAATTAATTGATCGGCCAAAGGGAGCTAAAATAGTTGGAGTAAAGTGGGTTTACAAGACTAAACTCAATGAAAAGGGAGAAGCTGACAAGTTTAAGCAAGGCTGGTAGTGAAAGGATATGCACAACAGTACGGTGTAGATTACATAAAAGTTTTTGCTCCGGTAGCTCATATGGAGACTGTGCGATTAGTAATTGCATTCGCAGCACAAAAACGGTGGGCTATACATCAACTAGATGTGAAGTCTACCTTTTTACATGGAGAATTAGCTGAAGATGTCTTTGTTGAGAAACCTCATGGTTATGTGCAGAAAGGGAAAGAAGAAAAAGTGTACAAATTAAAGAAAGCTCTTTATGGGCTTAAACAGGCTCCGTGTGCTTGGTACAGCCGCATTGAAGCATATTTTGTTAAGGAAGATTTCAAAAAATGTGAATATGAGCATACTCTTTTTGTTAAACAAAACAAAAGGGGCAGCATGCTCATTGTAAGCTTATATGTTGATGATATTCTGTTTACAGGAAATGATGAGTTGATGTTTACTGAGTTTAAGAACTCGATGATCTTGAGTTTGACATGACTGATCTTGGTAAAATGAAATATTTTTTGGGTCTTGAAATCTTGTAGACATCGGGAGGAATCTTTATCTGTCAAAAGAAATATGCTGAGGAGATGTTGCAACATTTTGGGATGAATCAGAGCAACTCAGTTCAAACTCCAATAGTTCCTGGTTTTAAGATTTGTAAAGATAAAGGAGGACAACAGGTGGATAAAACTTGCTTCATGCAAATGGTGGGTTGTCTTATGTATCTCACTTCGACTCGTCCAGATTTGATGTTTGCTGTAAGTCTTTTGAGCAGGTATATGAAGAATCCCACTCAGCTCCATTTACAACTAGCAAAGAGGATACTAAGGTACATACAAGGAACTACTGAGTTTGAAATTTTCTACAAGAAGGGAGGAAGTGATAAACTCATAGCATATACTGATAGTGACTATGCTGGGGATGTTGATGATAGAAAAAGTACAACTAGAAATGTCTTCCTTTTTGGATATGGAGATGTATCATGGTGTTCTAAGAAACAACCAATTGTAAGTTTGTCAACCACAGAGGCAGAATTCATTGCAGCGGCATCATGTTTCTGTCAAGCTATTTGGCTAAAGAGGTTGCTCATGACACTTGATCAAACTTAGCAAGAGTCTATAACTATTCAGTGCGATAGTAGTTCTGCTATCAAACTATCAAGAAACCCAGTAATGCATAGACGTAGCAAGCATATAGATGTTCGTTTTCACTTTATTCGAGAGCTTGTACAGGCAGGAGTGATAGAACTGATTCACTGTAACACTTTGGAACAGGTTGCTGATGTGATGGCAAAGCCTCTCAAACTGGATGTCTTTTTGAAGCTGCGTGCAATGCTTGGAGTTTGTATAGAGAACAATGTAAACTAACTTCTTTGTATTAAAGAATTTAGTTTAAGGGAGGAATTGTTAGGAATTAGTCAAATAAAATCCCGTTTTATTTGGGACTCTTTCACTTTAGTCAGTTAGAGGTCTAGCAGTAACTCCTTATTTATCGTATTTTCTGTTTTGCCTTACGGTGTATGCGCTATTTAATAGCCTGATGCTTTCCATTCAAAAATATATAATATTTTTCTTTCAAAATCTCTCTCTCACACACAATCACTTTACAGTTAAATTTACCAGTAAGCACAAGTATTGTCATGTAATATAGCATAATTTTTTAACATAATATTATTTTTAATTTATATACATTATGTAGTGTGTAAAATTATGGACATATTTAAAAGAGTAGAAAAATAATTGATGTTTTCTATCATTTTTAAAACTTACTTTAATATTTTTTATAAAACTTATGGCAATAATTTTTTAATTTATTTTTTAAAAAATATTATTAAATTTATATTACAAATATTTGCATAATAAAAAAATTATTAACTTGCAGAAAAATATTAAATAAATATTTAAAAAAATCTATATAACTAATGCACCCTAAAAGTATAAAATCTTGTCCGTCTTCATTTAGTTTAACAACACTGAAGGATTATAATTTTAGCATTGAAACTTTGAAAGTTTAATTTTTTTAATTTATATTTAAAGACACATAAATAATAATAATAATAATAATAATAATAATAATAATAATAATAATAATAATTTTTAAAATATCATAATATTTAATGTTATCGAGATATTAGATTATGTAATATGACGTGATATTTAATTTAAAAAATTAATTATACCAAGTCACGCAAATTTATAGTTTATGCAGAGGTTTATAACTTTTTTTATTTAAATAAATTACTAGATTTATTTGATAAAAGAAATATAGTTCTTAAAATTTAGTTTATAAAAAATTATATCAAGTAGCCTTTTTTTTTTGTTAGTCAAGTAGCTTACTTCAAGTAGGTTTTTTTGTCAAGTATATTTAACTTGTTAGAAGCTAGTTTTTAATAATTCATTTATTTATCTTGAACTTTGAAATTGTTTAAATTCAGAATAATTTTTAAAACCTTTTTAGTTATTTGACATATTTCTATTAATTGTGCAATTAATTTTATTGAACTTCAATTTAATCACTTAATTAAAATATAAATTTTGAATTAACTTATCAACTATATATAAGATATAAGTTTTAAAATTTTATTAAACAGAACCTAATTATATATAAATTTTTATTTTATGTCATTAAATATACTATAGAAAATCGTTTAAAAATTTATTAGATGATGTTATGCTTGCATCACTAACTAGTAAAGTAGTTTTTTCGTTAGATTTTTCTTTTCCCGTTTTCATGAAAAGATAAAAAGTATTTATGAGAGTGAGAGATATTGGGCTTATTTACCAGAAAATTAAAAAAAATAATAAAAAAATACTAAATTTAAATTATTTTATGCTAAATATCGTAATCTACAAAAATTATATAATCTCTATGAAGTGGTGGGTTCCATTCTTCCAACTTTCCAATGCAATTATGCGATTCTCTAATCTCTATGAACTGGCCATTGGATTGGAGAATTGGAGTCAGATTCGCATGGCTACAATCGCAGTTAATGGTTTGGTTCCATCGAAATTTCATGTACTGTATAGTCAATTAGTTAAATTAATTTTAAACTGATTGGTAAAATCATTTTAATTTTAATTCGTTAACTAGTAATCTTAAATGCAAGACCCAAAAAGAAAAGAAAAAAACAATTGCAAAGCTAACTTACTATTTGATATTGGAGATTCCAGAGCATAAATTTAAAGGAATCTTCATTTAATATAAAAGTAAATACTATTAGCTTAAACTTTTACTTCCACAGTTACAATAAGTAAACCAAAACAAAGATAGGTAACATAAGGAAATATGTAAATTAAGATGACTCAGAAAGATACAAATGCTTTATTTATATATCACCTTATAAATACTACTGTTTTGTTTAGGAAGATGCTAACATTTTTTCTCTAAGAGGCTTAAGAAAAGTAACCAGTTTCTCCTGATCAGGTAGGTTTTCTGCAATTAGTGGGACATTCTTAAAATTATAAAACCATGAATGCAAGCGAGGGAATTTTTGAGCTTCTAAGACTTCCACTTCAAACATTGCTTCCAAAGCCAAAATAAATTTGACTGCAGATCCAAAAGCTATGTCCACAACGTTAATAGTGTTCCCCCCAAGATATTTTTCTTGATGATCTAAGCACTGATCCTCAACCACTCTGAAATACTGCCATATCTTCTCTATGACCTTCTTTCGCTCTTCACCATTGTTGCTACGGAAGAATGGCGCAAGTGTAGAAGAAACCTTTAAAGATTGAACCCAATAAAATTGTTACTTCAATTAATTAATACATAGAAAGTGATTAGGGAAAAACACACGAGTGAATTAGTTAAATTCAGAGCAGGTTCAATTAGGATTTGAACTTCAAATTTTGAACACAAATTGAATTAAATTTGTATAGCCTAACCCACTAATACTTGTTGTCCACCTTGTTTTACTAATTCTAACTAAATTATTTTAAGGTAAATTGAAAACAAACTGTAATCAAGCTAATAAAGGCTAGAAAAATGCACAGGATTAAGTATTAAAAAACATTGTACCATGTCTTCAGCATATCTGACCCAAAAACGTGCCAAAGCTCTCTCATAAGGATCAACAGGAAGCAATGGATTGTGTGGCCATATCTCATCAATGTATTCAACAATGATCATGGATTCACAAATGGGTTTTCCACCATGAACGAGCACAGGAGTCTTCTTGTGAACTGGGTTGTGTTGAAGAAGTTGAGGACTCTTGTTGAAACGGTCTTCCTCTATGTTCTCATATGATATGCCCTTCAACTTTAGGGCCCATACCACCCTCATAGTAAAGGGACTATACCAAAATCCATGTAACTTAACCTCTGCCATCCTAATTTGTGTTTTCCTAAGCCAACAATACAATACCCTGTTTATATAATTGGGTTTTCAACAACCTCAAATCTCAGAAATTAAATAATATATTAACAAATTAATTGTCAAACTGAATAAACATTGTACTTCGACAGAATACATAGTATAGGTACGAAGTTTCCTTCATCCTTATTTGCTTTTTGTGGGCCATGTCCTTTGACAACGAGTTCTTGTTTTGGTTGGCACAACACTTTTGCTTGAATTGAATAATCTCTTACAGAAATTTTGGTGTTTGATAATCGAAAAGGGGTATGGAATATAATAAGCATCTTATGGTAAATCGGGGTCGTAAGTGCTTGCATCACAAACTGGTAGCTAATAATTAAGAAATAATTTATAAAAAAGCTATTATAAACACACTTTTGCTATTTTAATACATTTTTATTATAAGTTTTGTTAACTTCAGCCAGTTTAAATATTCACAGATAAATTTTTTTTATAAAAAATATATAGTTATTATATTAAAATTATAAAATAATATAAATATTTTTTTTAATAAAATTTTACTATACCTCAACTTTAAGAGTTGAAGTAAATAAAACTCTTTTATTATATTTTTAATAAAAGATTCATTAACTTTTTAACTAATAAATAAATACTTCATTTGTCAATGCGATTATCGAATATTTCCATTTTCCCTAAAGATGAAAGTTTTAGGAAGCTGCTACTGGAGTGAATGTCTTATGAAGACTTAACAGGCAAGCAAATTCAAAGATGATCACTGCATGTTCTGAACATGGACGTTCAAATATTCATATCATTTAACTATTTTATTTTCTCAATTCACTAAATTCAATAAAATATTAATTAAAAATGATTTTTAATTTGTCATAAAAAATATAGTTTCAAAGAAACTCGCTCATTAAATTGAAAATTAATTTGAAACTAAAAAGCCAACCACGAATTTTACAATGCAAAAATTTAATTGTGCTAAAAGGAATTATTAATCATACCTAATAAAAAAGTAATTATAAATGTTGATTCATTTTAATTTAATCTAATTTTATTAAAAGTAATTTAAATTAGATAGAATGATTTCATTTTTATAATATAATTTGTTATTATACAGAATTAATCATTCAACACTGTAATCGTATATATTATACTATGTAAATTTTATTACCCACCTCATACAAATCGTACAAACTTGAGACACACTTTTATACTAATATGATTATAATGTTAAATGTATCTATCGTAAAATTCATCGTAACAAATGATACTTATATTTAAAAATATTCATTTAATCTAAATATATTATCCTATTATCCCATACTTTTACTTTAATTAAATTTCTACTAACTTAAATATTAAAATACAAGTAAAAAAAATAATGAACTCACAAATTAATTTATCGTGATATAAAAGTTACTTCAAACAAATAAATATTTTCTTATGCTTGTTAGTAAATTGTTTTAAAAATTGCCTTAAAATAGATAAATAGTCAAATCATAGAAAACTTAAATTTATCTTATAAATTATTTTTTTATATTTTTTTTGTCGTACTCCAAACACATCCTAGTAAAAGTAACTTAAGATTATAAAACTAAGACTTAAATATATTATTGATCCTATAAATATAGGTTATTTTGTGATTAGTCCTTAAAAATAATTTTGTTAGAAAGTAGTCATTCTAAAGTTAGTAATTTAAAAATTAGTTCCTGCCATTAACTATTTTTGTTAAGTGTTGAGCTGGAAAATAAAGAGTCAGCTCAGCACTTTATGTGGCGTCACAAACTGATAGATAATAATTAAGAAATAATTTATAAAAAAGCTATTATAAACACACTTTTGCTATTTTAATACATTTTTATTATATTTTTTATAAAAGATTTATTAGCTTTTTAACTAATAAATAAACACTTCGTTTGTCAATATGATTATTATTTCCATTTTCCCTCAAAGATGAAAGTTTTAGGATGCTGCCACGGAGTGAATGTCTTATGAAAACCCTTGACCAACAGGCAAGCAAATTCAAAGATGACCACTGCATATTCTGAACATGGACATTCAAATATTCACATCATTTAACTATTTTATTTTCTCAATTCACTAATATTCTTTCACTAAATTTAATAAAATATTAATTAAAAATGGTTTTTAATTTTTCATAAAAAAATATGATTTCAAAGAAACTCACTCATTGAATTAAAAATTAATTTGAAACTAAAATGCAAACCACAAAGTTCACAATGCAAAAATTTAATTGTGCTAAAAGGAATTATTAATCATACCTAATAAAAAAGTAATTCTAAATGTTGATTTATTTTAATTTAATCAAATTTTATTAAAAGTAGTTTAAATTATATTGAATGATTCCATTTTTATAATATAATTTGTCATTGATTCAAAATTAATCATTCATATGTTGTCACTGAAAACTCTTTTGAATTCATCACCAATATTGTCAAAATGTTAGAAACACTATATACTAAAACGGTTATAATGTTAGATGCACTTAATAACAAATTTACCTTAATTAATGATACTTATACATAAGAAATTAATTATTTAAACTTTGAGAATCTAAAGGCAGAAAAAAAGAAAGTGACAAAAAGAAAGAAAAAAGAAGGGGCAAATTTTTCTCTTATTTAAATGTTTAATATTGAAAGAAGGGTAATCAAGGATTTAACATGTAAATTAAATTATTACATTTTTATATTTTTTATTTGTATATTTTTTTTTTAAATACAAAAATTAAGTAACTTTTTAAAAATTAATATTTTAAAGTATCTATTTCTTATTTTTTATAATTTTTAAAAAAAATCTCACTCTAAAAATTAACAATTTTTTAAAAAATATTTTTATTTTATTTTTTTAATATTTTAACTCTAAACTATGCTAAATATTTAATCTAATAAATAAAAATATAAATGATAAAATCGATTCATTAAAACCTCCTAATATAATAGAATTTTTTTAAAAAAAAGTAGGACAGGTTCTGGAAGGTTTAAAAAAACTTTCCGTTCTCTAATTATTTAACTTCCAAATAAAAATTAATGATCACTAACCCTTCCTTCCCTTCTTTGACATGAAATCTAAACACAATCTAACGTTTTAATAAATTCCTAATCTATACAATGACAAATCTGCCCGCATCTACGCTGCATGTCGACTGTTCTATGGCATGTGCCCATCTTGCTGTTAAATTATTATTTTCTCATCCATTGACATTTTGGTCATTTGCATAAATTACGACCAATATTTAATGAGTGATTTTTCACTCATTTCACAGAAACAAAAGGTCTGTCTGCCAGTAATAATCATTTCACAGATTGTTCACTGGAACTGTAATGTTACAGCCAGCTAAGCTATAAATTGATACCTAATTCTGTTTATGTTACAATCGACAACACAGCGATCTTTGTGAATTATCATCACAACTGACCAGATCATGAACGCTGACCTAAAACCATTACAGGTACAGCACATCGTGTTTCATCATATCATTATCATACTACTACAAAATTGGGCAAACTTAAGCCTTGTTTTCTATTGAGAATATGGAAGGCAAAAGAAGACTCACAAACTTGCATATGCCGATTAGCAATAGCACCACTTGTCCAGACTGCCGATTGACCACAAATATCCGACAATTCACTCTTCAGAACTTGTTTATTACTGAAGTGTAGTCTGCAGCAGCAGTGATAGAAGGTAACCATTTTAATAAACAAGGTTTTACTTCTTGCGTTGTTTATGTTTAACTTTCAAAATTCTTCGACCAGCTTTGTCACCACCACCTGTACCCAGTGAGAAACTCCCTCCAGCATTAAATTCTAGACTGCTAGAAGCCTGAAAAGAAGAAGGGTTTTGCAGCGCAATATTCTGTTGACTAACAAACTGGTAAGGACTGGCTCCTGATGGGGTTGATGGTCCAAATATAAAATTTGATTGAACTGGAACAGGTTGCTGACCAAATATAGAAGTCACCGGTGGGGTCGCTTGAACTGTATCCTCAGCCATACTGTCCTCCATACTTATCTGATAATTATTAGCATGAGCTGAAGTAAATGTGAAGACAGGATTTGGACTTTCAAAAGGAGGCTGAGTGGAGGTAGAGGCTGCTGCTGAAGTAAAAGAGAATTGAGGAGTTGATGCACTGGAGGTTGATGAAAATAGCGTGGCTGAACTGGCTGAAGCAACAGAAGAAGTGGATGTTCCAAAGGAAAACCCAGATGAAGATGATGAACTAAATGTGGAATCAAATGGAGACTTGCTGGGCTGCCAACTAGACCCAAATAAAGTAGAGCTTGTACCGCTATTGGAGCTAACAGAATTGGCAGCTGAAGAGGAAGCAGAGGTGCTGAATCCCAAAGTACCAGAATTGGTACCGTTTGTGGTAGAACTTGAAGAAGGAAACAAAGAACTCCCAGAAGAAAAAGCTGTATTAGTAGCAGGGCTTGAAGAAGGAAATAAAGAACTCCCCAAAGAAAAAGCTGTGTTCCCAGTCAACCCAAATGATGAAGATGATGCAGATGAACCAAATGGAACCGACTGGGTCTGACTAGAAGTTGCAAACCCACTGATAAAAGATGTCTGAGCACCAAGCACAGAACCACCGCTAGAACCAATGATAGAACACTGAGACTGGCTATTTACAGTTGTTGCTGAAGAGCTTAAACCAAAAATGACACTCCCTGCAGATGAGCTACCAAAGGCAGTGCTGCTAAGACTACCAACATGGGCATCCTGCCTGCTTTTAGTTTCCACCGTTGCTGATCCAGAAGAAGATAAAGGTAAACTTGTTGATGCAACAAGAGAGGATCCAAATTTGAAAAAGGAAGTTGTTGAAGATGAAGATGCCACCACTGGGGTCGAGGAACTGCTATTACTTGATCCAATTGTAGCGGGAGCAATAGTTGCCATATTAGTGCCAGTAGAATCTGCAGCAGCACTGCTTGTGGCAGCAGATGAATTGCTGAATATATTCTGACCGGTAAAGTCATTTGATGCAAGAGATGGAGAGGAAGAACATGATGGGCATGAAACCAGCCCACAATTTTGATTTGAACTTTGGCTAAAAGTGAATATACTCTTGGGTGATGTCAATAATGATGATGGTGATGCAGATGAACAAGCTAGTTCTGATGCCCTAAGAGAAGATCCAGTATCTATTTTAGTATCAATATCACCATTATCAGATTGACAAACCTTTGGCATAGATTCAGTTGCACCAGCAACAATAGTTGAGCTGCACATGAAGATACGCTTAGTACATGAATCAATGTAACACTTCACTGAAGATAATAAGATGTCAAATTTTCGGTTCAATTTAAATTGTACAATGCATACAAAAAGGAGCAAAGATGTAATTAAAAATAAGTTGCACCAGCAACAGTAATTGAGCTGCACATGAAGATACATTTAGTACATGAATCAATGAAACACTTCATGAACATAAAATGATGTCAAATTTTCTGTTCAATTTTAATTGTACAATGCATACAAAAAGGAGAAAAGATGTAATTAAGATGCATAATAAAAATCAGACAGTCAAATTGCAAAAGGCAAGGAACAAAAATAATTGTTTGACTATCAAGCATTTACACTACTCAAAGTACAGCACATATAAAGGATGGTAAATTTGATGAACTACGGCACAGTAAAATGACTCCAAGTGCAAATCAAGTTAAAAGTATACGTAGTGAAACAGGTGGAATGGTAGAAATATTAATAATTGTAGGAAAGATGTACATCCAATGAGACTTCTATCACCAACCCAAAAATCAAAAGTAACAAACAAAATTTCCTAAGCTGAATTATTTCAAGAAAAACCAAAGAATTCTAGTATATTTCCCAGAATATTTCTCATCAAAGAGTCATCTCCACAGTCAAACCAAAAGGTGTTACCACTTTTCAAAGGTCATGCAATAGAAATATTAAAGTAAAAAATAGAAAACAGATTTGTTGGAAGAGGCAAGCCACTTAAATGATCTTTAAGCCTCAAGGAAATAATTTCTGGCTGTAGGCTAGGAGACATCCTCAGTACACTAAAAAAAAAAAAAAAGAAAGGCCAGAACAGACCCAAACCTCAACAACCTAGATGTGTAAGGAATTGTGTTAGAAATATTTTCAAAAGCTCAATAAATTATATACACTAACCTGATTGAGCTTCCCAGCTTTGACTCAGAAGACGCACTAGATTTCAGAAAAGTGGATTCACCATGAACTGATGATAAAGCAGTAAATGGCATTGGTGAAACCTTGTCAACATTTTTATCGGAGCCAAAGTTCACAAATGGAGCATCAGCAACATGCTTCTTTGATGAAACATCTTTTTCCAAACCAAACACTGGACCTGATTTGGTTATCTCCTCTGATGGAGCACCAATAGCCATTAACTCTGCCGGTGAAACCACTTTATTCCCAAAATTAAACAGGGGAGGATTAGCAATTGATCCATTTGATGAAGCAGGCTTGTCCAAACCAAAACTAGCTTGTGTAGCTGCTGTAACTGAAGCCATAACTGGCTTAGAAGTTGGGTCAGGGAAAGACAATGTCAAAGAGGTAGACACATCAACCTTCTCACCAACCCTAAACACATCAGTAGTCCCAAAATGAGCTTTACCATCTATGGCACTTTGGGTTGCCCTTGCTACAGGTAGTGATGAGGGATTCTCCTGTGCAATTGCTTTAGTACCAGAGGCAGTTTTCTCTATCACAGTAATGGAGTTTGTCATTTCTTTCTCAACAGGAGCAAAAGAACATGCATTTCCATTAGGATGAGCATCATCATCCAGATCCACACAATCCTTTTATAAAAGGACAGAAACAAAAGAATGGTAAACAATCACATCGTGAGGTTGAATCATATGTTTCCTTTGAAAACTCAATTCTAATTTATTCTGTTTGGAACCAAATTCACTACAAGTAAAAACTACTCAAATAAAGACCTAAGAAACAAAAATATATCATGCCAATTGCTTTATTTATCATTATTTGGGAGTAAATGGAAGGAAGCAACCTATTGCTGTAAGCAACAAGCCTACAAGATTAGTAATACTAGTTATTCCCACTATGCTCATGTAAAACAACCCACAAAAACATTGAAATAAAAACAATTTAAATCATGACAACCACTGAAAGCAGTCAAATAGATATTTGTTAAAAAAATCTCATACCTCATGTGCACTCATATGGAATACCCTCTTCTTTTGTGGAGGGTCAGAAACAGATTTTATCATAGAAGAATCCACACATTTTGCACTAGACAAGACTCGATTCCTTGGGTTTGTGGCATCTGTAGTTGCTACAACTGGAAGAAATCCATCGCAAGGAGCAACAAGCTTCAATGAACCATTTTCAACCTTATCGCTCTGAGAATTTAACTTCTGATTGTGAGCACTAGCTGACAAATTTCCAAATGGGCTATCTAACTTGTTACCTTGTATATTGTCCAGCAATTTTGATGAATCTACCATTTCCATGCTTCGAAGGGCCTGTCCACGTAACATGGAAGGTGACAACTTTGTTGGTGAATTATCATTCCCAAGTGGTGGTAGCCTTAATTCTGATGCTTTTTCTTTTGGAGAAACCAATTTATCTAGTTGATGCAGTATTTTTGAAGCCATTTCACTGGATTTTGAGGGTAAAGGGGTGAAGTTTGAACTAGGTATAGTGTCATCCACATTTTCTTCTGAATATTTCATATGGCTATGTTCAACATCATCCGGTATAACAGGCTTCTGAATGGAAGATGAGGGTTGCTGAGTAGTATCAATACTCATTCTGCTCCTAGGAATGGATAGAGAACTGCTAGAAAGAGGTAAGCTTGACTCTTTAGAATATAGAAGATTGGACTTCTGACGAATTCGACGTATAGGACCAACAGATGCAGTATCATTATCCAACACTGAACTTCTACGCTTTACTGCCTGCAAATATGAGAAGAAAAGCACAACAAAATATCTCGTAACATATCTAAAATATACCCAGAAAGACAGGACTTATAACTCACAAGTACTTATACCCCTTGTTTAGATCCAGAAAGCATGTCATGATGCAATGCAGACTGACTTGAAGAAAACGGCTCACCTTCCACAGCAAGCCCATCACCCTGTAAAACAGAATCTAGTTCAAAAATTTGATCCTAAAACGATTATGATCCAAAACATGATTCAGGAGAAAGCAAACCTTGACAGTAGATGTTGGATAAATTCTGGCGTATGGTGTTCGAGCCATATTATATATTGCAGTTCTGCCATGAGACCTTCGGGTCACAAAGCCATTTTCATGAACTGCAGCATGTCTAGTAGCCCTTGGCACAATTGACATAATAGGGGATTTAAAAGGGATGTTTTCACTTTTTACAAGAGTTGGGTCTTCCCTGAGAGCAGAAGTTTGCATGCCTAAAATTGAAGAGGATACCTTGGAAGGCCTGCTCCCCATGTAAGCCTTTGCATGCTCCACGGGTGAGCCAACATTCTCAACAGGAAACTATGGACATTAAAAAGCAATACATGTGAGATGAAGCACAGCACAGAAATGAATAACTTTCTATCCACAAAATACAAAAAAAAATGTGTAATGGCAAGTTCACATACACTTGAAGTAACATGCGGGGTTACAACAAGATGATTTTCAAACCCATTTGCAACTGCAGGTGTTTTGGAATATTCTTCCCTTCGTCCACTAGGTAACATTGGTTCTGATGGAATTATTTCGGTCCGCTTTTCTTCTTCCCTGACAGGTGTATCCACAGTTCTTGAATGCATAAGTGCTGTCAAATGATCAATCTCGGATCTGTGTAATAATAAACAACTATCAGGTACAGAATCAACAAAAAATTTATGACCAGATGTATAATATTATCAAAGACCTTGGGCATTACGGTTCATGGACAAGTGGAATAAGCAAAGAAGTAAAATGAGATTCATATTAAGTGCAAATTGCACAAAGAAACTATCAATATATGAAAGATTAAGCTGTGACTGGAAAAAAAAGAAGAGCAAAATCAGATGCATCCTAACAAGAACTCCAAAAACTATAATAAATGTCAAGAAGCACATGTCAACATAAAGCTACTCAAAATACAGTGTAATGTACAGGGGAAACATTCAAAATCAATTCAATAGACGTCTTAAACCCCTGACAAAACCTACAGTTCACAATATGACACCATTGCATCATTTTATATGCATCATTCAAAGTATAAATTATTTTAGCTTTGCTGAAAATAAAATAATATAAATGCCAGAATAAATATATATTCAACAACTAAATAAGCAATGGTTCTTCAAGCATATGATACAAAACATGCCTTGTGAAAGTCTTCTGCTTTAGTAGCTTTTCAAGTTCATTTAATCCACCACCATCAGAACAATTAGTCTGAGCATCACTTCCAACAACAGGTCCTTGTTGCTTGCCAGAGGAATTGTTTGCAACCTGTTTCTCATGCAATAACATGATGACAAAAGTAACAAAACTGGTTCACTAGTCAAAAGGGAACATTTAAGCTCCAATGCTCCACAAACAATGAAAATGAAGAATGATTGTACAAGCACTGCAAGTAGCTCAATGGAACATGCAATTGTGTAGTGTACCATTAGTATCTTAAATGATGCTAAATGAAACACTTCCGGGAGACCTTTACATACACAATGCAGGTCATATACTATAATTCAAGCTCCCAAATACACAAGGAAAATAGAGTAGTACAGAAGAATCAAGCATAAAAATACCAGTAAAGCTCCACCCAATAACACAAGTTACCAAATAAAAGAAACTGTTCACAAATTATTTGAACCATTCATCTAGCTAAAATTTATGAATACTAGTAAATATACACGTGCATAGGTTTGCACAGATATATTTATATACTTTTTATTATTTATTTAGTTTAAAAATAATTAAAAAGAATTATAATTTATTATTTTTAAAACTTAAATAAAAAATAAAAATGTAATATAATAAAAAGATTAATAGTTAAAATTTTTTTAAGTAATAAATAAATAATTTGTCAAAATTTGACATGATAAAAAAGAACAGAAAATGTAACTAATATTTAATTTAAAAAGAATAGATAAATACATGGAATATAAACTTACTAATAACTAGTTTGCAGAGATGTATTTATATTTTTTTATTAGTTAATTTAGTTTTAAAATAATTAAAAAGAATTATAATTTAAATATAAAATTAATATTTATCAAATAATTATTTTTAATGTGAAAGAAAGATTTAAAAAGTAAAAAACCTTTAATTAATTTTTAAAACAAATTATATATATATAACAGTTACACTTAATTTATATGTGACTCTAAGCATTCTAAATCTAAATAATCATAAATTTAGTTATAAATATATAGCAATAAGTAGGTGTAGTCAATTTTATGTATAGATATAGAATATATATATATAGACTAGTTATCATGATACCCAATTATTTTGTAGTTATTTAAACGAATAAGTCTTTTGAAGCTTTAAATAACTACTCATTAACAATAATCTTATTAACAATATATCTGTTGGCAAGATGGTATATTAAAATGAAATACAATTGTACACACATCACACCCCTCAAAAATGAATCCTCAAGTAACATACAGGGAGTATGCATACTTACATAGGCAGCTTCTTCCTGATGATTGTTCCTTACTTCCTGTTCTGTTCCTGCACCCAATAAACAAAATATCCATAAAAAATGTATGTTGGTAAATAAATCACAGAATGGTATTATTCGTTTTCATATCAGCAAAAGCAACAGATAACATGAATAAAAAAAGGAAAAGCACAGAAAACTTATAAAAAAAGTCACCTGCTGTAACCGGGGGGACAAACAAAAGATATGGAGTAGGAAAAAAAATACTCAAGAGTTTAGCATGTTTAGGCCTACAGTGAACTACAGATCCACATCCACAAGCAAAATACAAAAGATTCGCAATAAATTATAATCAATCAATAAAGATAACAAACCCTAATCCCAATAGGCCCAAACACTCCTTGTGACTGAAATTCACAAGGCTCTACAACCTATGAGCCCAAACCCCCCTGCCTCGACCACAAATAGTCTCGAAAGGGAAGAAAAAAACTTGACCTTTGACCCACATTTTCATCTACATTAGGCATAAATATTCAATCAGTTCAGAAAGTATAGCATCAATACAAGGATAATAATAATTTAAATAATAACAATAATCTAGCTCCCGCCTTAACTGCTTTAAAAAATGCAGACACTCATGAAAATGACATTAATTGAAAAGTAATTAGCATAATGCCGATAACTGAATCCTGAACTGAACGTAACAAACCGAACAACAATGTCAGTAACCAAAAAGGAAAAAAACAAAATTCACTAACCCAATTTACAAAATTTCAATAGTAAAACCCTCTTTTTATATAAATTTAAAAACAAACACGAACCTGGAGAAGGAATTGAGGGAGGGGGAGGGAGGCGCTTGCGGAAGAGAGAGGAGAAGAGAGAATGAGCGCTATAAGTGATAAGCCTGTGAGCGGGATCAACCAACTTCGATAACCAACCATTATTGCTGTTAGGGTTTCTGAGGGATGTTGGCGGACGATCGTACGGCGTCGTTTGGGTCCTGCGGAAGGGGCGTTTCCGAAACTTGCCTCCTGCTCCCCCTTCGTATCCCTTGTCTTTCTCTTCCGTTGCCATCACACTGAGAGAGAGTGTGTGTGTTCTTTCGGGTATCGAAGAGGGAAAGAGGAAAAACAGATACAGTAAGAATTAGGGTTTAAATCGTAGAGAAAGGGGGAAGTATACGCTGCTCTACGAAATAAAATACTAGAAAAAGAAAATTAAAACAAAAATAAAGTTAAACAGATTTTCTTTCTTTTTGGATTTTTCTTTTCTTTTAAAGTTAATTGAATGTGAGTTATATTTTCATTTTCTCTATTTGCTATTGTTTTCTCAATTTTAAATATAAAAATTAAGCAAATAATACACATATATGACATTATTTCATGAATTTAATTCAATACACATATATCTTTATGACATGTGATTTTACAATTTTTTTAATATATTTTTTATGTAAAATTTTCTCTTTCTAGAATCTTGGCATCAAATATTTTTAGGCCTTTGTCATTTTGGATTATTGTTCTTTCATTCATGAATTTTGTAGACTAATGCTCACACTTTGGCAAAAGAAACATCATAGGCTTATTTTTATGTTTGTTGTCAAAACCCAAAAATCCACTAACTGTATTTTCTATTATTTTGGTAATGGCTTGTGGTCTTGTGCTTAATTATAGATATACTTTAATCCTAAGTGAGCCTTTTTTTTTTTAATTATTGTGATCCTTCAAAAATTATTTACTTGTAATCTTTAGCATTCTAACTAAGGATTATAGTTTCATATTTAATTGTAGATCATACAATTCAACTCACATGCAAAACTAACTGAGATTATTATTCATTACTAGTTACATGATTTAGAGCTACCAATCTTTTTGTCAAAACTCAGTTAAAGCTTATTAATAGCACACTGCTCATTTTTTTTATTATAAAATGTAATGCATAATTAAGTTTTTTTTTATCTTAATATAATATTCAACTATTTGTGTCTGCATTGTTATTTATTTCAAGTATGTTTAAAAGAATTTATATAAATAAAATGTAACTCTTATAAATTATTTTAAATTTATTTTAATAAACTTATTAATACAACTGATCTAAATAAATATTTTACATCTTTTTAAATAAAATTTGTTTAACTCATGTCAATAGTTTTATGTCTTAGTTTATGATATTAATTTCTTCACATAATAACTTATTAAATAATTATTTAATTACAAGGTTGTCTAAACTTATCGTTTGATTTATTTCCTTCCAAGTTCCAAACATTCATATGGGCATGAGAATCATCACAACTTGGATAAGTTTAAAGATAATAACTATCCTAAACACAGGACAGAAAAATTAAATTTACATGTATTATTTCTCATAAAATATGCAAGAAAGCATTTAGGAGAAGAGTGCATTTGATAGTAATATACTTATTAAAATTAATTTTGCACGTTTAAATTAGCCGTGTTTGTGTGTGTAAAAGAAGATTTATATAAAAAAAGGGTTAATTTTAAACATAAAAATTAATTAGTAAATTAACGTATATTTTAAACTATTATTATTATTATTATTAACATGTACATAAAAATGATGGGTTACCTATGGTTGTTCTCGGCGCCGGCAGAATGGAAGGGATACGCATGAGTTGAACGGTGACATCATCGACTGCTCCGAATGGCCGAGGTAATTTTGAATCAATCGTGCTACCCATGATGCCTGATGAGTATGTTGTGATTGATCCTTCTCACTTGGTTTCTGGAACCGTGTTAACGTGTTGTTGATGAACGATGGGTGAAAAGTAGATGAAAAAACCTGACCTTGAGTGTTCATATGCAATCAAAACCATTAAGAGAGAGAACAATCTCAACTTTTCAAAGCAACGCATCGTTCTTTCAAGTTAAATCCTTTGAAGCAACAAACCCAAAGTCAAATCAGAAAATGGAAGTTTTTTATATCTTATTTTGTTCAATTTCTCCCTTACCAATCTGGATGACGATGCATAACTTCTCTAGCAATGCACATTTGCATTGTCCATATATCTCAACATATAATGATTTTATAAGAACAATATAAATTCTTTGTCATGCCATTTTTTTTTTGGACGTGTGTGTGTGTGGAGAGAGACTGTGTTGTTGATAGGTACAACACTTCTCAATGTGTAGGAATCTTAGCAGCCAAAAGATATCATTGATTGTCTTGGATCAGCATTGTGCATATTTTTTGGTGGTGAGTTAGGTGTTTCTTGAATGAACCAATGAAATCAGGCTATGAACATGGTGGAGTTAATAATGCTCACACGAAGGTCTTGCTGACATCACTCTCAGCTATGGTGGCTGAGTCTACAACTTTCCCCATAGATCTGATCAAGACCAGGCTCCAACTCCATGGTGAATCACTTTCCTCTAGTCGTCCAACTAATGCATTTCGAGTAGGCTTGGGCATTATTCGTGAACAAGGTACTCTTGGCCTTTACAATGGCTTGTCTCCAGCAATTATTAGACACCTATTCTACACGCCTATTCGAATTGTCGGGTATGAGCACCTCAGAAGTGTGGTTGATTCTGACAATGCTTCACTTTCTATCATTCGTAAGGCTGTAGTCGGTGGAATCTCTGGTACTGTGGCTCAGGTGAGAACTACATGTTCTGGAAATGTGTTGTATATTTCTGCATAATTTTTGTTATTTAGTCATTTCTTTTGGTAATTATTTGTAATTAGAAACTTTTGTACCTTCTCGTTTAAATGTGTTGAGTGACAAGGTTATAATTAAAGGATAAGCCTTTTGATTTTGAATTCCATTGTTGAATGGTTCAAGTGAAGAAATTTATGTCTCCAAGAACAACATTTGCAAGATTTTATGAACATAGTAAAGCATGTGTAGTCCTTAGATCAGTCTCAGTTTTACATCATTGATTGATTTGGTGACCGTTATTGCATGGTTTTTGTTCATTTGACTGATTTTTATCCCAGTTTCAAGAAGGGTTTACCTAAAAGGGATCAACTAGGAGACTTGAGTATTCAGTCATATAGGCTATACTTAATATCTTCCTTTTCTTGGTCCTAATCTAGGTGATTCAACCTTTGTGAGGGGCTTTGTCACTGTCTTGGTTCTGGTCCCCTCAAGCTTGGCAAACCCACAAACATAAGACAAATAACACGGTCCATCTCGACCAAAGAACTTAGGCAACAGCCTTTTAGAAAGGTGTTGGGATTCACATATTGAACTAATAGAGATGCTTTCAAAATTTTCCACGCTGTCTTGGGTAGGAGAGGTAGAAGTAAAAGGATAGGATGATGATTTCATCGGTGAGGTGCAAAGATAACCATTAGATATAAAGGTTAAACAAAGGTCAAATAAAAACCAAGAATTATCTACTTAGCATTATGATAAAATGTAAATTTACAACGTTATAATTTCCCAGTAACAGTAACATGGAAAATATTTTGGGAATAATTATTGTTTTAGCCATAAGATTTTAATTAACTGGTCACCTTTGATGATATGTTTCTTTAAAAATTACAATGTTCTACGGTTTACTCTCATTAGTACAGGTTATAGCCAGCCCAGCTGATCTTGTCAAGGTGAGGATGCAAGCTGACGGCCAAAGGGTGAGCCAAGGTCTTCAACCTCGGTATTTGGGGCCATTTGATGCCTTGAACAAAATTGTTCGAGCTGAAGGATTTCAGGGATTGTGGAAGGGTGTTTTTCCTAATATCCAAAGAGCCTTCTTAGTGAACATGGGAGAATTAGCCTGTTATGATCATGCCAAACAGTTTGTTATTAGAAGTAGGATAGCTGAGGATAATGTTTATGCCCACACATTAGCTCCCATCATGTCAGGTCTGGCGGCAACTTCTTTAAGTTGTCCAGCTGATGTTGTGAAGACTAGAATGATGAATCAGGCAGCTAAAAAGGAAGGAAAAGTCTTATATAGTAACTCTTATGATTGCTTGGTAAAGACAGTTAAAATTGAAGGAATAAGAGCATTGTGGAAAGGATTCTTTCCCACATGGGCAAGGCTTGGTCCATGGCAATTTGTGTTCTGGGTTTCCTATGAGAAGTTTAGGAAACTTGCTGGCCTCTCTTCTTTCTAAGAATTTTTTTTTTATATACCGGAAGACATTCATTCATGATAAGTTTACAATTCACAGCCTCCGAGGTACCAACATCCAGATTTAATCTTTTTCCCAACTTTTAGCATATTTAGTATTTTCTCTTTTTGCAGCTATCAGTGTCATTGATGGCTAATTTTAACCCTTATTTCCAGCTTTGGAACTTTATAAGATAAAATGAAGATTTTGAATGAGATCTAAAAGTTGATAATCTTTATCTTATAAATTCTCAGTTGATAGTAGGATGTTTTGGTCTTGACACTGTTGTCAAAATCAAACCAAATATATGATCTACTTGTCTGATTATGAAATGGATATTTAGACAGTTATAGCTCAGTTATGTTGAATTTGTGATAAATTACTTCAAATTTGGGATAAAAAAAAAACTAGTTAAAATATGGGGAATTATTCTTTTCAATAAATTGAATTAATTTACGACTACTTTCACATTTTATATATGTTTTTTTAATATATCATGTGACGTCATCTGTGTGTGTCACCTAATTTAAATTGTTAATTTGGTCAAAGTATTATTTGGTTCAGTTTAACAACATAAGCTGTGAATCAAAGTATTAGAAAAGAGTGATTTAGATATATGTGGAAAATCATGACCCTCAAATTGTACTTACACTAGTAGTTATTATTCAGATTTTGATTAGGAATAGAGAGGCAATGAAAAGGGTATGTGTACAAACAAACTAGCAAAGCAAGGAGTTAAAAAAAAAAAAAGTAAGGAAATTATAAAAGGAAAAAAAATAAAATATGGCAGCTTATGATTTTTTAGAAACAGTTGGGACAATGATTACATCTGAAATTTGCAAAACACATGAAATCAAGAAATACGGCAAGTGGGATAAGGCAGTGGGTAAAAGATGAAATCTTAGTCCATGTTAAGTTTAGGTTAATAAAGAAGTCACCAAAATGTGAGACAGGGGAGTTATTGGTTAAATTCACTTTCGCAATGTGATACTTGGCATAAATCTATTGAAGTTTTACTTCAAATTTGTCTTAATTTTGAATTCATAGCTGGATTCTACGAGATGCTCATGTAAGTTGATGCTTGACTTACTATAATCCAAGTTGCACATGCTCCATAGACCTTCGATATAGAATTTATTATTTTGATTATATAATATAATAAACAATAATAGTCTTTAACTAATGAACCTATAGAATCTGTAAGGATCCCAAACAAGAAAAACTCATCAGCAATTCATTTACATGTGGAAAAAGGGATATTACACTTGTTCATATTCTATGCTTAATCCAAAGCCCAAACCTGTAGCAAGAATCCAGAGAGGAAATGGGTTAGTGGAAAGAAGCAACTTAGTTTTATGAAATCATGACTGCATCATAATGATTAGGTCAAGGCCTAACCTGGATCTTGCCATCAGAGGAACCAACAAAAAGCATCATACCATCTGCATCTGACACTAGTGATGTGATTTTTGTATGACCACCTGCCATTTTGATGGAAGCAACCCGGGTGAACTTATCTTTTAGCCAAACCTCAATTGTGCCAAATTTCGTACCGGCAAATATGAAGTCACTATTGATGACTATGCGATGGATGTCAAGTCCAGTTGAGAGTGATCCCACCATCATTTTGGAGGAAAGTGAAAATATCTTACATCAATTGAAGGAAAAGTCAGTTTAGCAAGAAAGGATGCATATCTGTAATGAATGACAATGACTTTGATATAGAAGTTTAGAGCTAGAATTTGCATTTACCTTTCCTGCAGTTGCATCAACAGAAGAACCACTAGCAAATAGGTAACCATCATGAATTTGAATGGAGTGTATGGTTTGTTTTCCCAACAATTTTCTTGTGCCTGAGAAGAATGAATTTGATGTATGTTTGGACAAGTCGACCTCCTGCCATTATTCATAACCATATAGTTTTTAAGGAAGAATTACCAGAGAAGCTTTTGCATGTGATGCCAGAGTGGCATGTTTTGTAGATGGAAATAACATTATGGATCTTAACTTCGAAGCAACCTCTGTTGGTTGGTTTACTCGGCTAAACACTACAAGAATTTGAAGCAATGTAGAAAGATGTTTACCTGAATGCTGTAACCAGAGCAGCCGCAATACAGTTTGTCCCCAGCAACAGCTAGACATTTCACATATTTGTTGAAATTGATGAGCTTTGGAGCCTCGGACCAATTAAAAACCTGTCACATCTCAAATCTTATTAATTTTATCTTACGATGGAACTACATTTCTATTTGTCTTGTTCAAGTAATTTGGCTTGCCTTAACTCCTGTTCCTTGAGTTACATAGCATGCCAATTTAGCATTTGCTGTCAGCTCATACACTGCTTCCTTAACATCATAAACATCTATGCATTTAATCTCATCAGGTTTAATTGTCCAAACCTGTATATAAGTAGTATTATTCAGTGGGGCATATTCAATATTATATTTAAGCTAGAGGATCAACAAAAGGATGCAATAGGTAATTTGGTAAGTTAACATGAAGGTAAGTGACTAAGCATTTATAAGATGTTAATAGCATTACTCTTCTACTGTAAAGAGCATGACAAACTATTGAATCACAATTTTTTCCATGTTGAGCATACTCATTTCTGTTTGTTCATTTCAATAAACATTAACACTTATTATGGGAAACTATTCTTTATTCCATTCCAGGAAAAATAATTTTTTTAAATATTCTCAAAGGATAGTGCAGGCTGCAGGTACACAGTAACTTAACGTTAGCTGTTATCAAAAGGTCTCAAGTCAACTAATGAACGATGTAAACATGCCAAAGAGCTAATCATCACCACAAATCTTCGCAACATTAATTAGTATGCCCAATAAAATATAGACCAACAAAGATCAGACAATTTTTTCTTGCGACATAGCAAGAGAAGTTACCCGAATGGTTTTGTCTAAGGAACCACTGTATAGTCTATCAACTGAAGAACAGAGAGAAGTTACAGCTTTTGTGTGCTCATGAGTTTCTTGAATCACTCTTGGAATTCTCTTTTTTGCATCCCACACCTAATAGGAGGTATGAAGTGGAACTGTTAAGACAAACAACCAAATACATGCACAAAAACACTTTGTTTCTAATTCTTAGGACACTCTACCTTTATAGTTCCATCAGAGTGTCCACTCAAGACTTGACCATTCATATATAGCAAGGAAAGCACCTCCCCATTGGAGCTCAAATCTAACTCAACAACTTCTTTACAACTCCATAATTCTGTCTATAAAATAGAGAATTTAAATAGTTACTTTTCTAAAACAAATATATTACATGAAATGAACCATATCCCAAATCACTATTCCACTCACCACATCAACAGATTCTAAATTTAGTAAGGCTTTCATAATATCAATTGCCACCACCGAATATTTCTTCAGCTTCCTCATGATTCTATACATGCTTTTAGCATAAACTCTAAGTGATTCATGGGCAACTGAAACATTGACAGTTTTCTATTTAGTAATAGTAGAATATACATAATGTCTATAACTATTATAAACAAACCTACTTGGGTCACCAATGAAAGTCTTCAAAGCTAGGGTAGCCAGGATCTTTTCCTCCAAGTTCTTAGATGACTGGATGACATTTATAAGTTTGTCAAGCAAGGATTTGCGAGCAACATCCTTTATGCCAGTATCAGGAAGAGTTGAGAGCATGTGTGTGAGCCATGTGGCAAGAACAAGGCAAGATTTTGCCATCTTTAAGGAATTACTCCTTAGACATTCTTCTAAAGCTTGAAATATTGAACCATTTTCATGGTTGCAAAGTACAAAAGCTACCCTTTTCTGCCAAGAGTTCATAGCATTTTTTTCATCCTCCTGTGTAAGAGAAATTTGTGTTAGTATGGAGAGAAATCAATAATCAACCAAGCCCAAAATCATAATCAAAATGTCGTAGTCCCAAACCATGGTTTCCATCAAATCAGAGTCATACTGTCCCAACTGCTCGGCCTTCATTAAAGCATTGTAAGGTTGATCAAATCCTGCAACCTTGAGTAACCAAGCTTCGGTATATGACTTTCCTGAGTAAGTTACATGTCCAATAAGGAATAATAAAGAATCTAAAGCTTTCAACTGGGTATTTGAGAAGTCCTTTTGCCAAAGTGCTTCTATCAGTGTCTCCACAGCTTCTTCCCTGTAAATGCTCATCTTTCGTGGTTCAACCTGAAAATTTGGACAAGAACAAAAATATATTGAAGTAGCAGGAGAACATAAATTATATTTTAGTGACAAGAAATTGATCTAAAAAAGCTAACCAGAAGATCAAGCTGAAGAAGAAGGCTGGCAACAGCAAGTTGATGCTCCATTGGAGCCATCTGAAGATATACCAGAAACGTATGCATTGTACTAAATGCTCCTTCATCCTTGATTGTCTGTAATATCTGGTTGCAAAATGTCCTTCTGTAACACCATATAAGGAATAAGAAATACAACTAGTGATGGAAGAGGAATAACACAACAACACATTTTGTCACCAAGTATGCCTTCACAGTTTAATATAACAAAAGCAAACTGCTGTAAATTAAAATGTGGGGAGTGTTTAATTGGAAATAGTTAGGTATACCTTTTCTGATTGGTATGAAAAATATGAGCCTTTCCTACCTAATTTTAGTTATTATTGGTTAAAAAAATATGATATTATTTTTGTTTTAGTTTCTCCACTTTAGTGTAACCATAGATGTGATGCTTCTCTAATGCATAAGAATGTGGTTTCTACCATTTTCTAACACAAATCATGACTCTAGTTAAGCATATCCAAAATACTGAACAAGATGAATACGAGATGAATTTTGCTTGTGGTAAGCAAGCCGGCAGATTACCTATTCAGTTGCACTAGTTCTGAGAGAAACTCCACACAGATGCCTCTCACACTATCATTTCCAGCGTGAAATAATTCAAGAACAGGAGACAATTCAATTCTGTTTGCTATCAAGCTCTTGCAACCTTTTTCAGCCTGCATACAACACAAAAGTATGGAAACAACAGACTTCCTTCCTTCCATCTTCTCCAAATACTTTGCTAAGGCTGGAATTCCATTTGCTGAAATGACACTCAAAGCATTAAAGGACCTGCTATGTTCATCCCCTCCCATTAAAATTTGCTCAATAACTGCTATTGCAGCATCTTTGGGGTCTATAACTAATTGAAAATTATCTAACTCCTCATTTTTGTTCTGGATCACTTGGACAAGAGAGGGTATAAGT